CGCCCATCATGCATGCCAGAACAGTGAATAAGACGCCCAAACGCGATTTTAGCAGATGCCATCATTTGTGTAAAAACTCAAAGCAAAAAGGTATTTTTTAAAAAGGAAAAGATTGCAAGAAAAGATAAACTAGGCGTTTATCCATGTAAACCACAGGTCCTCTCTTTTATCATCTTTCTTCTCTCCTTGTCTTTCACTATCGAAATTATTAGTATCAATACAATTTATGGAAGGAATTATGGATCGAGGATTAGAATAGTGAGTACGAACCTGGATCATAAACCAAGAAATCATGTAGAGCATTTCCGGCTGGTACCATCGGTAAGACAGGTACCTTCTTATCGGTAACAACTTCCAAAAGTGCTGGTCCATCACTGTCAATCAACCATTTCAAAGAATCCCTAACATCATCTGGCTTGATACATCTTCTGTGTTGTACACCCATTGAATCAGCCAATTTCATGAAATCTGGGTTAGTGCTGTGGGTATGTGCATATCTATCTTGGTAAAAGATGTTTTGCCATTGGGTGACCATTCCTTGTTCTTCGTTGTTAAGGACAATGACCTTAACGCCGATGTTGAATTGAGATGCAGTGGAGAGCTCAGTAAGTGTCATGTTAAAGGATGCATCTCCGTCAATATCGATGACAAGAGCATCAGGCTTCGCAACCTTTGCACCGATAGCTGCTGGAAGACCATAACCCATAGTACCAAGACCACCAGATGTGATCATAGTTCTTGGATGTCTCCATCTGAAATGTTGTGCAGTCCACATTTGATGTTGACCGACACCGGTAGCAATGATGGTCTCGTGTTTTCTATCGGCTGTCAAATTTGAGAGTTCCTCAATCAAAGTTTGTGGCTTAATAAGTCCATCCGGTTCAGCCTTTTCATAGTGAGAAAGGGGAAATTTCTCTTTCCAGAATCTAATTTGGTCGAACCATTCTTTACGCTCATCCATAGATTTCTTCTCAACAGCCGGAAGAAGTTGAGCAAGGTTGGTAACAACATCACCCTCAACTGCCTCGGTAGCCTGAACAACCTTGTTGATGTTCTTTGGCATAATTTCGAAGTGAACAATACCTCCGCGACCTTCAGCTGCTGCTGCCTTTGCTGCTGGTGCGAACTTTGGAATGCTTCCAGTCACACGATCATCGAAACGTGCTCCAAGAGCAATAATGAGATCGGCTTCTTGCATGGAAAGGTTAGCATATGCAGAACCGTGCATACCAAGCATGTGTAAAGATTTCTCATCAAGCTCATCAAATCCACCGAGACCTTGAAGAGTTGTTGTGACAGGGATAGATGCCTTGTCGGCAAGCTCCTTGAGCAATTTAGGACCTTCTGGAAGGGAGATAACACCCTGACCAGCGTATATAATTGGCTTCTTTGCAATGTTGATCAATTTTGCAACACGATCAATTGAGGCTTGAAGCTGCTTCTTTTGAATAGCTTGTGCTGCTCTTGAGGCCTGACTGGGTAGAGATGGCATAATGTGGTGGCTAGGAATAGCTTTTCGGAGGATACCAGCAGTGACATCCTTTGGTAAATCTACCAAAACTGGTCCAGGTCTTCCGGAAGTAGCGATTTCGAATGCCTCCTTAATTCTTCTTGGAAGTTCGGCAATATTCTTAACCATGACGTTCCACTTTGTGCAAGCTCTTGAGATGCCAACAATATCAGCCTCTTGGAAAGCGTCACTTCCTATGGCAGTTGTAACGACTTGTCCGGTGAAAACAACCATTGGAGTTCCATCAGATAAAGCGTCCTGCATTGGGGTAATAACATTGGTAGCACCAGGTCCAGATGTAACGAGAACAACACCAGGTTTACCACAAGCTCTAGCATATCCTTCCGCCATATGTCCAGCACCCTGTTCATGTTTTGGTAGAATAAATTCGAAATGTTTTGAGTTGTAGATCGCATCGAATACTGGTAAAATGGCTCCTCCTGCATAACCAACTGTTCCCTCGTCAGCTCAAGACTTTAAAAGCCAGAATAGCGAACTTACAGATATGTTTAACATCTTGTCGTAACATCATTTCATGGAAGATCTCCCCACCAGTCATCCCAATAAATCTATTCCATAATTAGCCCCGTGTTGTGCCCACCTCGCCGAATAAAGTGCATAACGTACGACTCATCCATCTCCGAGTATTTATGCCCCTGTCCCGTCAATTCCTTGCGCGAATCATTCTTCGAAGGTTCATTGTTGAATGCCGGACTTGGACTTTCTCTAGCTTGACTAAATTCACATGTCAGCTAGCTGACTTTCATCCCAATGACTCACTTTCAAACTCCCGATTGACGGTGAAGCTCCAACCTGCAAAAAACCTCCGCAGATATAGGAACGCAAAGGGAAGTCATACTTAGAAACCTGAGGGGCAGCAGTGGCCTGTCCTCTTGTACCTTTCTTCTCCACCATAATACCACCCGCTGCCTTCACACGATTCGACAAGCCCCTCGCACCAGCAACCTCCATCCATCTCGAATTACTGCCGATTGTGCGAATGGCACGTCTTGCGGGTATCGAACGAAGCATCTTGACCACTTTCCAATTTGCGAGTTGAGAATTGTGTAGATTCGTTCCAAACTTGACCCCTAAGAGGCAACGAATAAAGAAGAAGGAAAGAAAGTAAATACAAGGGGCTCAACTAACTCTAGAAGAACAGATTGAGTATTTCTCAATTGGTTCCTGCTCAGAGAAAGGGGTATAATGGTCGCGAAAACTCTGTGGGAAGAAGAGTTGTAGAAAAGTTAAAAAAAAAACTATGGCTCCAAAGTTGTGATTCACACCCTCCATCTAATATTTAATTGAATCTCAGTCCACTGTGTCGATTTTCTAGCGGTATCGGGGGCAAAATGTGGGGAAGCGAAAGGAAAGTCCCTTTCACTTTTAAAGCAATATTATTGGTTGGAGGACGAACTGTTCATAAATTGTGCATAAAGGAATTCTCCAATCAACAATCAGACTTCGCTGTTTTATGATTTTTTATGATTTTTCAATGGGTATATTGGGTGGATAAACCCCGATGATGAGGTCATCATATGAGAACCTTTAATTTTTTAATATATATTACGACGGTGAGTATCTTTTCACCGGTTTCGCTCTACTTCGTCGACGTGACAAGTAACAAATAGGTACAAATCACCACTTGAAATATCCATGAACTTCCCCCCTAATCTCTTCCCACTAAGGTCACACAGCCAATAAAACTACAAGCAAAACCAAAATTCACAATTTAAAGTCCCCATTAACCTTCTCCCATCCCCTCACCACCCCCTCATTCTGACCAATATCCACCATCGCCGCCACCTTCTCCGCCAACACAATCTTCAACGTTCTTGATCTCTCCGTACATAATTCATAGATGGTACTTAGATTGAAAGTCAAAGCATGGAATGAATTGTCTTCCGCAATCAGTGATTCGAAAATGGTTCTTGCCTGTTGGTCGGATTGTCAGTATGATATGTAGCAGGATTGATATTGAGAGAATGGGAAGAAGGCAGGAAACAGATATGGGGACAAGACGTTACATACCTCATCGCCACGACCCAAATACAACAATGTAACGCCCAAGTTTTGTCTCCACATGGCCTTTTCTCCTTTTCCAGCTGTAGTTTCCTCGTTTGCAATGAGCTCTTCCCAAATCACAACAGCCTCCTCATATCTTCCTTCCGCAACAAATGCCAAAGCTCTGATCGTTCCATCTATCTCGCTCGCCATAAATTCCTTTCCGTTTCCTTTCTTTAAACACTCTTTTGCAGCATCAATATCACCCAGACACAACCACAGTAATGCTTTCTTAGATCTTAATTCCTCATCTCCCTCTTCATTAACCTTCAAAGTCTTCAAATGCATTCCTGCCCCAACCAAATCTTCCATCTCAACGAGCGCACTTGCAATCCTAATCCCTAAATCCGCCAACCTGCCTTCCCATAATTCAATCTCCCCATTCATATCCTCACCAGCTGCTTTTCGCTTCTTCAATTTCGTCAACGTACTTCTAGCATCTCTAGCCAAATCATAATATCCCATAACACATCTCCTAGCATCCCCTAACCCCATACCCTGCAATCTAACCGCTAAGACTCTCAATTCCCATCCTACCATATGTACGCCAGTTTCATCATCCCAATAGTAAGCAGCGTTAAGATCTTCAAGAGCTTTGACTTCCTGAGCCGCGAGTTGTGTCTGGTTACAGAGTGTGAGACATGCAAGACGTATGTAGAAGAGATTAAAAATTTCATCATGTGATGCGGGACCAGGACTGGATGTCAAAAGTGTGGCACTAAGAATAGCCGCAGCTCGAAAATATCCCGCTGCTAGGAGTGATGAAAGAGTATTGATATCAGGGCTAGGCGGGAGGGACGAAGCTGGGGAGGAACGAAAGGGCGGGGGGATTTCGAGCACGGGTAGAGGATGATAAATCTCGGGGCGAAGGAGATAGGAGAAATCTTTCTGAAGTGTTGATACCGTTGATTGAAATGATGTGTTTTGAGATGGTGAAAGTGATGTGGGAGCTGTCATAAAGGTGTGGGATGATAGATTCGAGCCGGGACCTGGTGATGGAAGCCTAGGTGTCCGACTCCTTGGCGCTGAACCACCCGGCGAGAGTGTTCGTGTATGTGTAGCATTGATGTAATTTGTGGGCGACAAAGGGCTATTCAGAGGAGAACTATTTACGTTTAGCATTTGCGTTCTATATATGGAAGTAATACATACTCGCTAATATCCAACGGACCTCTTGTCGGCCGTCTAGGTAAAGCTGCTGGGCGATCAGTCAAATTCCGCTTGCTTAAATTCATCATGCGAACGCTGCCTTGTGAAGATAAATAGAGTAGTGAACTTGCATCCAGTAACTGGCACCGATAACCTTTAACATAGCATCTTCATGGGAAGCCACGTGCCAGGCAGCCTCCGCCATATTCAATAAAGTCGCGCACTCGCATGAACTTCGCAAGAGAACTGAAGGCCCTAATCTCCTCGTCTCACCCAAGTCTCCCAGATACGATCACGCCATTCTATCGAAATTGAAAAACTGCCACGACTCTCGCTCCCTAAAAGACCCATGTGGTGGAGAGAATAACCCCGATACTTTCCAACCCCCGTCAACAACAATAATGAAACACATAAAAATCTCACCTCTGCCTGAAGAAGTTTGCCGCACATGTTTCTTCCCTCCCGTACCGTCTGCTGAAGCACTTTCCATTTTGTGAAGTGTTTTGATGTTTCTGGTGCGAGGAACAATGATCGAATTGAGGTGTACTCTAGAATTATGCATGATTGACTTATGTATATTCATAGGCTAGCGATTTATGCAAATTAGCATAATTTATGCACATCCATCATGAACTCCGATGGGTGATAAAATCTACTGTAAAATCTATAATTAAAAATGGAAATGCATTCTATATTGGGTATTGGTACCGCAAGGTTATTTATCATCTTTAATCTAAAGCAGTGTCTAAGCAACATTTCCACCTTCAACAACAAAAACTGCACTTCCACTACCAGGTTTGCTAACTACGACTGCCGCCTCCCTCTGCTCTTTGGTCAAATCCTTCTTTGAATAATATTCTCTATCCCAAGCCTGTCTAACCGCATCAACCTTATCCGCCGGTACCAAATGTACACAGCAACCACCCCATCCCGCACCAGTCAATCTACTTCCATAACTTCCGGCTTTCTTTGCTATTTCACAGAGTTCGTCTAATTCGGGACAGCTACAGTCAAAGTCTTCTCTGCAGCTGGTTTGGGTCTCATTCATTAGGTCGCCAAGTTTTCTGTTGAAAGTCTCAGTGGAATCACCACCGTCAGCCTTAAGATAAGATTCGGGATGTTCGAGGACTTTCATAAACTTTAAGACTCTCAAAGCTTCTGTGAAAACGTGAAGGGTTCTTTGTCGAAGTTTGAAATGCTCGGCGCGGACGGGGAAGGTAGAGGTGAAACGCTCGTTCAATTCGGGAACAGTCATATTTATGACAGAAGCAATTTCCTCCCTGGTGTACCCCTCTTCTTTTGTGAATGTCTTCTTCGTGATTTCAATAAGCTCGGAAAGTTGTTCTTCGAGTGGTGCGGTTGAATCACCAAAATATTTGCTATGGAATCCGTGTAGCGAGACACCGAGTGGTCCGGAATCCGCAGGAAGAGGGTCTTTAGATTTGTTGATAGCCGCATGAAGATACGCTGCCGCAAGACTGCATTCTACAACTCTCAAATTGTAGCATACTGGGCCAGTGACATGCTTGTCTGCTGCGACAAAAGATTGTGCGATAACGAATGTAAGCTCGGGGTTTGTTTTTGGGAAATGAACTGGTTTTGCTGTCAAGGTTGGATTAAAGGAAACGTATAATGCGGAGCCACGAATAGAGAAAACCGAAGCGGATTGATCCATTCCCCCTGAGTTGACTCCTACTGCTCTTTCACTAACAATTGCCAATTCCGTAAGTTGTGTCTTATCAACCGATTGCTCTCCATTTGCAAACATGACTGCAAGAGCAGAAGCTGTAGTGAAAGCTGCGGAACTACTCAATCCACCACCTGCAGGTACAGTTCCATCCATCAAGACTTCCATACTTTTAGGTCTGAAACCGTCTCCATGTTTCTTTCTTAAAATCTCCAAAGCTCCCCGAAGTCCCGACTTCAAGTAATTTGTCCACTCGTGTACCTTAGAATCAATCTCCACAGCATCAAATGGTATATCGAATTCATGTGCAGGAAATTTATCTGCTTGCACGTTGGAGACGCGCACCTTGAATGTTGTACTAGTCGAGTCGGATTCGTCGGTCTGGGTGGAAACTGCAAGTAAGGCATCTGCAGTTATTGCCATAGGTAGGACAGAGTATAAAGAGTAATCGATATGCTCGCCAATAATGTTGACACGACCCGGGGATCGCGAAACAAACTGCGCATCGTGCCCGTAATTGCTCTTGAATTGCTTTAGAAGATTATCCCATCTAACGGTTTGCGCCGCCAAAGCATCTTCTGTGTAGATGTCTTTGAGAGACTTCGCGACAGGTACAATACCAGCCATTGTAAAAGAAGGTTCTTAAGAGGTAGAAGGTGTGCGAGCAGGAAGCTGTCGATATGAATTGCTGCTGATTTACAAGCTTAGGAATCTAGAGATGTGTAGGGAGTAGATGTGCAAGATGGTCAGGAATGCTCGGAAAGGATGGAAACAGAAAGTTATTGGAATAGAAAAGCAGAATTACAAACCAACAAGTTCAATTCATGGAGGGGCACGAGATCATAACATTCATTCACTGTCACATACCTAGTACAATTTCAGAACGATACCCAGGTACACGAGGAAGGACCCCGCCATTAACCCCGCTGTGCCCCGAAGCGTTCTCCAGATTATTGGTGCGCATCGCTCCATCATCCACTTTATTCATTTCCAAACGGAGGAACTTGCAAGTCCTATCACCTGAATGGGTGAATGAGAGCAAGTCTAATTGTGGGATATTAATCGGAGTGAATTCCAAACCTTGAGCCGCAAAAGAGAATTTTTGAGGATTGAAGTGTATTGCATGAGAAATAATTATCATACCTATGTGATGTATACGGTGACCGATCTGACCAATTATATGTATGGCTGTAAGCTGATACCTGATGAAGGGGTTTGTTCACCCGATGTTAGTCTCATCTCGAAGAAAACTTAAAAATCCTCAAGCTCTTTTTTATATCACATCAAACCAAACATCGAAAAATATATCTCGTTCTAGATATTAATCACCGGTAGTCTACTTATAACCCCATCTCATCCCCGATCATACCCCATCCCATCCCATCCCATCCCATCTTTCCCACCTCAACCATTTAATCACCGTATCACCCCACTGTAATCCCATCCTCATCTCATTTCTCATCTCATTTCACATTTCATCTTCAAATTCCCATCAAGCCATGAACCATAAATCCGACTTCCCGAACTTCTTTCCCTGCCCTTCACCAAACACCATTCGGAGTACTCGCGCCAACACACACATAACATAACATAACAAACCCACCAATATCGCCACAATGACAACACCCCTCTCCCAAATAAACACAAAAACAATTCCTCGCAGGAGCGGATAACTTCGGCATTTCCAGATGTGCAACAAAAGAAAAAAGAAAAAGAAAAAATGGTGCAGAAATATGAGTTTTTATTTACATAGGTTGATCATATCTATCCATTTCTAGCGAAGACTTTAGTAGGTAAGATTAGAATGACCGATTGGTTGAGTACCAACGTAATGAGGAGAGGTATTGGAGAATCATTCTAGTAGTAGTAGGAGTGGGAGGTTAGATGAACGTTGTGATGTTTTTATATTCCGAGTTATATCTATGTACATATATCTATACATATTTATAGAAAAATATATACATATATAATCAATCCCTTATTAATCCCTCCTCCCCCATTTCCTAGGTATCCAAAAGATATCCTAATTTCCAAAGTCCTTTCTCATTTGCTATATCCATATGGGTGAAATTTATACATTATCATAGGTACCTATTCCAAATCATCATAATATCCAATTTTCCGTCCAGAATTCCTACAATCATCATCATCATTGACCCAAACGCCTTGTCGATGCCAAATTTATGTCCGCATTATTGGAGTGTATATCGAATGACCAAAAAGGAAATTCTGGCTACTCTTTCCTTCTTTCAGCAAAATCGATCACTGATTTTTCTTTCCTCTTCCACTGTGATTCTTTCTGGCTCGTCTCCAATTCAGAATTAGAACTTCATCTCCTTTTCCCTCTCCCTCGACTCCTTTTCTCACATATATCTGTCGAACAACACGTCCCTTCTCCACCAGAAAGCTATCCAGAAATTTCCAGCTAAGCTTCTGCTCCCTGCTCAATTCTGGTCTTGTGGGCGCTAGGCTATGCTCAACATCTATATTCTTATCATCCCAAGTCACTTCTGTTCTCCTCAAATCGACAGCTCCATCTAGCATTGCCGAATTACTTAATGCACTCCTCGCCCCTCGTTCTAACGAACCAATGGGATATTTAGCAATGCTGAAGCCATTAGTAAGGACAACATCATTTTTGAATTGCCAACGTTGCAGAAAACATTCGTCACACACGTCTGATACTAGATGCATCTTGTCCATTTCGTAGGGATATTTGGTCGCAGATCCTGCTTTCCAATGATGTAGAGATAATACTCTTCTCCCGCTCTCATAGAATCCAGAATGGTCTCCCACGAAATCGATCTGAGAAAGTCCAGCTACTGCCTTGAGCTGAACTTTGGAATGTCCATATATGCAGTCCATCACCAGTGAATCTCCGGAGGTGAGTCGCATGTTGTTTTCGCACTCTTCGTTATTTTCATGGATAATTTTAGCTAGCGGCGTGGAAATAAAAACTCCTGCCCCTCCAAATGCCATGAGCCCGTACATTCTCACGGCAGCCCAGTTCTCGGATAATCCGCCAATGTATTGAGGTTGGGTATGGTCGTGAAGGGCAAGTTCATCGAGGAGGGCACGAAGGGAGGGGAAGAATGTATCGTCGTCTATTAAGACAGTCCATTTTGTTTTCTTGTCGCGAGCCGCATACATTAGGTCTATCAAGGAGAAATATCGTTGATTGAAAAAGTCTTCTTTCTTGACGGGTGATATTATTGTGACGTCCATGCCTGCTTTACGATATTCCTTCTGAAGTCGAGCCATTTCCGATTTGGATGCCAGTTTTTCTTCACTTTCTTTCACTATTGCAATCAAACGAGCGCCGGTGTTGGGCAACCATCGTGCTAAATGCGGCTTGGTATCTCGAAGACGTTTTACCGTGGTCTGTAGACCAAATATCATGTGCGAAGCGTCGATTTTGTGAATTGGAGGATAAGGTACTTCGAGAGTGATTGGGGAGCAGTAGTCGACGATTCTTTCGGTTGAAAGCTCTCCGTGCCGAAAAATCTCTTAGCTGTCGAATAAGGACTCATCAATGGTGGTGATTGACGGTCTCGCTCCATGATTAGGTTTTGCGACAATATCTCGGTGGGCTACTTTCAAAGGGAATGATAAGTTGTACTTGCCCAGCCAGTCGAAGTTTTCTGTGACATTACAGTGATGTGCTGAAATGGGATCCTCCCTGACTAGATCATCATCTACTTCGACATATTCATATCCAAAAGCATTGTGAAATGGTGCTGGTGATCCCAAAAATGATGTCACATTCAGAGTACTGTGGCGGGCAAACAATAATATGGCGGTAACTATTATCGAGGACACAGTCAAACGGACAGCCAAAAGAAGGCGCCTTCTAGATTTCATTGCTCGTATGACTGCAAATTATTGCAGTCGGAGCAATACAAAAAACCACACCCAGGGAGAACAAAAAGCTGAAGATGCAAATGAGAAAGAGGGGTTTAAGAGAGAAAGAGCATTATGAGAGAGAAGGTAAAGGCTAAAAGGCGGATCTCCACTAATTTGATAGTGAATGGATTGGTACAATTGGGGTAGATAAGGGTAAAGGCCCGAGAGATGATGTGCTTCCGTAAGGTTAACCTTATAATCTGCCAAACAAAACAAGAAAAGGCATTTTTATTTCCAACCTCATCTACTCGAGTATTACATATTGAGATGCTCAGTTATTCCATGTTTTACTCTCTTCCAGGTCATGTGCTCCATCAGTACAGTTACTACAGTATCGTCATCAAACTACTGGTGACTTAGCTATTGGTTAAAATAGCCTACCAACATGATGAGAACCTTTTTGATACTCCGCATAAACAAATCATACTACGAGTACAGTAATCATAATCTTCGCTTGAAAACTTGATCCTACCGCGTTTCCAGGATTGGCATATGGTACGGACTATGTTACCAATACGCGTAGATAAAAGATTATTAGCAATACGCTTGCGCTCAAAGAAGTCTCGCTCATTCGCGGGGAATGGCCCAAATGAGAATATTGAAGCCCATAATTAAAAGTCTTAGCGCTTCTCTCTGCCTCTTTCTTTTTTCATGAGCCAGATTATGCGGTAGGATAAACAAGGGGAGAGATAGTAAAAATCATTTTGATGGCTCCGTGGTTTGTCAAAATATATGAGATGAGTAAAGAAATGATAATATGTATGTATGATTGTAGTGAAGACGGAAGTTGTAGTTGAACACGAGCTATATTCTGTTAGATTACCGTACCGCCTATAAATTTTTGGGCTTCAGTCTCCGAGACAAAATGAAATATGATATATATGATTTACAAAAGTGTCTCATCTTTAATTGGTTAATAGTTTAAGATATGATGGTAAACAAGGCTGAAGGGTTCAACTGTGGCTGAAAAAGGTTGACATGTTGTGGCGTTGTCAATAAACCGAGGCGGGCGGCATTGAACCTTCTGCTTCATATGCAACAAGAAGGCCACCAGTGACTGTAGTGTATTACTCATTGTCATTAAAAAACCCTCCCGTCAAAATCAGCACCTATGTTTAGTATTTTCTAGAACCTCTCTACCCATCCTTTTCTCAAGCAATGTGGTAATACCCGTCTTCCTCCTCAAGTCTCAACGATCATCAATCACTCCTCCGAATTGCGAAAATGGAATCAGCATACCCAGCTCCTCCAAAAGTGCGAGATAGAATCGATCCAGTTCGCGTCGAACAGTCAAACCAGGAATCCTCCGACAACTCTACAGAGACTACCCTCCCTATAGTTGAAGAATCAAACGAAGCTCATATCCTAAACCAACCTCAATCCGATAACTCTACGCAGTCCGATGAAGCGCAACGGGTGGATATCTCACCTCGTGAAGTGAGAACCTGTTGGATATGTCAAATGGATGATGCAGACGATGGACCTCAAACTTCACCATGGCGATCTCCATGTCCCTGTTCTTTGGAGGCCCACGAATCATGTTTAATGGAATGGATTGCAGTGTCCGCAGACAAGGAGATGGCTCCCAAAATCGTCTGCCCAGTCTGCAAGTACCAACTTAAAATTGATCAGCCCAAAGATTACCTAGTCTTGACAGTGGATAAGTTGCACCGCATGGCGAAACACTTGGTCCTTCCCACAGCGGCTGGTGCAGTCTTTAGTTGCGTCTATTCCGGATCCCTACTGTTTGGCGTTAACAGTCTGGCATTGATATTTGGTGCGGATGAGGCTCGAAGGATCACTCTAGAGCATTATGACGACTTCTTAGACCGTCGTATCCTTGGGGATTACATACAGTTACCCATCAGTCAAATTATGACCAAATACTTATTTCCATTTCTCGGTGGTGGGTTCATGGCGGTACCAAGTTGGAGAACAGCAATAGGGCTTCCATTAATCGCACCAACTCTCATATTATCACGGACAAAAATTGCGGATTCTGTTTTTACTATAGTTCCTGTCACTGTAGGTAAATCTCTGGTATCACCTGTCGAATGTCTGAAATAAAGCGTTGATTCAAAAGTATAATTTGAAGCTCAATTTGCTAATATTTCTTTAGTATTTTCTCTTTAGCCCCGACAACAAAAACATCACTTCATGGCCTCCATCCCCAGGTCGCACATTTGCGCTACTTCCCTACGTCAGATTAGCATACAACACACTATATCATCACATGTTTTACGACTTAGAGAAGAGATGGGATTTGGCTATTCAGCGCAAACCACGAGAAGGCGAAACTGCAGAACAAATCGCCTTGGAACAGCGCAGAGGACAAGAGGGGTTCCTGAATTTTGAGGTGGAGATTGTCGATGAAGTGAGGGATCAAGACGGAAATTTGGTTCCTCCAGATGATCATGTACATGCACCCGCCGGTGATCGAAATGGAAATCAACATCAAAATGGGGGCGACCAAGAACGCGCGAACGCAAACGAGAATGATTGGGGAGTCCGTCGAAATGTCAGTACACATAGCTTATCATTCCAGTTTATGGGTGCAATGTTGTTCCCTGCAATATCAAGCATTATGGGCGATGCGCTCAAATACGCATTACCGTCTATATGGATCAGAACGAGGAACGGCAAACCAGGGTTATTACAACATAAATGGGCCAGAAGTGTAGTGGGAGGATGTCTATTCGTAATGCTGAAGGACGTGGTGGTGCTTTATTGCAAGTGGAAGAAAGCGAGGGATTTCGGAAAGAAGAAAATCATAGATTTTGCGGGTAAAGGAAAGGAAAAGGCTACGTGAGAAATAGGAAGGGAAAGGCATAAATATGGCATTGGATGATCATGGCGGAGGACATGAATTAATTCCAGTTGGAAATGGAATATCGTGGATAGGAAAAATGTTTCTTCTCGTAAAGATCATAATAAAACTGCTCGCAGGGTGTAATTTTATGAACATTGGACATAGGTTCAATGAATAGATCGGTCTGCTATGATACCAGTACATGCAGGCATACCATATATCGATTCCCCGTCGAGCCACTCTAGTCTCAACTGCATGAATGGTAGTTATCAAGTAATGCATATTGTAAGAGGACTTTGGATCATAAGACGGTTATGGTTACGCTCTGTGATAATTACTCGGTGATGATATTTTCTATTTATACTCTTATTGATTAACTGGTATATTCGTCCTCTCCTCGTAATTAGTCCACGGTTCTTACGTGTGCAGAGGTTCATGAACTCATGGTTGTGGGAGTCCTGTGATTTGAACGGATATGTTTATAGAGTGTGTGGTGAGATGAAGTGATGGGAGGTGAGGTGAGGTGAGGTGAGGTGATGGGAGGTGATGGGAGGTGATGAAATAAATGTGAGGTACAGTGAAGTGTAGGGGGAAGTGCAAGGGGATGGATGGATGTATCTATGTATTATTAACTTCACTTGTTATTTTGCTCAGTTGGTTGTGCTCATATGTGTGTATATATAGGTAAGGATGAAAGATATGTAAGGACATATGTAGAAATTAAGCGAGCTTATATGCCAAAGCGAGAGGAATTCAGGGGATCATCAAGGATTATTATCAGAGTGCTCAGATGTGTTATGGAATCTATGTGTATATATTTATATGCATGTAGCTGTTGGCTTTTGAATGCCATTATGTTTTTGCTCTTTTTCTGTGTAGAAGTTAGTTTTGGACCTCGTCTCGTGTTCGCGGTGAGGTTTTGCGCTGTGTTTTATTGCGATCCTCATGTTTGATCGACGTGCGCTTTGGATTATTTATAGGAGTGGATCTCTTGTTGATAAATTTGTGAGATAGTTGTAAGGTTTTGGGAATGGATGGGGGAAGCAGATTATTTGCCAGGGAATGGGGGGCGGTCATGGAAATATATGTAAATATTTTTGGAAATTGGAGGGTGAAGCAGACTTATCCTAAGGAACGAGGAGTGATTATGGAGGTATACATAAATATTGTTGGAAAGGAGGATGATCTGTGAGACGTGGGCATTGCGAGTCCATCGCAAGTTCTTACTTTGAATTGTATCATCCCATCTAAACGGATGCTCGTTATTAAATGTATCAAATCAATTTACTGCAATACCTTCACTTTGACAAATGACCACTACAAGGCTATAGAGTACGTCGCATAAGTTCTTATATTTGTTATGTCTAAATGCCCTACATTCAGACTCCCCAACCCAAAAAGAAACTGATCTTTCAATATCCCTTCCTCATTTGTTTCGGCCTTGCTTGGTACTCACTATGTGTTAAGTAACTATCAAAATCGAGTTGCCGCTTCGCGCCAGTGCTGAGCGTGGTGCGGGGAAGCTGGGCACATACGGAATATGCAATATAACTAGGAAGACCCCCTGGAATAACCGCATGTCTTCGACGTGCCACGGTGATATTCATAAGCCATCTTCGTGGGCAATGTGTATCGTCGTTATCATTTTCATCGTAGAAGCCCGGTATAGCCAGGCCAAACTGTCTTCAGCAATAGTATCGATACTATATTGATTTTGAAAATAAAAGAGCAACGCAATCGAGTATTTGGAATTGATAAGAAGAAACTACGCCTTTATCGCGTTGAAATTTGTATCAACTACAACGGATAAACGGCGAATATCAAGGCCGTGGTCAAGCAGGTATCTGCCCTGATAAGGCGACGATATACTTTTAGTCTAGCAGAGTAGCGACGACGACCCTGTGCACCAGCGACGAACTAATAAACAACCAACCTAGCGTGCCAACTGAATAATGAATGCACATAAAAGAGACCATGTCCCCGCACTTTGTAAAAGATCTTTTCTATCCTTCTTTCTACATCTTCTTCTCTCTACATAACATCATGTATTATCTCCTCCCGGTAACGAGAACTATCTGCAGCAAGAACCATTCTGGCGTCATCGCAAGCACCATCACTAGCCCTTTACTCATGCATGAAAGAACTTTATGCCTATTATACGAATACATGGCATCATTCATCGTCCTTTTTTTTTGTTTTCGGGGATAACGATGATGTGTGCACTCATGAGACAGAACTTCAGAACAGGCCCGCAATAATTTACGCCCTGAACGCTTCGTTCCTCGATGTTTCAATCAAATTTAGCGGTTCACCTACTGCAATAATATGGCTTGAAAGATAGCGACCGGGAAACACTACGAAAATGGAAACGAATATATAACCACTCCACCAGGAAGCCGGAGTTAGGACTCGAACCTAGATGGTACTTCGTATTCAAACGGGTAACACCATCCTATGGTAATGAGGAAAGTTCGACATCGAGAGTCATGAGCTACTGTGATCTCGTGATCACAAGTCTCATGACAAACGCGGATAAAATCTTCAGAGACCAAGTACATCCTCATCAATCATGGGTACAATGTATATCAATACATATTCTCACTTAGGAGAAGTACATGTAACTTCCCATGTCGCCAATGGAAAGGGGTGAAAAGCTAGGACAGAAATGGATGTGTTTACCAAGGAGAAAGAACCCTCTGCTAGCCGCTTGGCTCTATGGTACGCTTCTATGCGCAATATCAAGCGCGTGTAGGCTTGTACTTGAGTTGCCCCTGATGCATTGCTCGGTTATCGAGTGGCGAGGAAGGGGCATTGAGGAGAGACGTGATAAACGATTGAGTTGTCAACCTCTCAAAGCATAAGGAAAAAAAAATTAATTTCCGACGACTGGCAACTTTTCTGATCCAAGCCAGATACCCTTGTTGCTTTCATCCATGCCATCAGACAGAAAGTCACATGCCCTCAAATTCATGCGAGCAATCCAACAAACGGCAACAAACGGCAACATCCACAAAATAAATAAAAATACACACCACGAGGATAATCATCGAGTCGGAGAAAAAAAAAGCAAGTTTTTCATCCATGCGCTAACTGGAGGAAGCAAAAGAACGTTGTAACATTACTTCACGGATAAGAAAGCCGAATTCGTGTTGTGTTACAGGAGGGCACTTTGTTTATTCCTTGTCTTGCATAACCAATTTGACAACCTGGGTACCCTCAGTATTTGCATAATTGGATGCCGTTGACTTCGATATCTTGGTGTCATCACAACTTTTTTGGTTCCGCCGTACATGGGTCGACACGAAGTGAGTGACACCGAATGCTAGTACCTCGAAGATGTGGTTGCATTGTACATCTATAGCCTACACAATGCAGCATGGCGCGTCGAAAAACAACTCCGTATTGCAGCACAATGTGCGGGACAACATGCTGTACGAGTACATACTGTATGGCTAGGAATTCTGGAAGATAATCCCGTCCAGCGTTTCGTTCCAGGCTCCTACACGCTTTCTTTCTTATGCCTCACCAGTTCCGGAAGGGGATGCAGAATTAGCAGCCGTCAATTAGCGTCAACGTCTCGAGTTTGTATTTTTTTTTGTTATCGATACAAACGTTTGATCGACGCGTTTTGATCGCTTACGGCACCGTGAGTGGCTACCACGTCAAATTTGCAGACCCTTGGCCATCCACCCACACCTCCATATTTTCTGCAAGAACACTTCATCATTTTGTCATGGATGCATCATTGCATTTCCACCATTCAACAATGATACGTGCAGTACTTTCAATACCAGCGATTCGATGGCACTTTTACAGGGGAGATATGGTATCCACTAATATGGAAAGCTGTACGCTCGGACAAGCACTCCAAGATGGTCAGATGAGAGCGATGCAAAATGTAAGATGGAAGTCCAGCTTGCAACATCTCGAATATTTCCACACCTATGCCAATCTTCAAACCAATGCATGCGGGCTTGAATTCTCTAATGAATCTGGAATCTTGATCCTGGCAAGGCAAAGTTGGAAGTCCAGAACGTGCCCAGATATTGAGAGGAGAGACTGATGTCTGGTCTGTCATCATCGGGCCAGTAGACTGGAATATCGTGTTTGCGCACGCCCGCTGTCGAACTTGCGGTGAAGATGCTTCCGTTCCGAGTCACCGAATTGGGGATTGTAACGTACACATTCACTGGGAAAGGCTGGGGAAATTAAATGTGGTTTAAGAAAGAACTACCAGCTCAGGTCTAGTTCTAGAAGCCGATATTCCCCGGTCAGCTACGTTCACAAGTTCAATCGGCTTGGGCTCTGATGCATCATGTTAGTACCGCAAGTGGATAGGGAATCAGGGAATGCAAATCGTCTTTTCCAAGTGGTGAGTCTACTCTCTGCACCGTTCTGGGGCGTCCTAGCATTATGTACCTACCCAGGCTCACGACTCATGCGTTTCACAGTTGCTTATGATGATGTTCTGAATTTAGGAGGCATATCATTTTTTCAATATGGACAAGTCACGTTTTCTTACTAATTTTCGTTATCCCGTCTCGCTCACAATCAACTCGCTATAGAATCTTCCGATCTTTAGTTACAACTAAGCCCAATATAAGGGTATGAAAGAAATCGCGCAGGAAAAAGATATCTAGGGCCCCTAGGGGGCCTCTTTATCAAAGCTTATAGAACGCTCTCCAGTAATTGTAGCCAATTTGGAGGAATATCGGAGCTCAAAAAATAGCCATGTGTGGAGGACCTAATTGCTATATCATCCTAACAAGGCCATTCATTTTGAGCAGATTCTAGCCTTTCCAGTTTAAGTATTGACTGAGGTGAATGATTTCTGGCCACAATATTGATAAGAACGTTGTTAACAAAAGTTTAAGCATATCATAAATTTTTATTCACTCAATATTCAATGGAGTCAAGCAGCTAATTCCTGTGGATGGTCCGATTTATATAGAAAATATTTAGGGCGATAATTGCTGCCGGTGATCCGACTTTCCCAGTTGCGTTTACTATCTTATAGGCCATGTATCATATTGGGCTTCCTATCAAGGAAGTAAATGCCCCAAAATAAGACTCTATGCAGGCAACATCGTTGTAGGCTCATGTTGGCTGGACAGCTGCTGTTCGCGGTGGCAAGGGGGACTACCGCATGCCACAAAGCTTATCATATATCGCTACAATTAGCACGCCGATTTTCGATGGAATATCTAATGGTTTTGGGCAATGGGTAACTTTGATATAGAGTTTACACGATTCCCTCGTTTCCTGAATTCTAGGAAGAGGTTTGCGGTCATTTGAAGAAGTGATTGGATAGGATGCATCTTGAAGATAGGAGGATACTCGATTTGTAACACGGTAGTCCTGCTACTACTCAGATTTGAATGTTTTTAACATTTTTCGATTCAGTTTGAGATAGTGCAGAGTTAGATATCTCTCGAAGAACTTGAATTCCAAATTAAAAAGGAATTGTTATGTTTAGTTTCCATAACTGATAATAATGAAGTATCAGAATCAGGTTTGAAAGTCGTGAATAAAGTGGGATACAAGTGTCATTTACCGGGAGAATGGAAGTTTTATGTCATTCGGGACAGGTTTTAGGCAGCACCAAGCAGTGTCAAGATAAACTTCATATAGTATTGCTAATAGTTCATGATCATGGCAGCGCTGGAATATGCCTTTGCTTCCCCCGATCTCTTAATCGGCACTAAGTCCAACTTACTGATGCTGTACGCGAAGTATTCAACCATTTATTTGCATATCTTTGCTTTTTACTGGCAAGAATTCACTCAAAGAAACTAAGGTAGAGCCCTATCGTCAAAGCCTAACGTCCACTCCCACATTATAGTAAGAGAACTTACCGTTTTATGATTCCAACCCAAGAAATCCGTCGGATCTGGAACTTAATGGTTCTGAAGATCAGAAAGTGTAGTTTTAAAAAAGTGGTGAGATTTGTTTCATGATATTTAATAAATCATTATGATATTTTGTTTATATTAAGATATAAAAAGGTTAAAAAATCATTAATTGTGATGTGATTTCGCTTAATGTGCGATGAGAGGTATTGCGCACCCGGGAATCTTTCTAGAGCTAAAGCCGCTAGTTATTGGGTTAGTTACTCTTGTACCAGAGAATATAGCACAAATGGAGTACGTTGCACTACTAATACCAAGCATAGGATAGATAGGGTTCCAAGGTCTGGACTATAAATCGTTCGATTTGTAGTGAAAATGCATGAGACTGACTCAAGCAAGCGTACCTATTCCGTTAGTGCAGGCAAAGTTTTCTGCATTGGGCCCTCTGCATAAGAAACGCTCAAGCCGACTCTGCCGTCCGAAAGTTTGTTGATGTGTTGTTACGCCCCAGCTCTCGTTTCGTCAATTACTTGCATCCCAAAGTCAATGGGAAAGAATATCATTCCTCAATACTGTTAGAGGGAGGGCAGATGGAAGATGCCAGAATCTCTGATACAGAAGTCTTGTATCTCTGTTTTTCTGAGGAACTAGGGCAATACAACCAACCCTGTCCCCCATTCCTTCCAGATATGCAACAAAAGTTTGAGATAGAATCACGTGACAACTACACTAAAATAGCTGCTGTCAGGTTCCCGCCGCTAGTGCATGGAAGCTATTCTCAACACCATGCGATATTTCGAATATATAAAGCACCAATTGCTCATGGAGTACTGGTACTCGTACTATCGCAATGTCAACCCATCTGGTATTGTTCAAGCATCTGAAGTCAGGTTTGAAATTTCAATACCGAGTGATCAAGTTGTCACGTTCAAGTCACTTTCTGCGCAGGAAGAATATGTGATTCCAGAATGGTATTATTTTACTCTCAAGAGTATCTTTCTAGTGTTAATCTAGTCAAAGCTGGCATCCCGCACCTCGGAAGTCGTACTTTGTCTAGAGTGACTCTACAGCGGATGAATTTGACCCACAAGCCTTGAGCATATCAGATCCGGCCTTAGAGTCGTCTTTCCTTTTATAGCAACAAGAGTCAGGATGAGACGTGGTGAAGATCCGTGAAAGTTTATATCTCACCACCGACAAGCCTTGTCAAGGTTATGCCCTCACTCGACGGTTTTAGGTAATAGATCTTGGCATTTTACCATGAGCTAAGATAACGGCGGCGCCTAGCTACTGGTAACATCTCATCATGACAATCCATGAAAAACCTTATCATATATTCTTATTTGACTCGTTCAAATGATCTCCATGATAGTTTAGCGCAGTAATTATCTATTCGCCATCCAATAGTTTCTGCATGATTCAGTGTATTAGTTCATAGCGAATCCGTCGATGAGCACCAAAGAGATCTCGACGATCCTCTTGGAGGAAGACACATGGACGATGATGACCAAGTACCTGTCCGATCTTAAGTCAACAACAAAATCTCAACACTTGGTTGGGCAGGTTGTATGATAAAGAAAGATACTACGAGTAATAAGTCACGAACTAGTGAAATACAAATCATACGCGGGGAAGTTAGCCCTTTCGCTTGAAAAGGGGCTCTAACATCCAAAACCAAAGACAACCTCTAACATGGTACGAGGCGAGGAAAAAGTTTAAGCCCTGTAACACATGATTAATCATACTCGCCACATACACATGATTGGTTCACTAGGACCAGCCACCAATGCGTCATCTGACCCCCCGGGCACAGAGGCGCACACCTTTAAAAAAAAACAAGGCGAACGGTGGCTTCAAATGAATCACCACAGTCATCGCGAACCATGTCACCGCATATGCACGCCCAGACGCTTTTAATCTAGTGTTATGCATGTTCTCCCGTCTCTTTCGAGGTATTCCGATGTGATAGGAATTTTCCAAAGTGGTTCGAGAATTTGGTGTCATTACTGGAGGGGCCGGCTGGATAAAATCTTTAGTCTATTTCTGTGCATTTTTGCAACTCTAATCGTAATACCGAGTATCTTTCGTCGCATATCTTGCATTTGCCGTCGCATCGCGCTCGAATTGGAGAAAAAAATCATCTTCAAGACTCACAACCACTAGTAATGAAGAATATGTTTTGTCGAAGACTGCTGTAGAATTCTAACTATTGGTATGAAACTCCGTCCTATGCTTTGAATGCTGTTTCGCTGTACATGTACAATATACCTATTTCCCTCGCCTAACACCATATTTTCCCTTGAAATTGACCGATTGCCTACAAGTCGGCCTTAACGTATTTATTTTTATCGCCATGGAAGCTCTTGCCAAGTAAGCTTGAAAATTCCACCCTTCTACCGTCCTATGCATTGATAAAGGCCTGCCCAAAGGGTATAAAGCGAAAGTACCAAAGAGTTTAAAGAAAATCCAGTGACTCCGGAAAATGTATCGTGATTAAAAGCACGCCGAAACTCCCAGTGCGGCAACATGCTGCCGCTCCCATATCTGTCCTACACGCTAGAACGCCTGGTTAAATCCCACCCAAATACCAAGATCAAATTCCAACATTTCTTCGTTTTAATCATGCGTTAAAGACTAATATCCGGACCTATGCACCTCTTTGAACAGCCCGTAAAAAACTAAAAGAAAACTATACAATATATTTCGAGATCCTGGGGGTATAGAAAATTAAATGAAACTTTTAAAACAAAACATCCTCGGATAAATTTTGCACATTCCAGGAAATGGACCATTTAAGACATTCGTGGAAACTGTGCAACGTTTGGAGGTGGTGTAGTTGGTGGCGATGGAGGAGCACCTGTCGAGTATGGAATAAAGTGTTGAGAAGGGAGGAGCACACTCTCCCTACGGTTACCATTGGAATAAACATGGCCTTGGAAATGGCCCATGCAATCCTCCATATTATGGCCGATCAAATTAGGAAGACGATTATTACGGAATGATTGAGTTGAATTGGCGGTTCCATTGTGCGTGCTTGAGCAATCATCTTCAATGAAAATAGCCGAGTCGTGAGACGACGATGATGATCGGAATGGACTTGCGACATATTGAGACGACGTGGAGTAGCCAGAGTCGTTTGACAAATTGTTGGTAATTTTGGTACGGAATGTTCTTGGGGAAGAGGGGGATGAGTAAAAGCCTGGCAATCGTTGTATCATCAATCTCAGCTCCGGAACAGTAATACGGAGCTCTGGGTCTGGATGAAAGATCATTTGTAAAATGATATTAAGTTCGTCCGATGGGTTTAAAATGGTCTTCAAGAAATCTGGGTTCTTGAGAAAGGCATTATATGTGGCATCATCCCATGAGGCTTGTCTCCAAGGGTTTCTTCCAAATGTGAGATTGACCAAGATTACCCCGAGAGACCAGACGTCGTTCGGTGCACATCTGTATGGTGCATATGATTGTTCTAGACACTCTGACGACGGAACGTGTTAGTAGGTAAAGGGAGACTGCGGAATGGGAATCGGGATGAGCAATGCCTACCTGGAGACATGTAAAATGTAGATCCGCATCCGTGATCACGAGATGTGGGTTCCTGTGTGGCCAATCCAAAGTCTGCTAGGCAAACGGTACGACCAGAATTGGAGACTAGAATGTTCTCAGGCTTGAGATCCCTGTGGTATATTCCAAGACGGTGGCAATGTTCCGTGGCATCCAAGATCTGGAGGAAGATGCTCCGGATTAGAGCATCGTGACCTACATATCTACCACCCTCAGTAATATTAGAGAAAAGATCTCCTTCCCGGTAGTAGTCCAAGATAACATAGGTGCAGTCCGGGTCGTCGAGAATCTTATACATCGATACAATATTAGGATGCGCCGAAGCATTCCAGTGTAAGGCTATCTCTCTTGACTGATAAAGTCGTGCTTTTGCGTCCAAAGGTTGTCCATAGGCATTTCTTTTGTTGAGAGCTTTCACGGCATACTCTTTTCCGGTTATTAAGTCCTGGGCATAATATACAGTCCCGTAGGCTCCCGAGCCTAAAGCTCGCGATAACAACAGAGTCTCTCCTAGTATTGTACCTAACCTATGATCCTGAGGCATCGGAAAAGCTAGTGGCGAAGGAGGAGGGGTTGGATATGTATGGTGAGATGGAAATAATGCAGAATAAGGGTTGACCTGAGATGGTGGATATTGGTGAAGCGGGCTGTTTTGGAAAGCAAGTTTGGTAGGTGGGAAACATGGTGGTAACTCCCTGTTATGATCCAACATGGCAAAAAGTGTAGAGAAAAAAAAGGAAACGACCTGGATATAAATGGCTCCTACTCCAATGGACCAAAACTGGGCTGATGAACAGTTGTAAAGGAAAAGGGATCCGGGGGCGATGTCCGGTTCCAAATGGGTTCTTTGCGTTATGATTAGATTATATGTTATTCCGCATGTCGTCTTTGGTAACGAAGGAGGTGAGCGACGACAAGTGTGTTGAAATATAAAGGGAATACAATTGTGAGGATCTTAAGGATCTTGAGGATCTTAAAGATCGTAATGGGGAGGAACCGACTGTATGTATATATTCAGAATAATATCCATGGTGGCTTACTTTTGTGTAAAATCGATAATTAAAATGGGGAAAATGATCTAAGCTTAGTTTAGTAGTAACGCTTCAGCCTAGAGTATGAGAACTGGAAATCAAATTGTTAGCAGAGCCGTGTGTAGTTGCCAAATCGCAGGGCTGCCAAACTAGTCTAACCTTGATTGCGCATGAAATCTACCCACCCCCCTTCCCCCTTCCCCCTCAGAAGGTCTGGGACATTTTTCTCTTGCCTCAAATCGCCTCGTGGCTGCTGATCAACATCATTGTTGCTAACTTACTTTCCCGCCTAAGCTTATTATTCACTTCTTGTTTTTGTACAAAATAGATGACAATAGATTCTAGCCTCCATCTTGTTTTCGTCCTGTACGCAGCAAGTAATAGGCGATCTCTGAGCAATCAATCTATATGTCATCCTCGGCAAATGAAAGGATCCGTTCTTTTCAACCATCTATTTCTCGTCAATTTCTTCTTCAGGTAACATGTTGAGCAAATCATTATGCCACGTAACAAGGGTCATTTATTACACCTTCTTGGATTATTCGATAGGGCTTCAAAATTCGAATGGGAGAACCACCATACCCATACCTCAGTTTTGGTCATGGAACAAACTTTAGCTTCTCCCCTGCTCCTTTTCCTTCCTATTCTTTCTTTCTGGGTTCTTTTGCCGGTCATGCTGGTGAAGACTTCAATTATTCACATTTTTCAATAGTAGTATCGGTCGCAATCCCTGACCTTCTCCAGTTAAAAATCGTCAATTTATGCAGCATTACTGCGCCCTTGCCACGCATACGAGCCCAGCCCAGTAAAACATCGCCCAATGAGTGATCTGAGCGGCATAAAGTGGAAACGACGATAGTGAGGCTGCAGCGACGGAAATGATTGATGTTTGTGGTTAAGATCGTATAAATGATTTGCTCATAAGTGAAAGGGAAACGCTGGGGCGTCGATATTCCAAGGGTTGTGTACTTGGTGTGAGCCTGTGAGAGTTGTTTTAAACACAGAATTTTATTTACAAGAAAAATGTTCACTAAGCCAAGATAAGTTTAGTAACTATTCTAGCAACCACAACTTTATAATGTTCTTACATTTTTCCATAATTTACTATTCAAAAGTTTGAGAAATGATCCATAATAATATATATTTGTTGGCAAAGTCTCATCCACACAACTTTATTGGTTCATCTAATTGGCATTGATTCGAGAAGTTTATAGACATGACAGTCACAGTGACAGACTCACATCTTCCCCACAGCCTCACTGCACAAGCTGCATATTCTGCTGATAGTCATTGCTTTACTTCGTCCTATATATGCACAGTAATGGATAGAGCCGGCAGTAGTGACTGGCGAAGGAGGGCGAGATGCCAAAATAGAGGCTGGACATCTCCGAAATCAAATCATACTATAAAATGTCATAGCCAATGAAGCTCGCTTATGTACTCGTACTCCTCGCCCATCTTGGTGTCCTCAGTATCCAGCCTTTCCGATGAAAATCCGCCTTAGCCAAACGCCCTGAGCTTTAATCTCACCCAATGAATGAGTCCATTACTCAGCTAGACAGTTACTCCCATTTATTTTACCTTCGTACAAGAGACATACGGCAAGTTATTGATAGATGCTACAGAATACCATACACGGCTAATTCCAGCAAAACAAAACTATGATTACACAGAATCTACAGGCTATAGCTGCCTCTTCAAATTACCTTCCCTCTTACCGCCAACACCGCCATTAACCGCACGAGAAAACAAGATTGAAGGTCATGGTTATTGTACCCAATTAGCCATCTCCTTGTAATGACAAACTGCTAGCTGGGCACCGTTTAACCTTCGCCAACCCCTGAAACTCACCGCTGCCCAGTGCCAAAGTCCACCCCCAAATCGTGGAACTCCCGAACGCTGCAAATAAATGAATGAATATTATCTCGAAACTAAAATCTCCTTCATTACTGGTTTGATGTACCAACATCCTACATCCTCAACAAACAGCGTTTCCCCATTTATACCAGCGCCCGAACTGCTAATTTCAGGTAGGAAGGATTTTAGATGTGATGTGCTTGACAGTCTAGGTAATTTTCAATAGATTGAGCATTTATTACTCCATACAATAATATGTGGTCTGTGGTCTTTGGTCGCAAGCCGTTGTGTATCCGTAATAGCACTCTGACCACCATTTGCGATCCCTTCAGTACCCATACCCCCACAGTAAACGCTGTACAACCTCGAGGTCTTTTCAACTTCGGCTCCACGTAACGGAAATGGGCGACAAGGCAGGAAAATAGGCAATCTCTCTTGCACTTCTGTACACTCTAGGTATGGTTACAATACATACCCCAACCTAAGCAGCCATCACTCAACCATCCAGTAAAAGCACGCCGACCGCATAGCCGATTCGCAAGAAGTGACAATCAAAGGAAGACGCACGTCAGATGGAGGTCAGATGTGGAAGGAATGAAAATACTTGAGTGGAAGAAGAGGCATAGGCTGAATCCGCCGTCTTACTACAGTCCTTCCATTCTCGAGGTTACCTTGGTACCGTACACTGATATAGAGTACAATGCGGAGATAATTCGCCGTCGTCTTACAGTTTGAAGGAATAATGATTCTCGAACGGATGCGATTGTCATGATCATAAGATGTACGACGATGTTGATCTTGATCTTCATCCTCAGCTAATAATCATCTCCTGTTCTTCCTGTCTATCTTGTCTCCCACAGACCCTTCCGTGTAGTCTTACTATTCCTTTGCTCCTACCACATTCAAATAGTGACGATGATGTATGAACACCAACCGGATTCCCGCATCCCAGCCTCATTCCCTTCCGTCAAACATAGACACTCGGGTCCGCCCAAAGTTGAGATTGACAAACCCACGACGATAACAGAATGACAAGAAAATGAAGAAGCATCCGGATGTAACCGATCGAATGATTATCCATAGCATAGAGTATTATTTCAGTGACACAACTCTAAACAAGTGAACCCCACCACATATCTTTACTGAGCCTTCCTACCATCCATAAAAGCTCATATTGGAGGCATTGGCTCATGTACGTGAAAATCGGGAATACCGACTCGCACATTCTGTCCGGGTGTGACCGTTGGATGTGGACGGGTTGAATCAAATCCACCAATCTCAGATTCTCAATCGGCTAGTCATCCATGCTCAGAATTCGAGATGGCTTCAATATTTCAATACGATAGAACCGACCTTCCGGATTGAGCAAGATCTAATTAGTTAAATAAAGCACAGTCAATAATGACCAAGCAACTCCAATTTCGCACCTCATCGCTATTGTTATTAGACCACAAGCATCTTAGACTTCTCCAAGCGTTACATATTATGCACGTGCTTGGACCCCCTTCATACTCCCACTGCAACCACAACCACCCACCAACAAGCAACACCGACCTCCCACAAAGACATCCTAACCGCCATGTGTGACGCTTGACTGTAAATCATCAATATTTCCTACGAACTGATAAATGCACGTCATCTTCAGATCTAACCAATATACTATTCTAAGCACGTACCCGCACGGGTTAAAGAAGTGGTCCTTCTCGAGGTCCTATTCAACATCCCAACCATGGAGACTTACCGGCCGCTGTCAAGACCGCGGCGGCGCTAAAAGAATTATGCCTCTGCCGTTCTCTTTGTCTATAATCAATTCAATACATCATTCTCCATTTCTCGAGGTCTGTGATCACAAGTGTGGAGAATCCATGTCTATAATGTGGTATGTATTGAAACAAACATATTATGCCTTTTGTCCTGCAGTCTTGTATCTTCATCTGTGTCTGTATCTATGATTATTACTTTTCCTCTGCAAGAGTTTTCCTCGGGCGGGTATCGAGTACAATATTGAATCCTTCAAATATATTGGTACAATCCAGTAATGATTAGTTTCAAATGCACCCATCAATGTGGAAAGTTTCTACAGCATTGGCACAGGTCAAATACTTCAAACATGCATATGAACATTACCTATTTAAGATTCACATGATTCAGTTTTCTTCCCAAGAAAAGATCATGTCGTTAGTAGCGATAACAGTTGCAGTTGGTGCTGTGCCGTATCGGAAGGATTCTTTGCGTTATATGTGGGCTACTATATTTAGAGCTTCATCGTTGTTGCTAAAATGAAGCTCTCACATCATGTTCGATCAATTGATAACCCGGAGTGGAGACATTCCACAGAAGAATGTGTCGATGGGATGAGAATAGCTTTTGGCTCTTACCTGCGACAGATATGATTATCATGACTTAAAGCGATTTTTCAATGACGTTCCGAGGTGCATGGGCTGCCTTGATATTTAGTTTTTTTATATCTGCCTAAGTTGGAATTTAGTTCAGAAGGTGCCCAATATCCACCGTCACTACCATGCAGTTCAAAGGATGGATGAAATAATATGGGAATAGACACACTACCAAGAATAACGTCGGTAATATCTTTAGCTGATCTGTTTATCTATTACCGTTTTTATATGATGGGTCTACTAGTGTTGAAAGAATGGAACATATGGTCGACTGTACCGTCTACAAGGAAGACGCTGTCTAGACAATCCACCTGGATATCTCCATTTCGACAAATTGATAGAGTAAGAGACAAATATCGGTGCCATTTTCATATCGTCTGCTGCAATATACTTTTGTCTGCATATGCGCTGTTGCGAGCACAATCTAGTTACCAACAAGCTACTGCACAATATCTAAGCGGCGGCTGAGATAAACGAGGTTCGCCTACTCCTTCTGTTACTCTCTTTTCATTAATGTTATACTCTTCATCCACATTATCCTCCTGGTTTCACAGTTCCTGACCTTTGAAGGGTATTTTTGGGCTTACAGTACCTAGTATGTTCGCTAAACGGTCTTCGGCAGTCACGGGGCAAATGCGAAGCGGACAATGCTCTTCGCTCAATAATATCCTCGAGCTAGTCAAAAGCTTATTGTAGTTATCTAGCATGAAATTTAGGTCTTGATGCTAGTATCATGAAGCGTAGCTGTATTTTCACTCAGTATTTCACTTCAGAATTTAGCATAGAATGTTCCTTGCCCTTAACCTCGAACTTGTCACATTATTTACTTCCAAGATATTGTGCTAATGGAACTATTCGTATCATTTGTGTTAATAAATCTAGTTTGGCTGTGAGATGTCCTTCGATGCAGATTTACTTGGCAGTTATCAAAGATCTCAGGCTATGAATTCACATATAAGACTACTGAACTCGGCTAGCACTAGTTAGCTATTATCTCATCCACTTCTAAATCCGATGCTTTGTGTATTCTGCGAATCCTGCAGTCTCTACATCCAGACCGCGAACCGAACGGTTAGTCTATCGTCTGATTGGACTATATTGACTATTGGAATGAGTTTTATGTAAAAAGTTTAGTTCAGCGAGTTTAAATTCCACAAGTTTAGCTTGACATTTAGACTCTTGAACTAGGTAATATATTTTATGTAATTTCAAGTGATATTAAAACCATATTTTTACGTTTGACCATAGAGCCGAATTGGAAATTGATATTAGATCTTTATCATAGTCACATCTAATCTATTGAGTCAATCAAACTAGATTGTAACATGGCTAGTATGGCTTAAAAATATCATTAGACGACTAGTTTTCCTTTTTCGCAAATTGGAAGTTTGACTAATCATGATGAAAACCCTAATAAGTCTAGTAACCCCTTTTCGAACCACCCCTAATTCGAATTACCTTTTTATACCAAAAATCAACACTTTCAATATTAATAATTCAATGATTAATGGATAAAATCAATTGAAAGTTTAATTATAAATCTGTTATAAAATTATTAATAACTGAAAATCATCATTCTTGGTATAAAAAGGTGGTCTGAATTAGGGGTGGTACGAAAAGTGGGTACTAGACTTATGCCAGGCAAAAACTGTTAGAAACCCTGCACGATTCAGAATGGTGGAGGAGGTACATTTATAACAGCGTTATCTATCATGTATGAAATCATCCCGACGTAACAATTGTGTACATTTGTGTCCAGACCAACAAAGTCAATTCCAAATCATGTCATCTAAGTCAACTTCACATTATCTCTAGTTCCGACTTCACCTAAAGATGCGATGCTGAAGCCCCAATGATACTGAATTGGCGCAAAAGCAAAAGCATAGTGGGTACGCGTCTTTAACGAATTCAATACTGACACAGTTTCCCTTGGCAACCTTCGGCTTGATAGATATAACTAGAATGTATACCACGATCACATTTTGAACTCTTACTATCTCATGACTCTTGATCTTGCCATTCCTGTATGGTTCCGGTGTCATTAAACACATGCCAGTTCAAAGCAGGTTTAGAGCATAGTAGCAAATTAAATGTTCCGAAAATATCGTTTTAAAAACGATTATAGTGTAGCCCCTAAGTACGCGAGGTTAAATTTGGCTAGTCTGCCCCCGCGTTCAACTACTGCTAGCTTGGGCCACAAAACCACTCCACCGAATGTTGTTAAGTTCAGATCAAGATCAAGTTTTTGAATTTTGTGAAGATTCTGATCAGCTAAGCAGTCGATCAAAACTGTCATCATTTATTCAAGAATTTTATCATGCACTGTTTTAGCTCCCCGCTAGGAATTTACCATGTCTATATAAACCTCGCATTTCCTATGTCCTTTCATTTTATCTTCATTACAATCACATCTTCCTTCTTAAGAAAGCTTCATCAATATTTCTTCAAAAACTCGTTCAACTTCAGCTTCTTTCACAGTTACTTTAAGTTGTACGCTCTTCGATTCTTTAATTCATGATTAGAGATTACACAATTTCTATCAGATGCAAAAGTCCGTAAAGGCTCTTCAATCGTGGTACATCTCTGGCAAAAAGCGGTGTTGGTCTGAGAAGATTCAATAATCTAATGTTCAGTTACTCCAATGAATTTCAAACAATAACCCAGCACGAGCTGGGCTATCAGAGGACTTATAGCATGGCGGCAACGCATTGCTATATCCTCTTTTGGGAGACAGATTCTCTGCCCCGATTTATAAAGATCTCTTACATTTAAACTAAAGATACCCGCGTAGTTATTCTATGGAAATCATTCTTTGCCGTTGAAGGTCCATGCCGGAAATCAGCACCCAAAATTTGAAAGTCAAAGAAACGGGGGTTCCAAAATCCCATGATTATTCAACGAATATTGGCTGCCATAGCCGCCTTATATTACAATTAAGTAACACTGTTAATACTCGCTCGACCAGAAAGTATAGAACCATCCGCCAAGCACATGCTAAAATATTGTAAACTAGAAGAGGAATGATGGCCACTAATTAAGTGGGTGTTTATGACTCTCTGACAGCACGAGTACCGCGACTCAAAATCCCCAAACCCCCCCCAAACAAGATCAGGGCAGCGGTGGGAGCAAGATATGGCATGCAAGACTGAGACTAACAGCAGGGACGTGCTTTCAACACGCGGGGTCATAGTTTTACCCCAGATTTACTTCAACGGTCGACAAATCTACGGAAATTAATGGAAGTGCATCATTCAGCGGGAGCTAGCAGTAGCTTAATCCATACTTACCCCGTCTGGCGTTAGCTAGCCTATCGTCTCTTCTTTCAGTCACGAGACTTGTTAGTTCACACCCCTCCTTTACCTAAATCTTAAGCTTTCCGCCGTTGAAGTCACTAGAGCGCTAGAAAGTGAGCCGTTCATTTTTAAACTCCGATCTAGGCCAAAAATGCAAATTGCAGATCTCATTTATCCTCCTGAGCGACTTTTGGTTGGTTAAATAACGTGATGACTCAAGTAAATGATCAACGGTTTCTGTAGCGGGAGCACTATACACCGACAGATTCAATCGCTTCCCTGATCTAGGCCCAAAATTGTAAATGACAGATAACGTTATGCTTGTGAGCGATTTATGATTGGTTGAATAACATCAAAACTCGATTCAAGTCCTCACTCTATGGTAAATTCGGAGTAGTACTCGGATTGCTTGAGTCGGTTGCACTAAAAAAATACGTTTAAAGGTTGGTGTTCGCACATGTTTCATCTTTTTCATTCATTCCTTCATTTTTGGGTTTCAACCTTTATCTGTAAACTTTTACATTTGTTTTTAATTCAGATGTATCATATCTCGCCATACATCCTTTGATCTAACTTATTACTTCAAGGAACATCATCATGCTGGCTCAACATAATTGCTCCAGTACTGCCACGAATATTTAATAATAAGACAACAATCTTTGAGCACATAATATATAGAACATAGTTAGTATTACCAGTACCTTCCACTCCAATTCAATCGCCCAAAGTGTTTCTGGACTGACGCAAAGTTGTTCTGACCGCAGATGATCGATGTCAATTTAGGAATTCGCTTGTATTCCGACCCATAATAAAAGGAGGCATCGACAATCCGGCCTACATACAAAAAGAAATTTTACACTAGACCAACCAACAGGACGACTTAACAAGCTAACCAATCTACTACGGGATTCATCAATCACAGGGAAATCTACATTCTTATCTTATTCTTATCTTATAATCATTTACTTCAGCACCCTATATCATCTCACTTCAATCTTACTATTATCTACCGAACTCCATAGGATATATCTCATCGCCACGCATTATCCATGCTACAATCTCATCACTACCTATATTATCATTTACAAAATATATTCTCATCGAAAAATATCCACCACCATCACCTATACTATTTACATTACCATTTATAACATATATCCTTATCAACTAATACTAAGTACCCTATATACTATTTCTTCATCATTTATATAATCATATCTAGGTCTCCCAGGTTTTTATTAATATTTATTACCGTGATATCTTCAAAATCTTCAACATCTTCAACATCTTCAACATCTTCAACATTTAAAAGCCACATCGCCCAACCCCGCAAGAGATCGTCCTAGAGGTTCAATCTTCGTATTAACCTCTAGGATAACCTCGGGAGAAGCGTTAAGAAAGCCCAAGAACCATTACGCCATCATCGAATCATCAACAATCTCACGACAATAATTTCGACAACAGACGCCTCTATAACAAATCAATCTAAGATAGAATAGGGAAACATCCGAGCCATACGTCATCGTCATTTAACTCGAAGCATCAAGGAAGAACAAAGATCAAAGCATATATGAAGAAGAAAAGGAAAGGATTCTTTTACTACATTATCGAATCCAAACCCGGCGCTCCTTCATCATTCATCTTTATCTCAAATCCTCATGCTAATAATTATACAGTACAATCATGCGAAGCGTCCTGCAATCCACCACAACAGCATAACCGGTTCATCCACACCGCAAATCGTAAAGGATCTGGAAAGCGAAATGTTATTGTCACAACATTCAAAGAGAATAGAGAGGAAAGGAAAAAGGTAGGTACCAAAATACAACACTCACCAAAACACACCAACATCAACACATCAACACACCAACACAGCATTCAAACACCTAAAATCCTCTTCAGGCGCCAGCATAAAGCTAACCACTCAATGAAAAAAGGGACCTGGTAACAGGCAGTAAGAACAAAAAATTGGGCAGGAGAGACCGAAGTGCCCTGGAATGCATGTTTCCATACATAACCCCGTCTAACATTCATGAGCGAAAGAAGGGCCTGCACATTTCCTTGAGGAGAAAAGAAAAAGAAAAGAAAATGAAAAGCAATGGGGATGGAGGGGTTTATATAGGATTTTTGGTATGTGGCTCGCTTGGGTGGATGTGTGTGTTGGGTGGGAAGGTGGGAGGGGAGGAAAGAAAGGGAAGGGAAGGGAAGGTGGTAGAGGAGGAAAGAAAGGAAGGGAAGGCGCGGGAGGAGGAAAGGAGAGTAATTAGCACATATAGGTAGATACCAGGTAGATACCAGGTAGATAGATACTAGGCAGATAGATACTAGGTAGATAGATACAGGTAGAAACTAGATACCATCGAGTTCACAGTGCCGCCGAGATCCAAACATTTATTTTGGGTTTCGGTGGGCACCTTCCTTTTACAAGGGAGCTCGTAGATGTATGAAGGGAATTGAGAAATTTATTAATTGAATTACTTGCTGCTTTGTGGAGTGAGGAGAATGGTATTTGCTTCTTTCTTTCGGGATCGCAGAACGAGGCGAAATCATTCGGTCAATTGTGATTTTGAGGATTTTGGCCTGATTTGAAAAGGCAAACAGAAAGATCCCGATAAGTGACGAAATGACCGATGATATCACGTAGGCCCACGTGCAGAAGTGTACGAGAAAACACAGAGTAGCAGGAAAGGAGAGGAAAGTGCAGTCATGTCTGGTTACGTAGATATATGAGCAAAGACACAAAATCCAACGAGAAACCACATGGTAGAAATATTCTAGAGTGATTGAGGGAGTCGTGTTAAGAATTTCCAACTTTATAATATTGCTGACATGACAGATGTGAAAGGGGTTTGACATGGGGGAAAGAGGGGAGAAGAAACAAAAGCATGTACAGGAAAAATGCGTTGTTAATGATGTAGAGAAAACAACTAGACAGATGAAGAATGTGATGAAGGAAGTCCAACAGGAAATGAAGAAGGAAAGAACGAGAGAACGATGTGTAGAAATCCACAGGCAATGAGGAACGACTGGCCATCAGTTGGATTTATCCATTATTTGAACATCGAAGTATGTTGGAGATCAAAACATCAACGTGGAATCTTTTCAAACATTGAAGCTTGAGGACTATTTGATGTTCAATCTAAATCGGCATATTGTGTGGATATCTGACTGTCCAATTTTAGCTAGAATATTGGGGAGCGCTGAAATAAGATCTTACTCTAGTCAAAACTTCGGATTTGCATTTTGAGTCCGTGAGATCATTATCATTTTTCCAATTTTTATTATCTGAATATATATACTAAAGAGGGCTATGAGATCAGAGAGGTGTATTCGACTTTGACGTTTTATCGTGAATATGTGATGTCGTTGTGTTTGATACCCTACTAAGCGTAAGGTTACCCCACCATTTATTTCCCTTGCGCAATTAAATATGGTATATATACCACTATTTACATCCAACAAACAAAAAAGCTGGCACTTTGGCGGAGTGGTTAACGCGATGCCCTGCTACTGTATAACAGAGTCAGGCATTTCCCTCGGGAGCGTGTGTTCGAATCACACAGGTGTCGTTTTTTAGTGTTTTGCTCCTGCGTATGCTTTAGTTTTGCTACACGGATATAGTTACATATTACTGCTGGGTGGGTATATTTATTGCAAAGCCAAATGCCGCATTTCATTCGGTACCGAGCAAAAAATAATAACAATTTCGCGATTAGTGGTACTAGCCCCAGTGATCTGTGTATCTTTCCCCCTATGTCTTTTGTTTTCCCTTCTCGAACAGGGTGCGCCCAAGACAGAGGGTTTTGGAGATACAACATGGCAATTTCCTCAGTTCAACCATCCGTGATTTTGGATTCTGATGCTCCACAGTTGTAACCACGTGATATTGATATCTTTTAGCTGGAAAGCCTTACTTACCTAGAGAGTTTGGTGGACGGGGATTTATATGTGCAAGAATAACAAGAAGCAATTTTATATTGTCAACGTGGATGTGCAAGAAAGGGAGTCCCGGGGAAGATCATCTGTGAGAGTCATGACCTCATTTCCGAGGATGTTTCGGGAAAGCTCCGCCTCGCTGATGGTGTCACAGAGAATGGCGCGTTCATGCTGTGCCACTTTACAGGACGAACGGTATTAGGATCAATCAGACACCACACCCTTTTATCAACAACTTGATATTAAAATCACATCTACCAATACTTTAGAAACGTGGTATTTCTACAACATCTTCGCGGATATACTTCAAGGCGGACTTCGATCTGGCTGTCTCAGCTGACAGTGTTAACAGCACAGTATCGTTGGCCGCCTCACGATGCTCGTTATCATTCTTCGTTCTTTTATTCTCTTCATTTTCTCGACAGGTCGCCCGCGTATCAAATGTCGTATTTAATTGAGAGACAGGCCTTGGCATCTGGTTGATCGTTGATTCAGACAAGAATGAGGCTAGCCAAGGTATTCACGTGCACCTACCTTCCCAGCTAATTTTGAAACCTTGGAAAACCCACGTATAATCTCACTATCATGGAGTGAAACGACAGTGTCTCATTGCCGTCTAATATACTACCTAGGTATATCTGCAAAGTTTAACCCTGCGAACTCCGCTCATTTCCAAACAATGATAGCGATAAGGTTTTGAGGTACAACCTCTTATCTACAACGATTCTCCCTCCTCCATATCTTCTACTCAAAAGTGGGTGATTGATGGAACAAATTGCCACAATAGGACATTCCATGATCTTTGAATAGATATATCCTCTCCAAGGAGTGAGAGTTGATCTTCATGGACGCGATTTTCATCGGTACAACCACGGAATAAGCAATGATTATAGTTCTGCAAACTTGATTTTCCAGAAGTTAACATTCCTAAGATACCACGCGCGAGATCAAAATTCTCAGCAACAGCTTGGATATTGAAAAGCCCAACACAATCCACTATTCTGAAGCCCTGCGCGACTCCTCATACATTACCCAATATCTCTCGGGGATCACTGGATTCCAGATGACATTATGGATATGCCAAAGCTTGGCGTTATTTCGCCACTTCATGCTACCATATACCAGCCAGACAATATCCGAAATGCAACAAGAGAAAATGAAGATATTACCAATCACGATATACGTCGTAAATTTACCATATGGTCAATATTGGGCGAAGGATTCTCCCTCACAAATTCCTGGTTTGGAATTTCCAGTGCCTTCATCACAGGTATTGACTCTGGTGGTCCTGCTCTCTTTGTGTATGGAATACCCCTTGTCGCATCCATAAGTATCTGTATAGGATGTTCGTTATCAGAATTGGCAAGTGCAATGCCAAATGCTGCAGGACAACATTTTTGGACTATGGAATTAGCACCTAAGAGATACGCAAGGCCATTATCATTTATTACTGGGTATTGTGCATGGGCTGGATCTCTTTTCGCCTCAGCAAGTGTATCGTTGGCGGTTGCGTCAGCAGTAGTTGGGTGCTGGCAGTTAAATCATCCAGATTTGTAAGTCCTCTAAGCGCGGTCTGTCTCCAGATTTAGTAGTAACCTGTCAATAGTGACATTCATGAATTGCATGTTTTTATTGCATACCAACTAATCAATCTATTTGCTTTCATTTTCAATTGCTATGGCGCAATCCTACCTACACTAGGGACCTTTACTCTTTACATATCTTTAATATCTTTTGGGATTATTCTCTTTGCTATACCATCGCAAGCCCCAACGCATCAAGACATGAAATTTGTCTTTGCAACATTTATTAACAATACTGGCTGGTCAAACAACGGCGTGGCTTTTATTGTTGGTCTCGTAAACGCCAACTGGGCATTTTCTTGCCTTGATAGTGCTGTGCATCTAGCAGAAGAAGTTCATCAACCCGAAGTAGTCATCCCAATTTCGATCATGGCTACTATTGCGATTGGTTTTGCGACAGCTTGGTTCTTCGTCGTTGCGATGTTCTTCAGTATTAATAACTTTGATACCATTGTCGGCACCGTTACAAGAGTACCAATTCTAGAATTATTTTACCAGTCTCTTGGCAACAAATCTGCTGCAATCCTTCTAGAGTCCCTTATCATGGCAACTGGAATCGGTTGTCTGATTGCATGTCACACATGGCAATCCCGCCTCTGTTGGACTTTTGCTCGAGATGGCGGTGTCCCATTCCATAAGTCCCTAGCCAAGATCAATGTTACACTAGATGTTCCATTACGTGCACATGCTTTGAGTGCAACAGTCGTTTCTATACTTGGACTTTTGTATTTGGTTTCAACAACTGCTTTTAACAGGTATGTCGTACACCTTCTGATATAGAACCGGAAGTCAGTTCTGACATGTCATAGTATGATCATTGGATGTATTGTCCTCCCATATGTATCTTACACTATTCCTCTCCTATGTTTGCTTTATAAGGGCCGTGATTCAATCTCACATGGACCGTTTTGGCTTGGTAGGTATGGCCATTTTGCAAACATAGTAACAATTTTCTGGACATTATTTGCACTCATTATGTAAGTTACACCGCCATCTTTTGGAGAAAATCTTAACATTCATCGTACAGGTTCTCATTCCCAATACATCTTCCTGTGACCACATCCAGTAAGTATTTTAAGAGCGTCACCGAGACTTGCGCTAATATGACAATAGATATGAATTACATCAGTGTCATATACTGCATCTTAGCTTGTGTGATAGCCAGCGATTGGTTATCTCGGGGCAGGTTACAGTTTCGACACAAATTTCATGAAAGATCACGAGTAGAGTATGAGAGTGAGCAGGCATTGGTAAGATATCTCGAGATTGACTATGGTTTCATACATTTTTACTAATAGTTCGAAGTTACACCATGAAACCTCATAAAGGATTTAATGCTTCAAAGGTCCACAGGTGTCTAATTTGCTGTTCCCGAGGAGTGGAACCGATAGCCGGTAGTCATGAATCCATTAATCTTCTCGCTAAGAGGCTTCTGGTCATTGTTCAAACTTCAATTATAGTTTCAAAGTGGGAAACTTTTGATGCCAAGGACATTCACTGGCTAGCGACTTCTGTGACTTCGATGCGTATGTAAAAATACCGCAACACAACACCATTTTTTAGAAGTCTAGCTAATCTATCACAGCATCACCACCTCCTTCTATTCTACCTTCCACTACCAAATTTCATCCCCTTTCACGATCCGACCTTGATCTTCCACTCCATCATCTGCTCCTATTTACAAGGAAGTCCAGAGGCTACTTTGAATATAAGTAACATAATTACCAACTCTGGAGTAAACACCAGCATAACCAGCTTCAGCACATCCTTGACCCCAGGAAACAGTTCCCTCCAAAACACCAGTAGCAGCATCAATAATTGGTCCACCACTATCACCAGAGCAAGAGTCCTTACCACCACCAGTAACTCCTGCACACCACATGTTGGTTGTAACGGAAGATGTACCATACTCAGCTTGGCAGGTAGAACGAGAGATGACTGGAACCGAGACTTTTCTTAAAGTTGCTGGTAAAGAGGATGAATTCTCAGTCAAAAGACCCCTTATTTATCAATTAGCTCTTTGTTTCAAGCAATTTTGTATAAGATGGGAGTTACATACCAGCCTGCAACTGTGGCAGTAGAACCAACAACAGGATCCGAACCTTGAACGGGTAACTTGGCATAGCCAATGGTTGAGCTGGATGGAATAGCAGTCGACAAGTGCCAGAGTGCAATATCGTTATCGATTGTTCGGGAGTTGTAAGAAGGATGAACAACAACCTTACTAACTCCAACTTGTGTACCGCCAGATGCCCAGGTCTATCATAAGTCAATACATATACTTTGAAGCGCGAAGCACGAAATGCGATGAACGAGAATCATCTTGAAAACCATAATCTCTGCATTCATCGCAACGAATAAGGACAAGGAAAACAAGAACATACCAAAGTTCCAGCACGAACTTTAACAGACGATGCCGAATAGGAAACAGAGCAATGAGCAGCAGTAAGAACAGTATACGCATTGAGCAATACACCGCCGCAGAAATGCGATCCAGCGTATGTCAAACTAACAATGTAGGGGAATTCTCCCAATGCGGCGGTCGTTCCTCCTACGATTCCTACTGTGCCTGTGAGGGTAGTGCCGCGATTTTCGAGTTCGGTTCCGCTGGGGAGTGCAGCTGCCATGGAGAGGATGGGCATCGCGAGTGCGAGGGCGAAGTTGAGGATCGGAGCCATGGCGTTGTGGATGTGGGTGAGGTGGTGGAATTTGATCGGAGTTGGAGATGATGGAGATGGAGATGAAGGTAGAGAGAGGAGTTGATGATGTGTGTGTGAGAGGGAACGACAATGGGGTTTTCGTTGGATTTATATTCTTCAGTTATATAAACTTGGCTTGGTATGGTATGGTATACATAGATTCTAGACACAACTTTTTCTTCGAAATATTCAAACATTGAATAACATTGAAGCATTATCACTTTCCTATTCCGTATTCTCCTTCCCTTCTCCTTTTTCCACTCCTCCTTCTCAATCAATAGCCTCAATTAATAGCTTGTTTAGTTCATATTCATGATATCGAATCATTCAATTAGATTTAAAAACAAAAAAAAAAGTCTTATCTCCCTCTCCCCTCCTTTTTCGTTTCTCTTCTCTTTCTGTTTTTCCCTCTCTTCTCCTTCTTCTTTGGATCTATCTATCTATGCATCTGTACATACATATACATACATCTGCATATAAATCTGCTTGGCGACGCGACGCGAGATCAGGCAAGACGAGATGTGAAGAGAAGAGAAGAGACGAGGCCAAGCAAGCGAGATGGTGAAGATTATGAGACTAGCTTCTTTTTTGGCATTCTGCTAGCTGGTGATATGTTTTTTCTTCTTGGGTTTCTATATTTGGCTTGATGGATAAATGCTAGATATATAATATAAATAGAATAGAATTGGATAGATATGTTATACTTAAAGAAGGAGATCGGTTGCGGTGGTATTGTGGTGCTGGTGTAGTTTTGGTGATGCGCTTTGGCCTGGCTTGGCTTGTGAAGTGTGAAGTCTGAAGTAAGGAATGGCCTATAGGAAAAATAGAGAGGAAGAGGAGCGGGGAGATGGGCGTACCTGAGTAGGTGTAAAGATGATAGGATAGGATAGGATGAATGAATAGTTGGTATATATCTGTAGCTACCTAGTTAGATAAAAAAAAATTACACAGTAATTATCCGTTTATGATTAGGCATATCCTATGAAAATACTGAGGAATTTGAATTATATTATTATTATTCAATCTTATCTCCTTTCTGAGTATAATTATGTATGTGTACTCAGGTCCTCAGAATATGATTTATTGTTTCTTTCATCTCTTATAATAAGTCTTACAAGATAGTTATCAATCGTGCATATCTGTATTCTAAATCCTAATTATATTAGATAGATATCATATCCTATATCTATAATTATAAGATTACAATTTCTATCATTTAACAATCTAAAAAATTAATACATCATTCAGGTTAACCTAACCTCCTAACCTATCACCACATCACTATAATTTATCACCCACCATAAACAAATACCCCTTCTTCTATTTACCTGGTATCTACTATCTACCTACCCTCCATTTACAAATAAATAAATAACCTATCTCTTAAATCTCAATCAACATTATCTTATCTCCACATCTCCCTATCTCCATCTATCTCTTAACCACCTAATTTCTCTTGGCCGTCTCAGCATTTTCTTGGACCTTCTCTTCACATCTCCTAACATATCCCAAAAAATCCATTAAGCACCATAAATACAACCCAAGAAAAAATTCCAAGAAAATTCCAAGAAATAGATGATTTGGCCGCGTGTTTATAATTAGGACTTGCCTATTTGAGAAGGAGTTATTGATTGGAGTTGGAGTTGGAGTTGGGATCTGGAGGGGTTGGTTTTTTGTTTCGTATTTAGCCGGGTGTAGGTAGTGTTTGATGTGTGGTGTTTGTAATTGGTGTTTGGGAAGATGAAGATTTTTGGTGGCGTTGGTTTGTGTGGTGGTGGTGGTGGGAGAAGGGGAAGGTAAAATAAGGTTTATAGATTTGGAAGGAGGAAGGGGAGGGATTTGTCGGGGAGAAGAGAGATGGAGAAGGAGAAGCAGAGGGAGGGGAAGATGTGGGGTGGGGTGGGAATGTGAATGTGAATGGTGGGGAAAAGTAGATGTGATCTGATAAGATATCATATCATATATCATTGTAGTCTTAAGATCACCAGATCTAATACAGAGTATCAGGAGGAGAATTATGATCTGATTAGATATCATATACTAATATATCAATAAAAAATATCGGAAAGAAAAAAGATTATGATTTTTTATTGATAATATAACTATTATATAGATTGCATCAACACCAAACTCTTGTTCGAATCCATTGAATATGATCTTACATAGTAAATAGGTTCTTACCTAGAATCTTTCCCATCTATTGTAAGTCTAAGTCTTAGAATTAGGAATTGATTTTATATCTAGATCTACATCTATCCGTAAGTACAATAATTATAATTATAAAACTAAAAATAATCATAAGTAATCTTACAACTTTACTTCTAATTATAATATAGATTTTATACATATTAAGATTTCATCTCCATCTCTATTTAACTCATCCTCACTCTTATACCCACACCTATATTCCCAATCTCAATTCCAATCCCAATGCCTACCACTCCAACCTTCCCCCTCTACACTCCACACTCCACACTCCACACTCCACACTCCGCACTCGTACCAATATCTAAGATCTAACAATAATGATAATAAATAAAATACCCATACCAGACGGTTACACAGGTATACCCATAAAATCAATACGGATAGATACCTAGATAAAGATAATATTTATTTATTTATTTAATTTATCTTATCCACTCATTCAATCATTTATTCAATATCAAGAAGTAAAAAAATCACCCTCATCAAAAAAAAAAAATAAAAAAAAAATAAAAAGATTGAAAAAACCGAATTCATACATCTTCATTTCAAAAGATATCCATACTATCATTATCATTGCTATACTTCTTCCTGCTATTCATCAATAACTCCTAGAAAATTTAACTATCATCCCCACTAATACCAGCACTTCCTCCCTCGCTCGCACTCTCATCACTAACTAAATTGACGACGTTTCCTCTCAAGCTCATTGGCTCCTTCCCTTTGCCTTTTCCTGTCGTGGCTACATCTGCAGTTTTATTTTTATCCTCAGTTTGTTCATTTTCTTTCCCGTCTCCCTCTACGCTTTTCATCAACCTATCCCCATCCCCAGACTTATCCCCTGGCTCAGCCACAGCTCCTGCCCCAGCGTCAACTCCGCCCTTAACCCCAGTAGTAGAAACGCCAACTTCCGCCCTCCTACCAGGCCCCTTCCCATTCAAAGCTTCCCATCTCCTCTGAATTGCCCCAACTGGTACTCTCTTAATAGGTCTCTGCGTATTTCCCACTCCACCCGAGCCCGCAGAACTAGGTCTACTACCTCCATTCATCACTCCGCCTGTACCTGCAGAACCCGGTCTTTTTTTATCCAGCACGGGCATTCCAAACCCATCATGAGCCCCAGCTTTACCTTTCACTCTCGAACCGGAAGCACTTCTCTCATGCATTCCTATAGATGCAGAATTCGAAGGTGCAAAATGTCGACTTCTTTCCTCTTCTGCTTGTGTTATTCCTGCATTGGAATTACGTTTCAATCTTTTATTTGCATGATCCTCCGATTCTCGAATTCCATCATATCCATGAGAATTTTTTTCATGGTCCGAGCCAGGTCGTGGAAGCGAAGAAGGTAGTGTTGTAGGTGGAAAGCTTGGAAGAAATCCTCGAGTTCCGGAGGGAACAGAATAGGGACCTTCTGGTGCTTTTGAATATGAATGATGTTGTGGTTGAGCATTGATTGGCGAAAACCCTGTAGCAGGTCTCATATCCACCATTTCCATTCTTACACCTGTCGGCGGTTGCCCCTGATGCATCTGCTGACCACCCATTGAATAACCAGGCATTGGTAAATTAGGAAAATCAGCAACGCGATTTACTCCGGCAGGTACTGATGGAGAACTTGTGCCTAAAACCTCACGTCGTTTCTTTGCCTCCTTATCCTTGTCGCGCATACGTAGAGTAACACCAAATGACTTGCGGATTTGTGATTTACGGGATGCATTGCCATTTTTAAGAGAAATAAGTCGTGCCTCTCGTTTATCTGCAGGCCAATCATCGGGTATACTAGCTTGGTCCTCAGCGTATTTTTCTTCTACTCTTTGGAGAGCAGCTTCTAGAGCAGCACGTTTCTCGGGAGTTAATTCGGATGGTGATTGGCGAGCCCTTTCATCCAAAGGAGAGGCAGCGATGATTGCTGAAATATGCTTAGACATTGTTGGGGTGTGTAGAGGTGGTCGAGGGATATTGTGCGTTGGTCCGGGAATGTTTGGATTGTGAAGGTGGTCAATATGCGATTGGTTGTTAACATCTGTTAAATATTGAGTATGTGAAGAATTCGCGACCGGGTTTGGACGGTCCAGGTGGTCTTGAAAGATGGCTTCATCATCATCTTGCCCTTCTTCCCCAAGACAAACGCGCTTCTTTTCATGCTTTGGCAAGTTAGCAAAATTCCCAAGTGACATAGATAAAACGTACGTAGAGCATTCCTTGCTTCGTTGTAAAGCCCTGGGCACAATTACTGCAATAAAACTTCAATCCTGGAGGTTGATTTCTAGTACAGATATTCTTTGATCGATGCTAGATTACCGTCAGCTTTGCAGAAAATTACGATAACTCAAGACTCACAAAATTATATCCTCTGACGGTATCAAACTTATAGGTGCAGGTAGGGCATCGTAAATCATCAAGTACATGTGCTCGAGCTTCAATTTGAGCCTTTTGAAGGGCGATGATTCGTTGCTGCTCAGCAACTAGAGGATCCAAAGATGGAGGTTCAGGATTCCTTGGTGCCTCATAGGTCATTTCTGTATCACCGCCATCATGACTTTGCGCCCTACTTGGTATGTGTGGCACGACGGTCTCATCATTTTCATCCAAAATATCGTCAAGACTATAACCAAGTCTATCAGCTTCAGCCAGCCACCGTATGAGAGATTTTGCCGGAACACTCTTCAAACGTTCAGACAAAGCCTGATCGAGAACTTTACTAGGTACGAGATCTGCGAGCTGATTTGCAGAAGCATTCTTGAGGACCCTGGCGACAATGGGTTGCTTGGCGGAGACAACTTCAACAAAGGCTTCTTTCATAACACCGGCATCCTTGAGAATGCGCGCAAGAACATTTGGATTAGCATTTTTCAACCCGGCACGGAGAATGAATGTAATGTGTGAATCGTCTGCATTCGTAAAAAGGAAGTTTCTCCATTGCTCACGCAATATTGCTTGAGTAGCCTCAGTTGATACATGCAATAAGGCCTCCCTTAAACGAGCAGTTTCTTCATCGGCTTTTTGGGCGGGTGGTGGTCTGTAATGACCCCTTGGGGTAATGAAAGTTGAACCAAAATGTGGCTTACGGGCTGTAGGACTCGTAGTAGCCGTTTGGGGAGATTCAACTGTGAATGACTTTCTCTTTAGAGTGTTTGATGACAGCTCTGGGATGCTCATTTTAGGGTTCATTTCTGTAGTGGACTTCTCGCCTCGGCGCCCAGTGCTCTGTATTGACAGCCTAGTATTCCTCGGAGACGCGGATGCCGTCATAAAGCCTCCTTCTTGATCACCTTTTTCTTGAAATTGTGGTCCATCATCAAGATCGATGATTTCACCATTTTTGCCCTCATTTGATGATGCTGCAATGGTTTGAGACTCGAGATCCCTGTTCGTCTCGTCCATTTCAGGGGATTCTGAAATGAATCGCTTTGCTGCGGATCTTGGTGTATCTGAAAGAGCTACACTTTGTATCTCACTAACATCAACGTCTGACAGCTCAGACTCGTCATCGCTCTCGTCGGGACGTGGAGGAGCCATTCGGTACTGATCTATTATTCACGTGTACTTCACGTGTTAAAAAAAAATAGGTTCGAATTGATCGGAGTCAAAGCTTGAACTTTTGGGTTCTTTATGGAGGAGTTTTGAAAAAAAAGTAGATCGTTAGAAGTAGAGAACAGCAAAAGTGAATTTGTTATCCCTATGATGACAGTATTAATTAAATGTATCATGTGATCGTAGTGTATTGGACTCGTGTAATTGGTTGAAAATCAAAGGGAGTGAATCGAAGGGAGGAACAAGTACCTGTGAGATGTGGTGATGCAGAAGATGGATATTGAAGATTCAATAAGTGCTTTGAAAACTAAAGGTGTCGCAAGTGTGTGCAAGAGCTGATCTTCTGACGAGGAATGATCGATCTATATTGAGAAGCATTTAGTATTTCTAATCCGAAGAAGATTATGCAAAACGAATGGAATAAACGTATTGCCGAGAGTCTGAGACGTATGTTCGTATCAAAAAAAAAATTGAAGTAAGAGAAAATACTTACAATGGACCGTATTAATCGAGAAACATTAGTTTTGGACTCAACTTTGCTTGTCGTTAGAGTTATCAAGAATGAAGTTTAATATTGATAAAGTTCATGAGTATGAATAGAGAACTAGATGATTAAATGATGGAAAAAAAGAAGAAGAAGAAGAAGTAATACTATAAAGTAAAAGAAGTTTAATAAACGAAGTTTAAACCTGCTAGCGTGATCAGACCCTTGTCTATTTGTTTTTAATATAGTGACTAAATTTTAGATCAGAAATGAAAAGTAAATAAAAAATGAAACAGATTAAAAAGAGATGAGAAGAAAGTTATTTAAGAGTATCGTTAGATCTTATGATGTTGAACAAATCAATACACTTCGATATTCTGAAGAACGTCTAGCTAATTATAGAGGAGATCTGTATTAGAACGTATTTGAGACGTGTAAGCGGCCGATCCAATTGGATTGATATTCATTGATACTGAAAGTGATGGATTTTAGCTTATCGAATTGAAAATCAGATTAATCATCGAGATACTGACTCGAGTAGGATTGTTTATATCATCATCATCAAATAATTAAAGTATGAGTGAATATAGGATTAAGGGTTGAAATAAGTAATAGGCTCGGGAATCATAGAAGAACGTATAGCGATCCATAACCTTATTTTGGTAGGTAGTTGAAATTCCAAGGCATCTTCGATGCATTGTATAGCTTCTGAAACCCATACATCCAGATACCAACAAACATCTAAATCCTGATACGAGGAGTTCTTAAAATCGAATTGTAGATGATTCAGAATTACCTATATTCCCGACCTATATATTAATAACCCTCGTTCATAATGAAATCAATTACGAAGCGGATTGCTCGGGTGGCTGAAATAAGTGCTTCCTCATATTATTTGCTCAATTAAAGATAATCTACTAGGAAGGTGGGATTTTTAAAGTAATTTCGTGGCTATGTTCGGAGGTCATATATTATTATCTCACCTCACTAATATATTTAGGAAGGTATCAAAATAACCACTTTTATTGCTTCTGCTACCTAGATATTGAGACGTCGCAGTAATAATTAAAATAAATCTATTGCACAGATTGTCCTGATATCATCTCACCAAGCCTATCCAAAGAAAACGCCGCAGAATTACCAGGCCAGTCTGCATCCGAAAAGTTCGTGATTGCTCACTTGTAGATATCCCATTTCCTCTGTGTCAATCTCATCCCTTCATCCAAGTACCGTATCCTATACCTTTCAACCCTACGCCATACCAATAAATGGCAAAATCAAACCCCAAATGAAACCATATCATTAATGCTAATAATTAAAACCATGAATAACCCGGCTGAACTAGATTACTGTACTCGACGCACTTCACCATCAACTTCTCATAGTAACCACTTGTGTCCGCAGAAATTCGGGAGGCCAATGATCGTCCATAAGCGTGCTGATATGCACCCTTGACTTGGTCCATATGTCTTGGATCCCAATGACATCGGACAACTCGAGCAACAAGTAGTTTGTCTTTGGTGCCAAAACCTTTCATTGAATCCTCCATGAGATTTGCATCACGCATAGCTTTATCCGTAGCTGTGCGAAGTTGAAAGAGAAGGGAATCCTCCATATGGCCGCTGAACTTCTTGCCAAGAGTCAGTGAAATTGTCTTGAAATGCTTGCAATAAGTTTACTCACCTTCTTGATAACCCATTCCAAAGGCTTTCCATGCTGTTGCTGATATGTATGATTGATCGCTCGAAGTTGGGCATCATTTCGTTTGGTGAATATCTCACAAACCGTCTTTGCTTCATGTCCACGTATGGCCTCTGTCGCATTCCATATAGCTGCTACATCGCGTTCAACATCTCGAGTGATGACGGGGGCACTATCCTCGTTTCTATTGGCTTCCAATACCATCAAGAAATGATCCTCGGTTTTCAAACTCAAATCGCCCTTGAGATCGTTTGCCAGACTCCTGTTGTACCGTCGTTGATACATCGTCTTAATCGCATTAATATCAGCATTTGACCTGCCCATCAATACTTCCGTCAAGTATTTCTCTTTTGTGCCTATTCCATCCATGGCGGTAAAAAGCAAGTGGCAATCTTGTATCAAAGGGCCGCGAATAATTGCAGCGAGGCCTTCCCTAAAGTACGAGCTTGTTTCACTCTCCACATCTGCCAACAATTTCCTTTTGAAGGTATCATAGAAAGCTTGTCGCAGAACTTCTATTTGCAAAGGTCCCTTATTATGCAGAACTTCGATAAGAGTCGCTTCATCTGTGCCGAAACCTTTCATGGCTTTGCGCAAGGCCTGCGCATCTGCGCGTCCATCGTAAGGTATGCGCGGTGGGCTTGGTAAGTTTAGGTCATACCCAGCCGACGGCGGCGTAGGTTGTCCAAAACTCATTGGCGCGCCATGTGGAGGTTGTGGGAGGGCAGGTGGAGCGCCATATGATTGCTGAGGATATCCACTTTGCGATGGAGGGTAGGGCGATTGTTGCGGCGGAGGATAAGGACCTGGCGGACCTGGCGGAGGTGCGCCATAGGGTTGCTGCTGTGGATAGGAACCCTGTTGAGGAGGGTATTGTTGGTATGGTTGTTGCGGCGGATATGGTGGCTGTTGAGGAGCGCCATATGGTTGATTCTGAGGGTATGGACTATGTGTTGGAGGATATTGCTGATATGCTTGAGGAGAATCTACTTTGAAGTCAACGACTGACCATGTATGATTGCATACTTTCATCACATACGAGGTGGTATTTGTGGCGGGTATCTAGATTGCGGGGCAACTGTGCTGACAGTTAGATATTGCCGCAAACGAGAGCGGGGAATGTACTTACGTCCAGCAGTCGGCGCACCATACGATGGATAGTTTTGATATGACATGTTTTGAGTGCTACTGCTCTGTAAGGATTTGTGTGCCTGCAGATGTAAGTTTGCTAAAGGTTTAGTAGTAAACAGGTAAAAGTAGGTAGAGCAGAAGGATCCAGCAGTTATATATCACTATGCTGTGCAGAAGGCAAACCTAAGATTCAGAATCCTCGGGGCTGTGGTGAGTGGTCAAATGAGGGGTGGCCAGTGATATAGCGCTTAGAATCATCACAAAAGCCTGCCATTTGAGAACGTTGAGGCGCAGTAATGACGACTCTTTGTGGTTTTTTAACCAATTAAATAGTATAGCAAAGACAATTCTGTAATGGCGACTTCTTGATTATTTCGTCTCCTTGGTAAATCCTCGCAAAGACGAGGAGAGGGACGATGTGTAATAATGGCCCAAAGTTTCGGGATCGATCGATCGGGAACAAAATTAACAATTTGGCATTTTGGCAGAAAGAGCAGAAAAGGCTCAATCAACTGTGACCGCTTTGAATATTTCTACTACAAAGAATAATAAATAAGATCTTATATTTAAGACGTCTTGAACTCGATTTTTATTTTCGTTTGCTAGGTATTATAATTATGACTTTCGTTTTCTTTTGGTTTCAGTTTGCCTGAATTTGCTTTGCTTTTTTTTTTCTTTCTTCCAAAAGCAGGCTTGTAACCTAATAGTTGGCTCTCTCATTCAGTTGCTTATCGTCGTAGTCGGAAAAGCGAGTATCCCCCCAAAATTGTATCCAGGGACAACTCGCTTTCCTTGACTACAACGGCAGGTGGCTGAGTCATTGAGAGCCGACTATGACTTGTATTATAAATTATAATCAGGTTTGCATAGCACTGTTTGTCGTTGTTTTAGTGTAACTTATAGAGTGTGCCCACCGAACCAGTTTATGCATTCCTTCTATTTATCTTCAGTATTCGTTCTACCTAAGTAAGGAAGCTACTCTTCATTGACTCCTGTCTCGCTTTAGTTTTTTACAATGGGAGGTCGTGCTTTTGCTTCTCATATCCCACCCATCAAGACGCCTCGTATGACTCAGGAGGTCTACGATAAAGCTCTCAAAGTCACTCAAGCCATTTTACGAAAATTCTACTCCAAAGTTGCAAGTTGTATTGAGGGGCCTGGCAAGACTACTTATGGGGATGTCGATATTCTTGTTACCTCTCCTTTGAAAAATGCGTTCTCTTCAGAAGAATTAGTCGCAGACAGACTCAAGAAAGCTTTGAATGCAGTAGCCTTCATACAAGTTGAAGGCAATCCTACTATCAATTTTGCAGTTCCTGGGCCAGACGAATCAATCAACAACATGGTAGGCGAGATTGGGAAGAATCTGACCAAGTTTAAAGATAATGCATCAGAGAGGTGGTATATTCAGGTCGATGTTCATACATGTAAAGATGTCCATGAATTCGAATGGGAGTTATTTCATTCTGCCCATGGCGATCTATGGAACATAATTGGTACAACCATCAGAAGATTTGGACTTACCATCAATAACCATGGATTGTTCATTAGGATTCCTGAAATAGAGTTGGCTAATAGGAAGAAGAGCATGGTATTTCTGACTGATGATCCTGGCAAGATTCTCGACTTCTTAGGCTTAGATCAGGACAAATGGTGGAGACGTTTCAACACTCAACAGGAAATGTTTGAATACGCTGCTTCTTGCCGAATGTTTTGGGTCAGAGATGTGGTCGAAGACGAAGCAGAAGGAGATGTCATCGGTCAAGAGCGTGGAGAAGAAGGTAAGAAAAAGCTAAAGCATAATGACCGACAACGATTGGCAAAACGCCCTATCTTCAGAGCCTGGGTAGATGAATTTATACCTCAGTGTCGCGAAGAAGGAAAGTACAGCGATGGTAAAATCACGAGGGAAGAAATTCGAGATGAAGCTTTTGAAAAATTTGGTATCAAGAAGGAATACGAGGCCAGGCAACACGATTGGTATCTTGCAAGACATCTAGTAGAATTGGTGAACGATGGTATCAAGAGCAATATTCCTGTGGATGGAGTAAATGGCCAAATGAGGGCGGCAGCCACGAAGGTTTTGAAGGGTGTCATCATGGAGGGAGAGCTATACGACGGAAGTATACCGGCAACTGCGATGAAGGATGAGAAGGGCTTCTACAATCTTGAGCTGGTCAAATATTTCGTTGCCGAAAATTGGGAGAACGCAGGTAGGATTGGAATGGCAAGGCAAATAGTGAAAGCCAGGGAAGCTACGGAGGCGAAAGCTAAGAAGAAGGCAAAGGCTGAGCGTGATCCTGGTCTCCAAACGTGATATGATATGGACGGTAATAATACAAAAGAATGAGTGTATTAAAAAAGCATTAAGAATGCGTGAAAAATGGTGTTGGTCAAGAATATTGAGGGGATACCAAGACTGCGGCTGTGGCCGAAATGGATTTATGGCCATGAGGCGGGTGACCGGTGACCGCGTCACATTCCGCATTGATCCACACTTGAAGTTTTAATATTTTCATGTATGAGAAAAGGAGGAAGACGCAAGAACTTCGGCGTGCCTTTCCAAAGTCACACAGGGGTCACAATGGCACAGTCGGCGAAGGTTTCCATCAGCTTGCAAACGGAGAGGTTGTAGCCATCACTCGTAGTTGAAATAGAAACAAGTCACAATTGACACATGGCTGCATTTCGCCGTAGCTTCTAGATCAGTGTAGATTGCTCAGAATATGCCTTAGCATGTCGAATATCCCTTCGTGATAAATGTTTCCCCCGTGTTCAGAGCTCAGAGCCTTGTCGCACGTCTGAAAATCTTCCTCCATTAAACCCATACGCCGTATTATCCACGCCTGTGCTCAAATATCTCGTAAATTCAATAATCCGTCGCGCAAAGAACCGAATTTCATTTATTTCTTGCCCTTACCACCGCTGCCGGAAATACCGTGCGACTTGGTCTTCAAGGGTCCTTTCTGGCCACCAATCTCCTTGGCTAATTTATCTTGCTTTGCCTTGTCTGATGAAAGGGAAAAATCAGTGAAATGTTGCCTTGAATATTGTGAACACAAGTTCACTTACCCTCCTTCTGCTTCAACTTGAAGGCGATCGTCTCCTCGTCATCCTCAACCTTGACCTTCTTCTTCACTTTGTTGTGGATGGGGTTTGTGCCGTCTGCGAATTCTGGTCAGTGTCATGCAAGGCTATGAAGGATGAACAAGGTTATACGAACTTCCTCCCATTTTGAATTAGGCTTATAGGAGTCTTGGGTGGTTTCCTTGGAAAATGGATCGTCTTTTCGGTGGGAAGAAATGCGGAATTATTCTGGACTTCTTGATGCACTTTTTGGCGGGGGAAGGGGATTTTTGCGGGTTTTCTTTAAAGAATGGCTTACGAGGAGGTGTCTGACCACACTAGTCTTCATATAGATTAGCGGATTTTGGATTTGGTAGCTGCAACTGTCCGTCATGAATTTATCAGTCGCGGTCGTACAAATTCACGACATAGCAACAACTTGGCAGTCGAGCTTATAATTGACACTTCACCATTCTCCAGCTTCGTTTGTTATACTGAGAACCACCATCACCCTCCATTGATACACTACACTATCAAGGGAAAGCAAAGAAGAAGATTATGCGCTGAGAGATAACCGGTTGGGCTCTTCTCACTTTGGGATCTTGTTTTGTGCTCTTTGCTGACACAAATTTATCCAAACATAAGGCAGAGGACTTTAGCGTCCTTACAACCATAACAAGGAAATATGGCATCATCATCAGCAAGCTCTGATGAGGGCGAGATTCGAGATGGAGTAGTGGAGAAGAAGGCAACTACGTCGCTGCGTACATTGGATGGCACTTCCGTTGACCGTCAAGACAGAACCCGTTCTAGTACGACTTCTATGTCACCACGCTCCCCTGAACAGTTATATAGATCCAGAGATCAAAGAAGTCGTTCTCCTTATTCCGACCGATACTCTCGAGGCTCGAAGAGACCTAGAGATGACGACTACCCAGACCGTAGCAGAAACGATCCAAGACGATTTAAAGTTCATTACGAAGATTCATCTCAAGACTATAGACGCCGCCCGCAAGTTTCATACGAAGACATCGATAAAGGACCAGCAAACTCATCTGAATTACGGTATGACGATCATGATCATCGAGATAGGCATGCCGAAAAACGAGCCCGAACCAGAAGTCGTTCGCCTTACCGAGCTAATCGGGATGATAGAAATGGACGAAAAGGACAAGCGATGAACAATGGTGGCCGGTATAGTAATTACTCTGATAGGAACAAACCTTACGGGTATGGAGGTTCATACCGAAGTTCAAGAGACCAGTCAGTGAGCAACCGGGAAAAGGGCCCGCTGCCTACTGATAATTCAAGATACGGGGCTAAAATTACTCAAGGGCAATTGCAACAGCATAAACATCAGGGTAATGGAAGTGCGATGGAAATGTACGCTATTTATCACCCTTCCATTCTCAGCATTTACTAATCGATTCAGATCCACCCCTGCAGAGGAAGCTCCTACGGAAGTTGCAGAAGAGCAAATCGATGAAGCTACACTCATAGAGCGACGACGCAAACGTCGCGAAGCAATCAAAGCTAAGTATAGAGGTTCTGGCACACCCTTATTAGTACAGGCTCTGCACTTGGGCGACAAATCCGGAGGATCCACTCCTGGACCAGGTGAAGATAATAGCCCCTCAGTTCTGACCGGTAAGCATATTACACTGTATCGCAACTCCCTCTCTAATTCGTTTGCCTCAGCGTCGCCCACAGCCTCGACACCGGCAACTCCTATGGATACAGGATCCCCTTCCGCGTTCGCAATCACTGACGATCAGGATCTTGCCAACTCCCATGGGAATTCGACAGCAGGTGAAGAGGATGGACCTTCAGCTGCAGATTATGATCCGACTGTGGATATGAGAGAAGATAGGCAACGTGACGGCCAGCGACACACTGATGAGATATCGTCTGGAGCATATAATGAAACGAAGCCCACATCTGAGCAAGATGTTCTTCTTCCAGCCGCAATCGCGCCAGTTGAAGTCAAGGCTCCGAAAGCTAGGGATGAATTCGATATGTTCGCAGACGATGACGATGATGACATGTTTGCCGAAGACTCAGTTGCAGATGAGAAGCCTCAAGCTGTCACGAACGGTGATGTTGCTAAAGCAGTGCCTATTCCACAGGCTAAAGAGCTCGACATTGGCATGCTTGATAACTGGGATGATCTTGAGGGTTACTACAAAATTATCCTAGGAGAACTTTTGAATGGTAGATATCATGTTCAAGCAAACCTTGGAAAAGGTATGTTCTCGGGTGTAGTTCGTGCTATGGACATCACTACAAAGAAGTTGGTTGCAATCAAGCTTATTAGGAATAACGAGACTATGTAAGTGGGTAAATAATTGTTCTAAATATCGTAAGCTAATATCATCGTAGGAGAAAAGCTGGAATGAAAGAGATTGAGATTTTGCAGAAGATTAATGATGCAGATCCGGAGGACAAGAAACATATGATACGGTTGGAACGATACTTCGAGCACAAAGGTCATCTGTGTATGGTCTTCGAACATTTGAGTATCAATCTACGTGAGGTTCTGAAGAAATTTGGAAACAACGTCGGTATCAACCTCAGAGCTGTGCGAGCTTATGCCCAGCAAATGTTCCTCGGACTCAGTTTGATGAAGAAGTGCAATATTTTGCACGCGGATTTGAAGCCTGATAATATTCTGGTAAGTTCTATTTTAAGTCTAGTTTAAGATCATAGAACTTCTTTACTGATTCATTCCTAGGTCAATGAAAGTCGAAATATGCTCAAGATTTGTGATTTGGGATCAGCTTCCGACGCCACTGATAATGAGATCACTCCCTATCTTGTTTCTCGTTTCTATCGTGCACCGGAAATTATCCTTGGCATGAAATATGACTTTGCAATCGATGTGTGGTCTATTGGATGTACCCTTTACGAGTTGTATACTGGTAAAATTCTTTTTACTGGTAGATCCAATAACCAAATGTTGCGCTCTATTATGGACTGTCGCGGTAAATTCTCAGTCAAGATGCTTAAAAAGGCTGATTTTGCAGGCGTTCATTTTGACGACATGTTGAATTTCAGGAGTGTTGAGCCTGACAAATTGACCGGCAAGGATGTCGTCAAGACGATGGCATTCGCAAAGCCAAGCAGAGACCTTCGTACTCGTCTAATCTCTGCGTCAAAAGGGCTGACAGAGGTTGAGCAGAAAGAGCTGACATTGTTCGGGGACCTATTGGAACGATGCTTGGCACTTAACCCAGAGAAAAGAATTACACCTACGGAAGCACTAAAGCATCCTTTCATAGCAAAGATGATGAAATAAATGATGGTGGATTAACAGACTGGTCGGACAAGCTTTTTGGTGAAATGGAGAAATGCGACAGTTGAGAATAGAGAAATAGCTAAAGGCATTTATGTCGGGTGCTTAAATGGAGTCAATGGAAGTAGGCTCCGTTCGCACGTCGCTAGTGTTGATTATTGGAGCATTACATTAGCATAGTAAACGGGGTCTACCGTCTACCAATTTCTCATCTCAAATTGCTAGAGAGGGACTTTGGCAGGGGGAACTTGTTGTTATAACAAATCAACTTCATCTTCTCCGGAAATCGCATGTGCAGTTATTCTGTGCTTGTACATCGTCTAGATAGATCAAGCAAATATACTATACGAGTTCCTAAAGTGAATATTCAAACGAACGCCTTGAATGAATACTTGAGCGGATATTTTTGGTAAATACTTGTGTCAAGTGTCTACCTCTCATTTACTGTATTTATATTGGGATTCATCGCATATGAATGTGAAATTGCGCATACGACTTTTTCTTTTCCGTGTCACTGGTGGTGGTAATTTTCACCAGTCCACGTCTCCAATTTCCATTGGATATATTTTCTCAGCGAGACTATTAGGGATACAAGCTTAAATGGGATACGCGAGACATTCGAAGGTTTTCATTATCAAGGTCAAGAAGGGTGGCGGGGGCTATGTCCTCAGAAATTGCTTCTCCTATGCTATGCTTGCAAATCGTTCAAGTTAACGATATGCGGTGAGTCCGTAAAGATTTCTGTGCTACGGCCAAGGATCTCAAGTTCTTGCCTTGGCAGCGCCTTGGTATTTACATTTTCAGATCATTGTGTTTAAATCGTCGTATGTTTAAAGTTAGCCGGCGCTGTAACCTCCTTCGCCAAGACTCTGCAAATACCGAGTACACTTTCGCCGTATTCTGCATATTGTACTTCGGACCAAGTTCTAGAACGTCATCGGCGACCTCGCCGGCGTTACCATTCGTTTATATATTCATCAATGTTCTTAGGTAAGCTATCCGTGAAGGCTTGAAGGCTAGTTGCAGATTTTTCCTCCATGAGGAGAGAATGAAGCCCCGACTATGAGCCTGGAAATCAGCTATCTGGATACAGATTATGGGTTTTTCGTTCACTTGCCATCAGTTTTCAGCGCCAAAGTCTTGGGCTACTATGATATTGCTTCTTGAGTCTAGCTGAAATGCTTTGGTCTTTTAAGATGAGATCTTACACTATTCTTCTCGACATGTCGTACGTAGGTCAACGACTGCACCAACAAGAAACGCTGTCTCGCTGCGCTACCCCGAGGAGATATTCTGTTTTTAGCAGTATATATATACCGCCAACTTTGCTGTTGCCTGATGTCTCCAGGCTCCAGGTCACATTGGTCCGATATCCAGACTTTCAACAAATCTTCTTTACTCAAGAAAATTGATTACCGACACAGAACAGTCTTCAAGACACCAAAAAAGAAATATCATAATGGTTGTTGAACTACCAAGCCCTGATACTTCTGTTCGATTAGTGAGCAAAAGGGTAAGTCACTAGGCACTTTCTATTGAATTCTGTAATACTTAAAGAACTGCAGATCTAACACTATTTCTTTCCAACAGACTGGTAAAGTCCTAGCAGATGACAATGAAATCTATCATACGGACAAAGACCCACCCAAAGCGGAAAATTGGTGAAGAATTATCTTAGCTAATGGACAAACTAACTGCTACATCATCAAGAATGTTACAACTGGCCGCGTGATTTGGTGCCGCTACAAGAATCGTCGGGCAGGATGTATTGATGACGACGGAAAATGGGTGGACAACTGGTTCGCATTTGAGGAGACCAAACTTTCCAATTATGACGGCACTTTTTGCATTCGTTATCCATCAACAAATTGTACTCTTGCCTCTCGCACTGACAAAAAGCCTAAAATCGATGGAATCCTGCTCAAAGACGATGGTTCACCTGATAACGAGGATCAACATTTCTCGATGAACTTTGAAGATATGGGATTGGAGAGTATCGAATATGATATCAAAGCTGAGAATAAGTCATCAGAGAAGCCAGCTGCAATTGCTCAACAGGACTTAGAAAATGCATCGGATACTGAGCAAATACAGACATTCACATAAAATGAAGATAAGGCTGAAGAGCACACCTTTGAGCACTCACACGGTTTTGAAATCTCCATTTCTCAGAATATTAAGGTCCAGGCATGGCCGATATGGACGGGCGAATTGGAGTCAAGGGAAGTACGAAAAATGAATGGAAGTGGGGAGAGAAAAATACTGTCACGATGAAATGGGGTATTAGTCAAGCTCTTAATGTGCCAAAGAATAGCACGTTCGTGGCTACTTTGACGGCAACTAAGATAGAAATTTCAGTGCCTTTCAAAATGACCTGGAAGGCGAAGGATTCCGGTGCGAGGAATACTACTTATGGCGTGTATACGGGCATTTCCTATTACAATGCTTCTACTACTATTAAGCCAAAGTCTGGTGCGCCGGGCACTAGTTATGAGGATGAAAGTAGGTCGTTTGAAGATGGTACTGAGTATATCGAGGGGGATGCTATAGGTGAAGAACAAGTCTATCTAGTGGATAATGAGCAAGCGAATTCCTAGAAGACATATGGTAATGAGATGGTCGATGGTACGGAGCAGACTTACGATGGTCAAGGATATTTGGGACAGAATCAAGGCTATGATAACAGCGAAGAGTAAGAAGAAAAAACACGTGTTGAGCTTGAGTATGAAGAGAATCAGTATCATGAGAAAGATTATGACAGTAATACAGAACAAGGAGGAGCTCTCGTCGAGTTGGAATACGAAAATAAGCCATATGAAGAGAACTATGAAGGGGATGATGATCTTCAGTCAAACGAAGTAAACTACAATGAACCCTCATATAATCAGCGTACTGAAGCGGACGATCTGTACAATACCAGCTACTAGCAAAATGAACCCCAAGAGATTAATAGCCAAGAAAAACCTCCTACGAACCTGAAACAGAGGAGCCCACTTCACAGTCAATCTATACGCAAAATTCCTATGAAAGTGGGAATAGCTACGAGGAGCGCCAGTACGATCAATCTGAGGTAAAGAATCTCTCACTCGAGGACTCAAGGCCAACTTATCAAGAGGATACGGACTCTTATCCAGGAGACTACAATCAGCAGAGCTCTGACAGTAATATTTATCAGAGAAATCAATTCAACAATGAATCTGCAGCCGAACAAGAATCCTCAATTTTGAACTACCAAAATACCAATCGCTCTGGTGATGGTGAAGATGAAAACTTCAATCAGCAATTACAAGGATATAGTCAAGGAAGAAGCTTCGATAATGTATACGGTCAAATAGATGATTATGATCGATCCAAATCTGTATGTAAAGAAAATACTTATGATCAATCAATCCAATAACTATGATCAATCCTCCAAACCTAATCTTACATACGAAGAAAATACCTACCTATACTCATGATCAAACCATAAATTACGAGCAGCTATCCAAAGATCGCAATTCCTACAACCACTTTGATACTTATAGGGAAATGAGAGTTTTCTTGTGGGAGGTATTAATTGTATTAGGTGTGGTGCTCTTGATTGTGCGGATTTTATGGGCGCGATGAAGATGGGAGGTGAGGATTGAGAGATTTTGTTTTACGGTAGATTTTGAGATCTTACAGATACAATTTTTGTTTTAGTTATTGTGGGTGGAGGAGGGGAAGCGGAAGGATATTAGGTATAATTACTTGGAGGTTTGGGTCGGGTGTATCTTTTTCAAGAAATTCGAAGAATCATTTTTTCTTTTAGATGCTTTTAGAATCTTTGATGTTTGAAATTTCTATCCTCTAGGTAGTTAGGATCTCAACTAATTCCTTTTGTATGATTTTGTCTCTTAAGGATTATTTTATTTGGGTGTCTGTCTAGGTATGAGTTCCGGGGACAGGATGTAAGATTATAAGACTTGGTACACGAGTACCTATACAACATATATAAGTAAGATTATGTAAAGACTAGCTAGTTATACAGAGATATTTAACCATACAACTTCTTCCAATAACAGAATATATTTTAGGGTTAGCTATCTTTGAAAAACAAAAAGAGGACAGGGAGAAAGAAAAGACGGAAAAAGGAGAGCGATTAAGGATGTTACGGTTGGAACTATGATATAATATCCATATTCATGCAAGGAAGGTATGTGAGAGATGTTTAGGTCATATATATATATATATTTATAACGTGGTTTATCAGGACCCTGTACACTTTTACCTCAATTGCCCACATTCCATTGAAATAAAATTACAACAATACTATAAATTAGAATTAAATTACATACAATTCAAAGATCAATTAATGCTAGATCGAACTGACAAGTTCGTGCATTATGTGAAGCACTACCACATTTGCTACATCGTCGTATAGTAGCTTGCCTCCTTGCTAAAGAATCATCATTTGTAAATTCGTCACATCATATCTAATCTTCTACATTCTCTTGTTCTAATATATTATGCCTATCTTCTACTGAAAATGCTCTTCCTTTTCGTATTAAAGCTTTTCTAGTTCTCCAGCGTTTACTAAATGCTTCATTTGCTTTGCGGAGACTATGAACCTCAGCAGCTAAAAGCGTATTCGTATGAGCTAAGAGCTCTGTACCCTTAGCTAAAGCTGCAATTGTTTTAAATATTGGAGTAGGTGAGCTCCCTTGATGCCGAGCAATACGACTTTTCACTAAAGTGGATTGAGAAAGAGCTTCAATTGGATTATGAGGTGTTTGAGATTGCTATATATCAGGATCGGCTGATATTGATCTATTTGATGGAGTTCTTATTCGAATATCTAGCTTTGAAAGTACAATTTCCGGATTAAATGGGATTAGCCCAGCTCCGCGGAACCCAGCTTTACCATTTGATATAGATATTGCTTCGATACATACAGCTTTGAAGGCTTGAAAGAACTCGGTTTTGGTAATATGAGTGATATACGCCTTGATAAAGTTCTCGATTTGTCGATTATATGAATACTTTAAAGGACCAAAACAATCGATATCGAGTGGTTGAGTTAAATGCGAAGAATGAGGTGGTAAACTAAACAATATAATGTTGTATTACTTGCAGTATTCCTGAAATGCTGGTGATTTATGACTTTTATGCCTATCAAGTACTAGCATTCGATATCTATTCACTTTCCTACTTTCAGTATGTTTGTTGAAGTGCTTAATCCATTCAAGACCTGTCTCATTATCTGTCTATCTATTGATAGTAGGTTTAATAAGCCAATCGTATGGTAAATCACCTTCGGTATACCAATTTGAAAGATGGTATTCGCCTTTTACTATCAAAAACGAAGGTATATTGTGACCTTTTTTATCAACACAAATAATCGCTGTAGCCCATTCTCGATTGCCTGATCGTATAGCTTTGCTTTTTCCACATCGATCAGCTTTAATAACTACTATATGTAGTGATATTTGTCCTATCATAAAGCCTGTCTCATCGAAGTTGTAGAAATCGCAGTCCAGAATACCATATTTGGCCCACATATTCGATACCAATCGAAACCATCTTTCAATAAGCTCTAAATCTTCGCAGAAAGCTCTTTGAAAATCATAAACGTAATTAAAACACATCTTTAATTCTGTATATTGTTTCACAAAACGATGAGCCCAGAGCTTTCCAACCTTCTTCGCACCCTGCGTTTCGAGTATATAATTCGCCATATCTTCCATATCATTTATTCGAGGACTAAACCCTCTTTTATCCATATCCAATATATATTGAAGAAGCGATTTCTCCTCCCATTCTGTCATTTTATGATTTGCTGGTCGACGTTCAGTAAAAGGCAGAATTCCATTCATTCCAGAAGTAAGGGTAGTATAAGGTATATTATAGAGTTTTGCAGCTTTCCGAATACTCAAATTTTGAGATGTACGAATAGCCTCAATAGCTAAATTGATTCGAGCTTCTTTTGAAGTAGTTTGCATAATTAAATATTGATAAATCGTGTGTTGAAGTTGAAAGGTAATAATTGAGGTAAAAGTGTACAGGGTCCTGATAAACCACGTTATGTATATAAATACACATCTTTTTTTGATAAATTAGTTAAAACTTTATTGATATAGTGTCTTGTAATCCCGTGGTCCTTATATTCCGCACATTCTCGTATGCCTATATTGGTAAATGGGAAAATTCACCCTTCCTCCTCTCTCTGAATTCAGTTCAGAGATCCTTCATCGAAGCAACTCAACACAACCTCAAAGAACCCACCTTACTCCATAATTCAAAATCCCACATCACAAAAGCCCCAAGCAAACCCCCAAACACAAAGCACCTACCACCCAAACCCCTCGAATCCAACCCCTCCGTCCCCCTCCTCCACACCCCCAACCTGTACTCCTCCTCCGCCTCCCCCATACCCAACCCCCTCCCATCCAAAACCCTCGTCCCCACCCCCCACAAACCCCTCAAATACCACCCCCACTGCCTCGGAAAATACCCTCCTAATTCCACCCAGTCCAACTCCCTAAACCAACCTATCGCCCATATAAACCCGACACATTCACCTGCACCTCTCCTATAACCATGAGTATCGCTTCCACTCATATCGGCTGCGAAGAAAATGGTCAGGGAGCGGATATTAGGATAGTTGGTGGAGAGATGCAGTAGGATGGTTATCCAGGCGTGCAGTTCGGCGTAGGTGGTTGTGTCGCCGAGGGAATCGCCGAGGGTGTCGCCTAGAGAGGAGAGAGAAGTCATGCGGCCGAGGTGTTGGGAGGGGAGGAGTGTGAGGTACGTTAGGGTGGTTTTGGTTTGAGGGAGGAGGGAGTCCAGCCAGGTGGAGAAGGTGCGGGGGTCGCTTATGGTGCAGTGGGTGTATGCTTGGTGTGGTATCGGTGGTGAAGAGTCGGGTGTGGAGAATGGATTTGTGGGGGGTGGTGAAGAATTAGGGCAGGAATGTAGGTCCATGGTTGTAGGTGAGGATTCGGGTGTGGATAGATTCATGGTGGGAGTTGTTAGAGATTGGGGATAGGGTTTCTCTGGAGAGAATTTGGATATGGTGTTTGAGGGGTTCTGACCTGACCTAGACATCTTTTAATTTAGGTTCGACTTGATGTGATGGTTCGATACGGTATAGGATGTCAATATACGGTTAAGTGTTATATCTTAGGACAGGAAATATTTTCCGAAGAGTAGAGTGAATTTCCTTTCCCTAACCAGTTGGAGATAGGGGATTAACTGAGGATTTTTGTCGAGAAACTGCTTTTTGGATACTTGGAACACTGGGAAATTATACTCGGTCTTTCTTCCATTTTCCATTTAGAGCTTTTTCATTCTTTTGTTGTGTAATGCTATGATCAGAGACGTCACAGGTAAATTTGGTGAAGATCATAATGTTCAAAAAGACTTGTTTTTTAGAGTATAATAGAAAAGATCGAGGTATGTTCGAGATTTTCAACCAAGAATTCCTACCTACTATTTGTCTTTATCTCAAATTCACTTTTGAAAGATACAACATGTGTGAAGTTCTTTCTCATGATTAATCAACATATCAAAGTCAAACAACTATATTCTGACTTCATTGAGTTGGCGTGGAATAAAATTTGCGTACCCCAGATTGAAGGACTTCCTTATAGATGAGAGAAAAAGGGATGCAGACTGTAAATCAATACTCGGAAAGGCTCCGAATTTCACTTCTTGGTGATGAGATTTTCATTAGTTACTATCATGTTCTATCCTCTATATTATAAGTTTTTGATACTCTTTACCTATACTACCCCGATCACCCCGACCTCAGATTGAGGACACATAAAACTGCTAAATCTGCTTGCCACTGCTAACTCAACACAGATATTACAACATCTTTGACCGTAGGAAAAATAAGTTGATTAAACCCCCAAAATTTCCCTTGTCATGAATTTTAGAAACTCCAAAATCCATCGCCATTGTATCCAGTAATCCGGATTATTAGAAATTATATCGTCAATCACCCCTTTCCGACTTCCTAAACACCTCGTACATCCATTAAAACAAGCTTACTCCTATTCATCATACAAAACTACCCTTCCAAACTGCTCAAGATTATCTGTTATTGATATTAAACCCTTGCATCTCTTTCCAGCTTCTGTGCACCGCTGAATATATCAAGGTGATGAAATAGACCATTGAGTTTGTCCGGGCATCGAGTCGGGTGGTGGATTATTCTTCCTACAGCTCTTCCAACCGACACGTGCCACGTCTGCTTCTGCCGAAATAAACTAGAAAATGTCCTCCTCTCCAAACACTTCCAAAATGTCCTCTTCAAACTCTTCAGAATTGCCCTCCTCTTCAGACTCTCCCAAAAGGTTCATTGTGACCTTGTCGCTGACTCCCAAACTAAGTTCGACCCCCAAAGTTCGGATGCCCTTCTTGAGTAGAAAATTGTGGGGGTCTGCTGCTTGTGCATTTTCGGCATGATCTGGACACATACTCCAATCGATCGTTTCATTTAAGATGAATCCGAAATGTGATGAATAAAGGACTAGGTTCTGGATTGATTGGCATAAATCCCATGTCTGAGTAGGCAGGTCGGTCACATTCTCCTCAAGCTCACGACTAAGCAAAAGCCACTTTTGATTGTCTCTGCACTCTGATTTGAAACAAAACAGGTGTTTAAAGCTTTCTTTGGCATCGTTTTCGACCATTTACGCTTGGCGATTTCATGGGATTTTGGATAAAATTTCAAGCACTATTCGGCCTGTTGTACGAGCAGCCATGGGTCCTGCGTTCTTCTCCACGGACATGTTGTCTCGGATATGGTCATCTGGAATATAATGATGTGAAAATCCGGGATATAGATAAAATCCTTTTCCGCATGAAACCAAAGGATTCCAGGAGGTTTATCCTGCCCCGCGAAGACAGGAGTAGTACCTTTGAATTTCTCCAGTGCACATCCTCGAGCTAGCCTGTTGACCTGTAGCAAAGCACGAGCTCCGGCCCTGTCGATCTTTTTATCTATCACGTGACATACATTCTCTATATAGCTGGGATGGACTTGATAGGTTTGTATTGGGTTTCTTCAGACCAGAAAGAGCATCAGATTGAATTCATTTATTCTCTAGCTAAGCAGTTAAGCTGCGAGTATATATTCAAAAAATGAAGGGATAAGGTTAGGTATTCGGCCTTCGGAATTAAAGTGCTTTGAAATCAAAATATTGAAAGCAAATAAACAATATATCAAAAAAAAAAGAATGAATTAAAAATTGAGTTTTGTTTGTTTTTTATATATATTATATAATATATATATATATATTGTTAAGATTCTAGAAAGTTAATAATTTGTATCTCAGAATTATTTTCGAGAATGCAAGTCCAGATCATGAAAATAACATCTTTTGAAAGTCCATAAAATTCTTCTGATGCCGAAATAATAGGAGCTTCATTTCTTCAGGACTCTAACTATATATTTGCTCAAAAAGAGACTTTTTTCTTTCTTGTATCTATCTTGATTTTCAAAAGGCATTTTAGATATCCAAGGAGATTCGATCAAATTTTTGGGATGAGATATTGAGTTTCTAATTACCTTTCTTTTATATGGCTTTAAAAGAAGCTATATTTGTCCAAAGAAATGAGATCTTCAAGAAAGTAGTTGAAGATAAGAGATTGAGTCTTAAAAGCAATTCTTTTGATTAAAATATAAAAAGGGAAATATCCCAATTATAAAGTCTTAATAATAAAAAATGTATTATTGTAAAGAATATCCTATAAAAAAGAAATATATAAAAGAACAAGTTCAAAAATTTTAATTTATATAAGAAATCTGTTGAAATTAAGGTCATTATGGGCCTAGAATTGAGGTCATATGACCATTATGGTGCACGGACCATAATTGGGAATATCTTCAATTCTACCATTACTGTAACTTAGATCCTTAGTGTGACGGAAATCCCTGCTTTCCTCCCACCTTTATTATATAAGAAACCTCAGGTACATTAACCATGTCCACACATGATACGATTACTCGAGATTAGTATGCGATTTAGGTGACCTGAGGATCAGATCCGGACAAGTACTAGGTATCAATGGTTATCGGTAAAGTAAGATCATTGGAGGAATAAATATGACTTCTTTTTGCCTAGCTATTGCGGCTAGGCTATTCATTTGTGTATATATAGAGTAGCTATCCCCATCTACAGGTGCTCTTCACCTGTAGATTCTAAGTTAAATACAATTGCTGGTCTATAAACACCCTTTTGGTCACACTATGATTAATTATATCATACGGAAATATGTTATCTATTGTAACATTATATAGAATTATATAATTTCAATATTATAATATTTAAATATTCTAAAATCATATAATATTATTATATAATATCAATATTCAAATTAAAATATTTAGTTTTTTTAGATTATAATTTAAGTTTATTAAAGATCTGATTTATCTTATATAAACTATTTAACATTTTCTTGTATTTTAGCTTGATTGTTTAATTTAAAATATCTAGTATATTTTATAATCTGTATTATTGTGTTACAACGGATCTCACATACCTAACATCACGTGATTAGCATCATGTGATATGAGGATCCCAGTAGGCTCAGCTGTCCCAGTACAACTGGGACAACTGGGAGCACTGGGACGCATGCCACGATGGTCTATATAATCAAGATGGATTTCCTTTGTATAGAGCTTCGTGCTCAAGATCAATCATTTAGTATACTCTACTATTAGTTACGAATTGCATATCATTATTGTCATTACTTAGGTCCCTGCTTGACGCCTAGTTATAAACCACCTCGAGAGCCTGGAGCACTTCCACGTGATCTAGACGGCAAACCCTGGTAACAATTTGTTCCCCTCAGGGGGATCCAAGGAGGAGATTAATATGCCTACACGCGTAGAAATATAATCAATATAGAGGCCTCTTCCACCCCACTCTTTTGATAGATTATATTTATTAATAAAACTCAAAAAAGAAGATCTCTTTATTAATATTATCAAAATTATATTATTTATATAATACTATTATAGTTTTTTATATTAGAAGAAATGAAGATTATTGTTACGAGGTTTGCCGTCTAGATCACGTGGAAGTGCTCTAGGCTCTCGAAGTAGGTTTATAACTAGGCGTCAAGCAGGGACTTGAAGTAATGACAATAATGATATGCAATTCGTAACTAATAGTAGAGTATACTAAATGATTGATCTTGAGCACGAAGCTCTATACAAAAGAAATCCATCTTGATTATATAGTCCTTCGTGCCTATGGTTAACTAGGAATCGTCGTTCCTGGGAACGAGCGTTCCTGGTTGTTCCTAGGAACGTTCGTTCCTCACCGTTCCATCACATGTTTTATGGTCATGTGACATACTAATCGTTTTGGACGTAACAATTATTTAAGTTTAATAAAAAAGAATTAGAATTCATTAATTTAATAGTTTCCTTAATAGATTGATTATATAGTATTACATTACTCTTGAATCTTTTATGAATTCATCAGATTATTCCAGACTACTAGATACTCCAGATAATGTTTAATATAGTTTAGGGCAGAAATACTTAATTATTAGATAAGAAGAAAATAAACTAAAGATCTTGATAACAATCTGGATTGAATAACTAATACAAAATTAATATAATATTATTAGATTTTGTTGAAACTGAGTTGTTTGGAAGTAGTAGTATTATTAGATGTAGGTTAAACTAAGTGTGACCAAAAGGGTGTTTATAGACCAGCAATTGTATTTAACTTAGAATCTACAGGTGAAGAGCACCTGTAGATGGGGATAGCTACTCTATATATACACAAATGAATAGCCTAGCCGCAATAGCTAGGCAAAAAGAAGTCATATTTATTCCTCCAATGATCTTACTTTACCGATAACCATTGATACCTAGTACTTGTCCGGATCTGATCCTCAGGTCACCTAAATCGCATACTAATCTCGAGTAATCGTATCATGTGTGGACATGGTTAATGTACCTGAGGTTTCTTATATAATAAAGGTGGGAGGAAAGCAGGGATTTCCGTCACACATAGGATCAGAGCTATTATATAACCAGCTTTAATCAATCTAATTAGAGCCTCTAGAGCCAGAACACGAAGGTCTATATAATCAAGATGGATTTCCTTTGTATAGAGCTTCGTGCTCAAGATCAATCATTTAGTATACTCTACTATTAGTTACGAATTGCATATCATTATTGTTATTACTTTAAGTCCCTGCTTGACGCCTAGTTATAAACCACCTCGAGAGCCTAGAGCACTTCCACGTGATCTAGACGGCAAACCTCGTAACATAAATATTTCAGAACTTTATTATTCCCCAATATCAAATTCTTTTAAAATCTTATAATTCTTTTTTGAAATCTATCTTCTCGAGTATCCTCTTTATTATATTTATACAGTTCTTCAATAATTACATTCTTGTCACGATTCACCATTAGGATTGATGGTGTTACGATGGTAGCAAACTGATTAATTAGGAGAGCTTAGGCCGTGTGCAAACACGATCAGATTTCATCGAATTAGTATGTGATCTTGGTCACCTGAAGATCGTATGCGCACGCACCATCAGAAATCGCGTGATAAGGAGTCTTGAGGAGCCAGAAAGCTTCTAGGGGCCCCCTTTATTGTTCAGTATATAGTCAGAGTAGTTTCATAGTTTAGGAGCTTCGTGCTCAACTTAGTTATCAATTAGTTTACCTACATTCTACTTGATCTAGTAACGACTTCACTTCCAAGTGAAGACTAGTGATAAAGCCTTAACCCACAACTACCAATCAGACGAAACCTTAGGCAGCCGCTGCCTCCGGTACAGTATCGTTACACAGAAATACTTGATTATTAAATAAAAAGAAAATAAACTAAAGATCTTGATAACAATCTGGATTAGATAATTAATACAAAATTAATATAATACCATTAGATTTCCTATATAAATTAAAATTTTTGAATTTATTCTTTTATATATTTCTTTTCTATAAGATATTTTTTGTAATGATATATTTTTTATTATTGAGATTTTATAATTGGGATATTTCCCTTTTTATATTTTAATCAAAAGAATTGCTTTTAAGACTTAATCCCTTATCTTTAGCTACTCTCTCAAAGACCTCATTCCCTTAGACAAATATGACTTCTTTTAAAGCCGCATAGAAGAAGGGCAGCCGGAAACTCAACGTCTCATCCCAAAAACCTGGTCAAACCTCCTCGGATATCTAAAATGTCTTTCGAAAATCAAGATAGATGCGAGGAAGAAAAAAGTCTCTTTTTGAGCAAACATATGGTTAGAGTCCTGGAGAAACGGAGCTCCCGTTATTTCGGCATCGGAAGAATTTTATGGACTTCCAGAGGATGTTATTTTCATGATCTGAACTTGCGTTCTCGAAAGTGATTCCGAGACGCAAACTGTTGACCTCCTGGGATCTTGACAGCATATGCATATATATTGCATGATGCATATAAGGAGCAAACAAAACTCAACTTTTAATTCATTCTTTCCTTTTTGGTATACTGTTTGTTTGCTTTCAATATTTTGATTTCAAAGCACTTTAATTCCGAAGGCCGAATACCTAACCCTATTCCTTCATTTTTTGAATATATGCTCGCAGCTTAACTGCTTAGCTAGAGAATCAATCAATTCAATCTGATGCTCTTTCTGGTCTCAAGAAACCCAACAATGTTTCTTTCTGCGATGAGATTGTATGTAAGCTTTATATGACCATATATGCCTATGAAATGCTGGAGACGAAGAAAGCATAGAAGTGAGTTTTGGCTCAATTCTAGAATTATGTGGGATCTCAGCAAATCATGATCCTTGGGGTTGTACACTGTTTTACTGATAAATTTGCTATGGGTTATACGGGCGTGAATAGCAGTGAGAGACTGCAAGTTGGAGCATGCAAGGATTAAAATCCCCCAAGTAACAACGAAATCAACCCTTTTATGGCAAATTCGACTTGATACCGTACAACCACAATATTAGTCTGGAGGGTTACCAAATAATAGTAAGGGGATGGCAAGATGCCGAATCTGACTGAGAAATGTCTGACTCCGCCACTTGCTGCATTGTGTGAGGTCATAGAACTCCTGCTCGCTCATGTCAAGAACGACTGTTGTATTTTGGTGGATGTATATTGGCTTATTGGTGAAAGATGGTAGCATAATTGGTAATTGCTTCAAATATATATCGCGAAATACTCTCGAGACGGATAAAATCTGTGTATCGTGTGTTCGTTCTTTCTCATTGAGGTATATGAGATTTTTGGGAGCTCGACAAATTTCAAAGCTGCGCCAAGCATCGCGGTTTGGCATGCACAGTTCGATTATCTTAAATTTAATCTCTGTAGGCAGCTTATAGAACCGGTTTACACCAGCGGGATTCATAATCTCGTCGTTAGCATCATAGAGTGCATCATGGAGTTCTCCAATGCTTGTAGCATCGAGGGAGGCGGAAAGCGATGCGTCGTTAAACATGGGCTCTGCTTCATCGCTGGAATCATCCATAAGTGCTTCTTGGAATCATAATTAGCAATGGAAGCATAAGTACCTTCACTGAATTATTCTTACCGTCGGAATTCATCTTGCCATTGACCTCAATCAGGGTAATCGGATAAAACAGGATTCATATTACAATGACCAAAGCATTAAGTTCTACGGCGAGCTCGAGATAAACACAAAGCTCTAGCTTACTAATGCTACCTAGCGCAGACACATCCGCTAATTAGCATACTGAATATACCAAAATTACCTTGGTAGATCATGGTGAGCTCGAGTCAGTCTATCCGAGAATGGAATTTCTGTATCTCAGAGATTTTGTGAATATTGATTCTGCTATGAGGTAGAAAGAAAGCTCCTTGAAGAAATAAATATTTTGATGCGAAACCTTCCTCCAAGGACTTGGAGATGCATACTACACTCACTCAGAGGTAAACTAATCAGATAGGGAAACTTGCATGGAACATTTTTTTCCATGGGGCTACATTGTTATCTGGCTGTCTAAGCGCTAAGCGAGGGAAAAGCGAGGATCTTTAAGTGATGTAGAGGTAAAGCTGTTCTTAGTACTTCCAACTTTCTGATGTTTCCCCGCCAAGTTCTCCTCTATTATAGTAAGTCAGATATGAGAATTTTGCTAGTGATATGTGCGAGGATATCATCGGGTGTGTGCATAGCTCTACAAAGCCCGAGTTTGTGGATACCTAGATTACGAAAGCATATCTGCACCACTTCTCTTATTATTTGGTACCACATGGTGGGGTTGAGCGATGTACAAGCATTTGAAACGTCCAAGTGTGCGATTTTCGAGATCCCAATACATACATATACATAATGGCATAGAATTGTCAGATAACCTTTAGGCCGATAGTACCGCCTTCTATATTACAGATATGGTTTTGACTAATGAGCCATCATAGATAAGCCTTAGCCATCAAGAAGGAACCTATCATCCGCCCGGTAGAGCTTTGTATATGTGCCCACATGTTGCCCTGCTGGATAGTCTTTGGACTTATCTCGAGCTTTGTAGCTTTCAGGGTGGTCCCTCGCCCAGGCTGCCTCTCCATAGTACATCCACTGTCGCTCAAGGCCTTCCCAATCATCAGCGAAACATGATGGTGCCGTTCTTCGCGTAAATGCAAAATCAATTTCGGGTGGTGTCCATGTAGTGTAATCGGGATCTCCACGAAATTTTGATCCTGAAATACACTTCAGTTGACTAAATTCTTTTAGCATCCAATCCATTCTAAGACTCAAATCGTCGCCGCCAGGCCCCCACCAGTAGGCATTTTCGACTTTGTCAAATTGTATTAATGCTACTCCACAATTTCCATCGTCATCGTATCTGCGCTCATTATCAAGAGATGTGTTAGGTTTGTATGATCCGGGTTTCTCTCCAATTGCCTCATGAAAAGTGTCATAGCATCTCCACATATCAGGCTTTTCGGGTAAAGATTTCCAAATATCAGTTTCCTCATAGTGATTGTGTAATAACCACTTTGAGAATTTTTCCTTCTCAGACTTCACAAGATCATCGTAGCAAGGTTGCATATTGGGTTGAAGTGCTCTCCATTGATCGATAACATAGCCAGGATCATGAGACCTGAATTCACTGCCATCCCTCCAAGCCCCCACAGTACGAGTATACGTCAGTTTTTTGAGCCCTGGTAATCGTGAAATCATAGCAGCCGGAGTGCATTCTTTTTTGACTGTGCACATGAAGATGCGTGATTTATGCCAGCAATCATAATCAATAGCAAGATATCTCAGTTTCTCGCGGCAATTTCGTAGTTCTAATGCGTGAAGGAATCCAGTATTGTGCAAATGCCCGACTCTGCTACCAATGAATATGATGTCTTTCTCCCAGTCTATCCAATGTCCAAAACATCTTGATCTTCTGTTCAAGGCGATTTTCCTGGATTCTTGGTTCACTCGCGCGAGCGGAGGCTCGAAGCATCTCTTTTTGCAACGGCATGGTATCGCATACCATTCATAAGAAGTAGGACGACCAGTATTGTCATAATGGTTCGGTATGTTGCAAACTTCGACGACGTGACCAGGTTGAGAGTCTTCAGTAAAATTCCAGATCATAGTCCTCAGCTCGGTGGGAAGACGGGAAAAGGAATGGAAAGTTGATGGTGGTTGAGACGTAAGCTCGTGAGCTTTCCTCGCCATCTGCCTGGTTAAAACCATGATGGATATAATAATATAGATTTGATGAGAATTGAAGGATGTCAAAAAGAAAACTATATTATTCAGAAGTGCGACTGTGATTTCAATAAACCATTTCGTTAACAAAGAGAAGATGTTGGTTACCATGTCATCAGTTAGTCAGCATTTCTAGAGCATTTATCCAGTCAACCAATAAAAGTTCTGCCCGCAAAATAAGCTCAACTCATCCTTGACCTTACCATAACGTCAAATGCAAACCATGACATGAGATCATTAATTTTGATAGGTTTGCCTTCTCTAGAAATAATTGTATCGACAATATCGTTTCTGAGCATGGCAATTCTCTTTGATTACTCTTTGACAGCTTAAAAGAAGTTAGAGAGACAGCACGGAACAGTGTCTCTGATGTCCTTGGCACTCACTTCTTCTTTATCCCGCTCAAATACCAAAGATGTCATCGGGTGCAAAATATCATACCATGGCTCTTTTGTGTGGGTTGCTTTTGAGCCATCAAGAAGCTCCATGGCCTCCGGGTGAAATATAACTAGATCGTTTGGACCTGACGCCCTTAATTAGCTCCAAGAAAAGCACTCATATCATCAGTACCGTTAGATTGCGGTAGTAGAACTCACCAACTCTAACCACATAACCATATTCTTCAAACATCCTCTGCAACACCGGGTGATTAATACAGTTTCGACTTTGCCAAACATACCATAGCTTAGAAACTGCTGCAATTCTAGGGCCCGGATAGTGTCTCAACCGATGGAAGAAGACACGATAAATTTCAATGCCACCGAAGAGTCCCAAGAGATAGGAACCGAGTATCTTAAAAGTTGTGTATGCATGGCTTGCTGGAAAGTTACGATCGAAATGGAATAATAAAGACCAAACAAATACAAGTAAGGCACAATCAGAAAAGACGACATGAGTAACGTGCAAATGCCATTCACCCCGGATGAAGACACAAATGGATCGCAACACCTGAAAGTAAGGCAGCAATAAAGCTGGTGGTAGAAATCATCTTTCTCCCTTCTTCAGTAGGTTCTGACCAGGTGTTTCGATTGTGGTTACATCCATCCATGGAGTTCTATAATATTGATGCTGGCACTTTCCACTGCCCGGTCAATCATCTCCCGAGTCACAATTCAACGCAAGAGCCTAATCTCCTTTGAACAACTTTATAGAAACATAACTGTTGCTTCATGCAACTCAATCACTGTAGCATTTAATTCCTAATTACAATATGCTCCAATTCAGCGAGCTATACGATGAACCCAGATGATGTGATATGCATGATGTTTCATGCAAATGCACTAATGCCCCACTCCGCTACAAGTCGTACCGGCGGAAACAAATCTCCACTTAGAAGTTGCAATGGCGAAAGCTACTAGCACAAGATTGGGGCAAAATATGATCACTCTAACTATGACTAGGTTGTTGCCATGCTATTTCTCCTATCAGAAGATTCTCTAGCATGTCTTCCACATTTTTGAAATCCCCGGAAAGATCGACACCCATCAACTTTTATCAGACTCTGCAAAGACGCCCATCCGTCTTTTCCGTCCAACGGTCACTTCCAACAGCCCCCAGTGCGTAAAATCTGTCCAAAGGATCATATTTAGCTTTGATCGAGTTAAGCCGGTTGTAGTTTGCGCCGTAGAAAACCTCTTTCCAGTTTGGCTGCTGGAAATCAGCTTCATTGAGATATGCCGCTCCATTTGGAGTCAAAGCCGCTAGTGCAGATGTAATGGTATTCGTTATAAAATTCTGATTCTGGAAGTTTGCCGCAAAATCCGTGTAGTTGATGGCGTTACCATACACCGCATTCATCAGTGTCTTCCTCCAATAAGGGTTGACTGATATTCCCGGTGCGTTGGGAACTACCGTTTTGTTGACATCCAATGTCACCCCGGCCATAATATACCCGTTTTCAACAACTGTTTGAAGACAGAAAAAAAGCTATCACTACTGTTCTGCATTACCGAACGAGGAATTAAGCGTCCGCCAATGTTGTAATTTGAGACATTAGCGCCAAAAACCGCCGACTCATAATATGTGAGAAATGAGGTGGATACCGTAGATGCATATTTGTATGGAATCTCGGCTGCTTCGAGGGTAGCGAGAGTCTTGGAGAAGAGAATATCAATGGTAGCCTGTGGGACGTCCAACCCCGTGACTGGCGAAACAAGAAAAAATCTAGGGGCAATAGTCCAAACAATCTGTAGACCGCTATCTACCATAAGTGGCAAGGCTTGTAGAAATACTTTGATAGAGCTCCAATATGAAGCGATGCCATCTGATGTGGTCGGGGAAGCAAATTGTAATGTAGCTGAGGATACCCAGGTAACAGCTGGGTGGAACTTGACTGTCGCCGATAGCACAACACCATATGTGCCCCGCCTCCCCCAGAAAGAGCCCAGAAGAGATCCAAGTTTTGAGTCGGCGAGGCTGTTACAAGTGCTCCTACACCAGTTAAAACTTGCCATTCAAGAACCTGGTCAACCGCCAGGCCATATTTTGTGGTAAGGGCTATGTCCCCCTCCTTGGCTATAGCTGCCGGCAAGTGCAACAGTTGGGCAATTTCCTCCAACTATTATGCCGTTGTTTGCATTGGCAAACTCGTAAGCCTCCAGAGATCGGACATCTGCGCCAATAGTTGCTGCTTTTCCGGTATATGCTGAAGATTTGTATGAATCATCAAGGGAGATTGATTTGAGATGGTGTGTCCAGACGGAGAGAGCACCGGCACCTGTTGACTTGCCATTATAATCGTGACCAGTAGCTCGGATAACCAAGCGGATATTGAAAAGATTGTCAAATACGACTGCCTCTCTCACATCATTTGCGGTTGTTGCATTGAACGCGTAGCTAACATAATTACCCAGAGTGCATGAGGTTGTATCGGCAAGGAGGGGGTTGCAGGTGTTGTTCGTAAACATCCACGCCATAGCTGAGGATGATGATGAAGGATGGGTTTCAGGCAAGAACAAGTTATCCTGAAGAGAGGAACATGCGTCTGCATTGTACACCTCAAGTATATCATTGTGGCAGACTGTGGCAATAAGAACGGAGGCAACAAGTTTCCCCCAAGAGTTTCGTTGAACAAACTCCATTCGATTTCATTGGGGTAAGAGGTATCCCCCAGGAAATTGCGGCAGTTGAGGGCAATGGGTAAGGCTGTTGCCATGCATCCATAGAGACCAAATGGAGCCACAGAAGGTAGGAGAGAAGCCATACTAGCAAAAATGGAAGTCATGACTGTGATGACAGTAAAAAGTTTGTGCAAGTACTCAATGCAAAGTGGAGAGAAGACAGTGGTCACTCATATTTGCGGATTTGAAGCCTTTCCAATCAACTGTCGTGTCGTAATTGGGCTGCACACTGAACAAACTGTTGGAAAAACGTGGCTATCAGACGATGATTGCAGAAGATGATTGCAACCAATCTCAATTTAGCCCAAGAAGATAGAAACAACTATTCGTGAATTAACTGTGGAATTTCATATGCACACCAGGAACTGTACTGCATACAACAGAGCTTGATGTTGGATGTCACAAAGGTTTGGGCTGCAGCGACGTACTGGGAACTTGTATGCTCAACTTGAACAGGGATTATTTTAGAAGGAGAAAGGAAGCTACACTTACAAGGGAAATTCAATATCGGAATGGATCGTATAGGAAACGTAGCCTTATTCATCCTACACTATTTGTCAACCTGCAATTGTTGTGGCCAGGTAGGCTGTCATTTAGTGAGCAGTAAATATAGAGTAATACTAACTAGGCATCAGTAAGCAGAGGGTGTGGAAGAAGTAAATAGAGGTGTTTAGTGATAAGCAGTTGCATTGCCAGGGTTTGATTGGATAATATGTACGACCAGTGAAGATTCTCGAGTGCCCCGCGAGGGTGGGATATATTGATAATTTTAGGTACAAGTTCATGTTCCTTCTTTGCTATAAGGACTTCCTCGGGTGATAACGACAAGCTAATGAAACCAAAAGACGTCCCATAATATGGCTGATAGTGTTTACAATCTTGGTAACACTGACGATGGTGGGGAGATTTTGTATTTCTCAAGTCTCGTAAGAGATTGTAATGTTTCTAGAAACACAACTATGAAGACGGTAATTAGACCATGACTACTTGAAAGTGAAATAGCTTCCATCCATCAGATGGATTCTTTTGACTGTAGAAAATCTATTGTGCGCCAGCAAAAGGCCATCCATCACAACCAATTGTGAAGATAGAACTATTTTGAATCTTTTCGGCTTGAGCAGAAAGTTCGTCAACATCCCAATTAGCCCAAATGAACCGCCCATTCAAGAACTTTGATTTTGGCTGGGAAAGCCACACTAAAAGATTGGCAGGCAAAGCAACTTAAAAATGTGGAAGTCAGTATTGCTGAATTTTGAGAAGAAGATCCTACTTACGAGAGTCCATAGGTAGAGTAGCTGGATCGGCGCCGGAGGCCCGGAAAGTTTTAGTGTCTATCATGCCAGGGTGCACGGAACAGAAGAAGATGCCTGGATTTTCATTTGCTAGAAATCCAATGACCTTTACCTGTGCTACTTTGGCACTTTGGTACGCCGATTGACCCGTAATCCAAGACACTGGTAGAACCAATGCCCCTGATGTAAGTGCGTAAACATACGCGTTCGCTTGGTTTGCGTTCGGGAAGAAAGCCTGGGCGATATAGAGGATGGATTTAACGCCCGTCTAAATGACATGAGATTAGTACACCACAGATGAGGAAAGAAATACTTTTCCAAACCTCATATGACTCCCACCACTCAGAAATATTTGTAGACACGATGGGTCCCTTGATGCCCTTATGTGTTGCCCCCAAAATTAGGACATCCCACGTGCCAACTGCCTCGGCCACTTTTCTAATTCCAGCTTCATCGGTGACTGAGATGGCGAAAACTGAGCTGGTTGCTGTATTCTCGGGGATTTGCTTCTGGGTCTCAATCAAATCCGCCTCGGTCCTACCAATTAGCACCAAATGTTTGGCTCCAGCTTTAGCAAAAGTCAACGCGGTTTCGCGTCCAATTCCACTACCCTTTAGGTATTTCATCAGCTTAACCATACGATGATCGCATTTTTCAGGGCACTTACAGCTCCTGTTATGACAACAGTCTTTCCAGCTTGGCTAAGACCAGGCTGAGTGGCATCAATCGCAGGATAGACATCGTTGTGCCATGTGGGTGTTGGGCACGGGTATGGAGGCTGCATGATGAAGGTCAAATTGCTTTTGAGGAGAATTTAGTACAAAGTATCAAGAACAGAGTTGATTACACACAAAAATGTTATCAACAGTTGTCTGAGTTATGAGTATCTCCGAGGGATTAAATAGAGTGCGAAATACTAGGACCTGAATCCTGCGTACATAACTATCAAAAAATGAGGTGTGTGTAATGCTTTGTATATTTGACGAAGACGGGTGTCAACAGCCGTCTTTCGCTAATTCGTGCATACGGACCCCAATACCATTGCCCTTTAGCGCTGACACTGTTTCACCATATGCGTGGCGGCTAATCATCAGAAAACAAATACTTCTAAGAACATACTAGCTTGCATTCTCCAGAAATCTTCACAACTTCAAGTGTATTCAAGGTTAATGTAGGGTTCGAACTCTTCTATTTAAAGGTAGAGCAAGATACCAAGTATGGACCCTTCCCAGCCCTTATATTACCCCCCACCAGTTGTTTCCCTACTCCCTACAATCTGGCTGCCTAGCTTTTGTTGCTTCCGTATAGTATACCATAAATGACAAATAGATTACGAGCTGCTAAATGTCCTTGTTGTACGCCTCCACCCAGATATCAACAATAGTCTAAATAATCTCTCTACTACTAAAGAAGCCACGACTGGTGATGATTCACCAAAGGAATAAAGGATAGTAGTGCCATCCACCAACACAAAACTTGCCATGTCCATTTGTCCTCCGCTTTTCCGCTTCGTAAGGCGCATCGCAATGCCACATACGTTCCGAGAATTATGGCTGGAGTAGCTGCAACCCATGCGCTCCAAAACAGTGCACAAATAGGACTCCAAAGAGAAATAGAAACTGCAAGTCTCCATCTGGTAACATAATCTCCGAGAAGAAGCGGTGCAGTTTCACGACCTCTACACCTGTCCCCGAGCATGTCTTTCAAGTCTTGGACGTGCCTGGTGGTCATAATGACTCCACTAATCACTAGAACCTACATTTGTCCTGTGTTGGTAATTGCTGCTATGGAAAGACCCCCTCCACCGATGGCCACTTTCAAAGAATTCCGATTGCAAATTCAGAAAGCAAGAGCAGCGAGAAAGTTGCGCTGTATCCACCCATCATCATTGCTTTTAGGTCGTTATAAACCCATGTGGCTATCAAAAGACAGGCTATTTCGGCTCCAACGTTGAGGAAGCGATGGCTGATTGCAAGAATTGCGGGTATCAATAGCTGCATTGCTAGGCGTACTTCACTGCGAGTCATCAAACCTTGAGGTATATTCGCAAGGACGAATATCGACAGGCTAGACCAATTGAAGAGGACGACAGCAGGATTCGTCATAGAATTTCTTTAGTAGTGATGTGGTCCCCCGACACCACAGGAGGCCCAGAAAGTGCACAGAAAATTCCAAACGCAGTGTTGGGGACAACAAATGTTATAAAATCGCTGCTCGTGAAAGCCAAAAGTACTTTGCCACTTTCCCTACAGTTTGTATTCTTTGTAGTGCAGGAACCGACCCGGGGTGTGTTTTCTTCAGCTCCGAATGCATTTTGGATCTTGAGAGCAAATCCAAGTGACGTGAAGGTGTAACAATCAACGTATGCTGAGTTAAAAGATGATAGCGTTTGAGAGAAAACCAAGAATGAAGTGGATGGACTGGGGGCTATGGATGAGCCTGCTTCGTAGGTTCAATCAACTGTCTACTATGGCTTCATGATACTAACATTACGTTCCTGTTGTTCCTCTATGCATCCGTATATAATTGGCCAAACAAAAGCTACAGTACGTATGTCACTGTGTCTTTCATGGCACGCTTATCTTACTACAACTGCGGTTTGTCCTTCGAGTTGTTCGGAGTCGCATTTGGCAAATGGTCAGTAGACGGGTGATGACTAGATAGAGTGTGATGTCGTCTTCACAAAGCTGTTTTTGGGCAAAGGTGTCATTGAAATGGAACATATGCAATGCAATGGGGAATTGTTGGTGATCGTATTGCACACAATCACGTTTGCAATGCTATGCCACAATAGTGGGTCACTATCCCCGTTACTTCCGAGAAAAATAGTCATTGACGGCGTTTTCTTCAGTCAGCGTAGCATTTGCTCTTCCCGGTTGTAGCAAGGAGAGGTAAATTCATCGACTCTCAAATCTCCACAGCCCAGTCTTTGCAGTTAGAGATGGATTTGCATCAGCAATGAACGACTTACAGAAATAATGACCCTACGTCTAATTACTTTACGATGTAGAGTTTCATTTTCTTTCAGTTCTTGCGGCACAGCACTGGAAAGTTGTATTTGTAGTATCTTGCTAACCGGCATTAAAGTCAGTAATTACTCTCCAGCTCTTCAGTCTCCAGTGCGTTGGATCATGGTAAACTGCCTCGTACAGAAGTAGACATGCACATATCTACATACCAACATTTTACTATATGGCAATCAAGCAGGAGCTTAGAGCTGTCCGTAAGATAGGACGAATGTTGTCAAAGAGTTTTGGGAACGGTCTTCGCAGAATTCACGACCCAACGCTGGATCGTCCTCCTTGGTGGAGATTGTACTCAGCGATTCTCTTGGTAAGAGGAAGTGTGCCGATGAGGTTTGTTTCTTTGTATCAGGGACTATTGTAGGTCAGCTATAGAAAGTAGGCATGCGTAAAAGCCATCTACCACACTGTATAGCTCTGGTTCTACGAAACAACATCCATCTTATATCCGAAATCTCTATTTGTCGCAGCAAATTTTCAAAATGAAGGGACTTCACTCGAAATTTATCTAGTCACCCACCTCGTTCAACATTTTTATCGTTCTTTTGGTCTGTCCTTCGTTGTGTGTTTCTACAATTGCCGAGAGTTGTCGGTGTTCTCCAAACGAAGCAAGTTGTCCTAGTCAGAAAAGATGGGCAGCGTTCAATGCATCGGTATATGGAAAGCTCGTATTAACCACTCCAATTGCTGCCATAACTCATTCCTAAATAAAAGTCCCCTCGATTTATCCAAGTGTGCGGACCTACAACCAACTCTTTCCAATTGGTATACCGAAACCGATTTTCCTGCGGATTAGGCTATTAAATCTATTTCTAATAAATAAACAAATAATGAAATAGAATTAAAATGATTAAAACATTTCAATAAACATATTATTTATTGAAGAAAAAGCAAATATCGAATATTAATATTAAATAGATACGAAAGTCATGAATCAATAGCTTCTCAATTATATTGTAAAGCAAATGATATTATATACATAAAGTTACTATCATATTCAAATCATTTAATTCAACCATTTGATATTGGATGTTTTGATGTACTTAAACATTTATATAGTTCTCAAATTGAGGAGTTTATTAAGGCATATATTAATTATATTACTAAGATTGAATTCTTTATAGCTTTCAAAATTGTATATCAACAATCAATCATCTTTTAGAATATGAAAGCTGGTTTTCAAGGAACAGATCTAATACCATTTGACCCTCAAATTATACTCTCAAAATTAGATATTCGAATTCATATATCTACTCCCCCCCCCTTTCAGTTTAAACCTTTGGATCTCTCAAACTTCTCACAATCCAATTGAAGCTCTTTCTCAATTAACTTTAGTGAAATCTCGAATAGTTCGTTATCAATCAAGCTCCCCTACAACTATATTCGAAACTATACTAGCTTTAACTAAAGATACAGAGAGATTAATATATGAAAATACATTTTTAAGTATAGAAAACTGTACACTTCGGAAGACAAATAAGGCATTAGGCAAATGTCGATACGCGAAAAAGATTCAATTACGTCAAGGAGGAGTACTTACTGAATAAGAAACTACAGATATATTATCTCAAAAAGAGATTGATATTCAGATTCAACACAACAAGCGTCAAAATGAAGGGAATTCTAATGGGGAAGCATCTTCTAATAGATGTTGTAGCAAGTGTGGGAAGACTGATCATAATTCAAGAACCTGTTCTAATAATTTAATAGACCCTAGATTGTTAGATTCTTAATAGTTTTAATTGATTGATTTAATGATTGTTGAATAATATGAGTTAGAAAGTGCAAATTGAGGTAAAAGTGGTGCACTCGGTGATATGGTGCACTCGGTGTTAAACCACGTTACAAGGTTTGAAGCCGAACAATTCGTTTCCCGGGGATATGCGCTTTCCCGGATTAAAAAGTGGTCGGTCTGTCAAGTAACCGACTATTAGTCATAAATAGCATCAAGCCGTCAAGAATATCGGCGAGTATACCAATTGGTAGAGGATGTTTTACAAGATGTTGGTACAGAATGAATCCTTTGATCTGTGATTTGAACAGTCCATCTAACTTGGATGCCCTCATATCCTCTTCATGTAATCCTAATATAATTATGAGCACATACTCGGCGTCGACATGGTTTTTGCGGTCTAAATGTAGTATGAGGCTTCTAGATATTTGTTAAATCTATAGTGGAATAGATCTTTCAAATTTACATACAGTATAATACTCACATCAACGTTCTAGTTGAAGTAATACAATACACGATACTAGAAACCTGTATAAGCGCTGTACATACACGGATAAAGCTGAGCTTTTCAATAATTTAAATACTGTGGTATATATCTATGATAAAGTACTTCTTGTACAGAGCTAAATGAATAGCATATGAACAAGGAAAATGGCCTTGAAAAACTTCGTGCTCTTCATATTATGGTCCTGTGAGGACGTAATATTCCCTGTACTTCAAAATTTTCTTCCACCCTCTCAGATGTCAACCATCCATCTGCTATTTTACACCTCACCTCTGCCCCTTTCCCAAGATCCGAATAAAACTCCACGGAAGTCCTTTTCCTTCCCTTCCAAGTAAAAAAATTGTGTATCCCGTCAACTCCGTTTATTTCCCTAGTCCAATTGTACAAGAAGTGAACCAAAAACACCATGATTAAGCCAAGTACGTATCGTGGTTAAAACTGTTATTGCTCCAACTCTCCTTCTTCATGCTGCTCCTCCGCGTCAATGCCACCATCAGTTTCGGCAGGAGCAGTTTTAGGTTCAAGTTCGGAATCAAGCTCAACATCTTTTTGAGCATCATCCTTATCATTTTGTGTAGTATCTTGGCTCTCGTCCGGCACTGTTTTGTCCTCATTTGGAGGCTCGGAGACATCCGCAAGAGTTTCAGAGCTAGTGTCTTGTGTTCTTGCTCGCTTTGCTAGCGGTGCCTCGTCTATTTGTTCATCTGCCTTGCGTTTCGGGCTCGTTTTCATGTCATGATCGATATTTGACGAAGAATCATTTGAGGAATTAATTTGGTCGTGGCTTGAAAGATCATTGGCTGCTGCTTTTAAAGGAGCATCATCTGTTCCAGAGGTAGGCGAAGGTTGAGCACCATCAGTCGTTAAAAAGTTGGGTGGCTTGCTATCTGAATGTCCATTTTCCGTCTTTTCAGTTGGTTGATCTTTATGGGCATCAGGATCTGACCGGGAGTTATTATCCGAACCATTTGTGCCATTCCCATGGACATAGCCATTTCCATTTTCCTTCTGAGCCTGCTCCGGGTTTCCAGCAGGACCAGCACCGTTCAGTTCCTCTTTCCCACTCGAAGCATGTAAATATTTGGCAGCCGTATTTCCGGGCTGGTCTTGATCCGTGATCTGAAAAGGACTATTGCTTAGGAATTTATGTAAAATAAGCCCAGCTTCAACAATCTTAGGTTCAGTGCCCCCAAGGTGCTCCCACCAATCTCTGCCATTTATTCGGGGTATTTCAACTTTTTTGGCAGTCGCTGCAAACAAAAGAGTTGTAATCGCAATGGTCCTGGCACTTGTCGTGAGACCTAATGTTGAATGATGTGTGTCGCAGATTAATGCCCATGTGTAATTCCGGAGTTCTTTGATAATTGCAGACTCAATACCAACATGTGTAAATTCCTCAAAGAAGTTCACCAGGTATTTCAGTGGAGATGTCGCAGAAAGGTCGAAACATAATAATTCCAGCATAAGTTCCTCATACATAAGAATACTGTCACGCCAACGCCAGTACTCTTTAGAGCTGGCATCAACTTCGAGTTTCGGATTCTTCTGAGCAACCTTAATACAAGCGAAAATGAAAAGTTTCGTTCCTCGTATGGTTTCTTCAGTTTTCGTCGCCAGGAATAGAGCCGTCGCTGCAATTTCCTGATAAGAATTGATTAGTATCATTGCTCTAGCAGAAGTATAGCAAAACTAAGCAAACAAGACTCAAGCAATCAGAATCGCAATACCTGAACTTGCAATTTCGATTTGAAGCGGAGGAAAGTTTGAGTTAAAAGTATGATGTAAAGAACAATGACTCTTCATAATTTAGAGATAGAGTAAGAACTTACATAGTGATGAATCCCTGTGCAGCCCTTCTTATCTAGGACCATGCTTCTACGCATGTAAAAGCGGTGGAAGTAGAGACTTGCGACACTCACAGTGGTCATGGGAATGTGTAGCATGTTTCCAATTGATGACATGAAAGAAACTCCTTTTGCTCTGCGAGTGCGTTCCTCCTCGGGCGAGAGGCCTTCCAAAATGGAGGGAGTCGCTTTAAGCTCCGCCTCAGTAAAGGTCCATTGATCAATCATCTTGCTCGGCATTTCTCGTATTAATGCGTGCTTCGTTCGACGAAGTGGCTGTTCGGGAGATAAATGATGGTTCGAAAATCGCGGAGGCGAAGGAACTGCCGGTGGTATGTATTTTTCGGTTATAGTTGATGTGCAAGAAGAGGGAGGTCGAATGCGGTTTGAATGATCACCCGGGAATTCAAAATCTGCGACAAGATATGGACCTGCGGTGGTCATAGGATTGAGGAAGTGCGCTAGATTTTGGATTGTGATGGCGAGGCTGTTGTTAAACGTTCAGTCCTCGTTTGTCTATGGAGAGGTTGCACTTGGCTGAGTTTGCAGGGTTGTTTTGTAGCTGCGCGTTGAAAGTAGGACGATTCCAATTGTGCTATTGTTGAGCTCATTATTGATTGGATTTGTCACAATAGCAAAGGATTCTAGACAAGATATTATTCAAAATCGCGATAGCTAGCCGTATCTTAGCGCCGTTGTGATAATACACGTGATGACGTGACAAATCCAGCCGCGTTTCTCCACGTCTTGATTGATCTTTTTTTATCTTCATTTCTCTACGTTCACCTCTCGTGGTAAGTACATAGGTAGGTAATACAGGCATAAATTGCTGTAAAGTATTTTCACGTCAGATTCTATCTTCTACTACAATTCACCGCTCATATACCGGAAGACTGGACAACCCACATTCCGTAAGTATAGCTGCGCCCTTTGGATCAACATTCTTCAACATATGTCGACGGTCACGTCGCCTCGTCAGTTCCATGCCGATTGTCTGGGTAGGGCGTGTCTAGCACAGAACTCTGCCAGAATGACTCTTGCGAAACGGAGGATGATCAGCAAGGTTTTAAGCATAATTCCTTTTCTGTACAATTCTATTCTTGTCGGATTGAAGAGCCACAGCGGAAGTACCGCAACATGAGACATTGTTTCCAGAATTTAACTACATATCTACTCAAGCATTCCGATTCTTCATCACGCCAAGCCTTAAAAATATGGCTGGCATGGCGTGCCGCGTGCTAGTTTAAATTCAACAAATCTTCATGTTCTTGTCATCTAGAACTTCTAGAGTTCTCAGCATCCAACATTATGATTCTATCAAATCTATTCACAGCCTTTTTAAGCATTGCTTCAGTCTCTGCGTCTCAATCGTTCGGTGCCAGTAATTTCGATGGGATCAATGAGCCTTCCAAGCGTGGAGAGACATTGCCTCGTGATGGAGGCTTTTTCAATTTGGGAAGTGTTCCGTCGGTATCAACTAATGCTGGGATATATGAAAACTTTGGATGTTTCGAGGATGGCGTTCGTGGTAAACCTTTGGCTTCTCCTCTCCTTAACCTAACTGGAGCCCCAGCGGAGACAATTCAAAGTTGTGTAAATGCTTGCTCTATCTCGGGACAAGATGGAATACCATACACCTATGCCGGCATAGAACCTGGGTCTTGTTGGTGCTCCAATTATATTTTTATACTGGCCGTTAGAAGCTCTCCGTTTTGTCTATCGAGTTGCCCATCTACTTCCGGCAAATATTGTGGCGGTACTGTGAATGGAATACTTTACATGCAGATATACGAATTAAAACAAGGGTCTGGGAATTTCAATCCCACTTCGACGACATCTGTAACAACGTCAGCTTGTTCTTCGTTGATTTCTTCCATCGAATCATCCAGCTTAATGCCCCAGTCGGAATCTACAACTAGTACATTGACAGTTTCCGAACCACCCACCGAGACCTCTTCCTCGGCCACGTCTCCAGCTCCTGATTTTGAGGTTCCCCCAAACCCTGAATCGAAAGCCAAACCCAAGGGTAAACTCCACCGTCGCCAACTCGGACCCATCCCAGAAAACTTCCTCGAACCACCCGGCCGCCCAGATTTTATCAAAGAATTCCCCGAGAAAAATACCAATAAACCATTTCCCCCACCCTTCGACAGACTAAAAGATCCTATCGATCCAGCTACGGGTAAAAAGATCCCTCCCAAAAAACCAAGATATAGTCACTCGAAAATTAGTTTGAGAAAAAGACCAAGTTTGAAGGATATTGGTTTGTTGCAAGATGGTCGTGTGGCTGAGAGTTTAGACCAGACTAAAAATGCTAATGATAACGAAGAGATAAAAAGAAAAGCAAAATGGAAGAAAATAATCGAGAAGAAATATGAAAATAAACTTCGTCTTCAAGGGTCACCTAAAGCGTACATGGAAATGGAGGAGACGATGACGAGGAGCAGGAGAAAGGGACAGGCTAAGGATGTTATGGAGGAATGGGAAAAGAGGATTTTTATGGGGTTGGGGAGGGGAAAAGCGGAGGGTGGAGATGGGAATCGGGAAGAGGTGGTTGTCGATCCTACGTTGAGAGAGGATGCGATTATCAATCGGGTGCTTTTGGGGGAGGGGGATCGGGATGAAGGGGATGAAGAGGAAGATGGAGAAGAAGGAGAAGAAGAAGAAGATGGTAGGATATGGAGGAAATGGGGTGGGCAGAAGTGGAGTGGAGGGAAGAGGGAGGGGGGAAAGATACATTTGGAGAGGAAGTGAGGAGGCTTTGACAAGGTCCGCGTGTATGACCTTTTACTTCGCAGCAGTGATGTCTGAAGTTTAAAGTCAAAGAAAGATACGCAGACAGAAAATCCATCGATGATGCATGATTTGATACTGCTGGGATAGGTGGGTATTTTTTTATTCCATAAAAGGAATGGCATGTTTAGGGTTAAGGGGTGGGAGTAGTCGTTTGTATGGAGTATGTTGGTTTGACTTTTACTTTATTATTGATTGCGCTATTGATTTGCTAGTAGTTAGCTGGAAAATTTAAGATGTAGGTTTAGTCATATTATTCATTCATTCATTCAAATTGATATCAACCAACCATTCACAAATAATAACCCAAAAGAAGATCTAAAAAAAAAACTCAATACTATTTTCTATCCAAGTATGTATGGTATGCAGGTATCTAAGATGTATATTCATATACGCTAAGAAGGAGTGTTATTCCATTCCCATTCCAATCCCATCCAATTCAATCCAATTCAATCCAATCCGTCCATTCCCATCCATTTCAATGCAATTCAATCCAACCCCAATAAATCTCCAAGGCAAGAATGTTAACTCGACTATCTGTAAAAGTAGTACTCATGATCCATGCACCCCATGTATCCGCCCCACCCAACTAGATAAATTACCACTCTACTCCAATTGTTTCTGAAATGCGACTTTCCCATTCCCATCCCCATCCCCATCTGCTTCCTGTACAAAAATGCTCATTTATCCTTTGATGCTCCGCCCTTTATATTCCAATCCATTCAATCCAATCAAACCCCTAGCCCATGCCACCGTTACTCGCTGCAATCTCTCTCACCCAGCGAATTTCCTAAATCCCTCCACCCCCAGAGTAGGAACCTCCACCCACTTTAAATTCGGTACCCCCTCTGTTCTTCTCCTATCAACAAAATTATTGCATTCCCCCACAATTAATCCCCATTCCGCTAATGCCCTTCCAGCATATTTAGATCTCGTGAATCTATCTATGCCTGTGAGTTTTGGATCCTGGGGTGATACTTCAGTGCTCATTCCTGGGACCCGAGCGGCAAGCCATGCATGCGCTGGAGCAGGAAGACGTGGTGGTGTGAGTTTTCTGTCATTTGCACTATTGGAACCAGCTGGTCCTTTTGGGGCGCTACCAGTTTGAAGAATCGAGTGTACTTTTTCAAAATTCTGAGCCCATTCCAAAGAAAATTTAAAGCTATAGGCACGATGAGAGGCTGTAGCTGGAGGAGTTTCGCTATCACTTGAACTTTTTGAGTTAAGGGTGGGTCTGGTTCTTGCGACAGATGTAGCTTTTCTTGCTTCCTCAAGCGCTTTCTTTTCAGTTCCAGCTTTGACAGATGTGGAGGGAGGAGAAGTCGTCTCAGGCGAAGGAGATAAAGATGGGATTATTCTACCCATAAATGTCCATCGTCTCTTGCTTGGGGTTGTTGTTTCGCTGGGCAATTTCGGAGTTTCATTTTCTTTGCTTTCCAGTTGTGTTAGATCACCTAGAAGAGAATGTCTCTTGTATGCGTTGCCTGGCTTCTGAGGTAAATTGGAAGGGTTGTTAGTTGTCATTAAGCCATCGAATCCAAGGAAAAGACTTGGCGCAGGCATTTGTGTATCATTACGGATGATAAGTAGTCGTCGCCCAGGTGCTGGAAGACAGGGTGTGGTGGAAGGAGGAAGGAGATCTGAACTCTCCGCTGTTTGTTTGAGAAAGAGATAATTTGCCCAGGTACCCTTAATCCGGGAGCAAACAACGCCAAATATTTTTCTGTGTTTTTATTAGTTACTACGTTATAAAATAAATCAATAATAACTCACGTATCAAGTTCAGAAGCCTCCCCCTCCTCTCGACATAAGCGCCAACATAACAGGCGCATATAATATGCCCGAACCATAGGACACCAATGATTAAAGAACTTATCAAAAGTTTCCTCGGTCAATAGCCACTCCAAACATAGTACCTCTTTTCGAGACTCATTATTTGTGACAAGATTCCAAGCAGAGTAGAGGAAGGCAAATACGCGGATTTCCGACATGCTATTTTGACTCTCCAGCATCTTCCTGCACACATCGAACCAGAAACGCCAATCAATAAAATCGTCTTCAAATTCGTGAGCGTGGTGGAATCGAACAAACAATGAAAGTGCTTCATCCATGAAATCGCACAAAACGAAACATGCATTGTGGTCATATAAAGAAGTCCTCTTTGCCGAAGCTTGCATCATCTTACCGAAAGCATTCGCAAAAGTCATACGAGCAGGCTCAAAATCGGCAGGTCGCTCGGAAAGGAAGTCTCGAAGAAGCATAATCAAGCGATTCTCGGCCATTAATCTAGCAGAATTGGTTGAAGGCAGAGGTAATGCGGCAGCGGAGGCATCAGCACCTGCGAGTACGTCATCAAAGGTGATTGGAAATGGTTCACTGGCTGGTTGACGATGAATTGTAGCATCCAGAGCTGTCAAAATCTGGGCTTGAACTAGGACAAATCCTGGCGCACGTGCTTTGATCGCAAATGAAAGGTCTAAAGGTAAAAATTCCTCAGCCAAAATATGATAATGCTTCGAAAACACATAGAAAAGATCACTATCCCGTCCACACCATCGAGCAGTCCATGGGCCGTACCAAGGAATCTTAGAAATTAGGATGGACAAGGCAGGCTTTTCCCGAAGCTGATTGGTCATTGTCATCACCGACGTCCAACCCAATGCTCGAACATGTGGTGGAAATGCGGCAGCAACTTCTTCAGTTTCTACTTTGTTAGGTCGCTTTGGTAAACCTAACTCGTCGACAACACGTTTTAAAATGTCAGTCGGTATCTTCCATATTCGAACCAGAATTTCTGCAATGCCAGGCACAAAAAAGAAAGCATAGGCCACAGCCTTTCCACAAAATGTGACCAAACTTGCAGGAGCATGTCTGAGTGACATTTTTGCAACAACGAAATGCATCTGGGATGTTAGATTTTGTATGAACAAATTCCTGACATTGTGATAGACAGACTCGGCCAGGAATTGAGATCCAGACGAGTTTAGCGAGCTCGATGATTTCCTCCCTCGTATGGAGGTGCGCTCAGTACGTTCGGGAGATCGGCTTGGAGACCTCTCCGAAAGGGGGGAGAATTGCGATGGACCAAGCCTCCATTCTGGCCTTGTCATAATCATCACAATAGCTTCAAGCAAAACCGGGCGATCTACGCCAGAGACAATCTGGTTTGCACGCCCATCTAGTACTTCTAGAAGTCCCACCCACCACTTATTAAATATATTGATTCTCCTATCAATATCTTCAGGCCGCAGACATCTGTTGGAAGGATGATTGGCATTGTTTCGAAGGAACGGCAATAATGTAGAGCGAACGACGTTGGTTTTTAAAGATAATGATTTGGATAGAAACTTTGTGTAGTCGTTTTCCAACCCTCGAAAAGCCTGCCATAGTTCATCTCGTTTTCTTGGCGTCTCAACACTGAGAAGCTTTTCTGTCGAGAAATCCGTCGGTAATGGCGGAACCTTATCAGTTGAAGTCCTCGGGGTCGACCTATTGTCTACTGAGCTACCTGGTAGACTGCTGGTGGATGAATTAACCGAATTGAGGCTTGTGAAATTCCCCAATATACTCTGCGGCCGCTGCCTGATCTTTCGAAGAGTGGAATTCCTTTTCACTTGAGGTGGTTTCGAAGGGCTGTCGGTATCCTCAACTGTGTGGTCGAATTTCGCGGGAATGGCCGAAGGAGCAGCAAGCGTCGTAGCCGCCGTCTTTAACGGGCCTTCATTCCTTCCATCCTCTTCAATCTGTTTTCCCGATTTTCGATTACTTGGAGATGGCGATCTTGAGGATGATGAGATCCAAGACTTGCGTGCAAACGTAGCAAAAGTTTCCGATACAGACTTCGTCTTTTCGCGGGAAGCTTTAGAAGTCTGTGACACTGGAATTGCTTCATCTGACGTTGAGTTGGCATATTCAGGAGCTGAGCTTCCCTCAGGAGATCCCTTCACTTTTTGAATCCAAGACTTTGGACGTGCCACCAGTGATTTTCTCCTCCCAGACCTTTCATTTTTTGGCTTCTCCTCCTTCGTAAGTCGATTAGTCGTTTTCCCCTCTCGAATTGAACTTGATTTCGGCGATGGTGTTACTATTTGCGGCGCAGGAAAAGATGGGGTGCTGGCGGCAGAGTTTAGTCTATGTAACTCCCCTTCATCATAATCGGTACTGGGATCTTCAATGGTTGGTAAAGTACTGAAACTCGCAGATCGTGGAAGTTCTGTGTCGTTATGGATGGAAGAATTCTTGTAGTCAATGTTGACTAAATCCGGAATATTGGAAGAAGAGTGAGAACGAGGGAAGGCGGGATTCGATTCGAAGATCGAAGGCATCGTCAAGGTAGAACCATGCATTGCCGCGACACTGCGGAGAGCAGATATATGTAGAAGAATTTAAGTGAACATTACAATTCCTACAGTGAAGATTCCAAAAAACAAACGAGTGTCATATAGTCGCCCGTTCTCTGACCTGCAGAGGCGTTGACTGATTGATGAGGCTGAATAAATTTCCCAAAAAATAAAATAAAAAAAGATTTTCGTTCTGAATGGGAATGTTTTTTTTTCAAAACTGGGTAGGTGAGGTAAGGTTGAGGAGGAGGTAAGGTCAGGTCAGGTCAGGTCGTAAGTCTTTTCCCGTTTCACAATCTTCGAGAATTTTAAACGATAGTGGGAATTCTTTCTTTTTCGTAGGAATCAAATCTGTAGAGAGGAGAAAGCGATTGAGTTTGATTTGAAGGTACAAAGTACAAAGTATTGTAATTCCTTAAAATTCGTATAAATTAATGTGAAGGTGGTGGTAAGATGGGCTTTCTCCGGGATTGTCGCAAATTAATTAACTACGATATACAGTAGAAATGACGATGTTGTATTGTACGAGAGAGTTGCATGCACAAACGAGTGTCGAGATTTATGTAGATTTCTCTGTTGGAGATATATAATGGTTGAGATGTGATGTGATGGGGGATGTAGAAAAGGAGGAGCGTATCTACGAAGGAGGATGTATGTGTGTATGTGCGACAATGATGAGATAAAATAAATGCAGGAGAGAGGAAGAAGGAAGTGAGGAGAGAGAAATAAAATAAAAATTCCTCAAATTAAAATACAATGATTCAATCAATTAAGAAGAATTTAGAAAGGGAAAAAAAAAAGTTGGGTTGATGGATGAATGGATCGAGTGAGTGAGTGGTTGATTAATCAGATTGATAGTGGTGGAGTTGGAGTTGTTCAAGTGAGGCTGGGATTAATTGAGGGGATGAGTTCTATTGGATGTGTTCTTCCTACGAGTATCGAGAGTATCAAGAGTATCTACCTACTGAGTTAAGACGGTTATTGAGGATGTCCTAATTGGTCAAAGGAAATCAACAGTGATGCAACACAGCATCAGCGTACATCAGAAAATATCCTCGAGTATGGGAAAGATAAATCCATTAAATTATTTTAACTTTCAAGGGTTTAGAGAAATAACCAAAAATACCTCGTTACCGGCACTCAGTATACCTAAGTCCGAGCACAAATGGAAAAGTTTATTCTAGTGAGTGTTCCGTGTTCTAAATATTCCACATACTAATTATTCCTTGTGCGGCTATAGCTAGGTAGTATCTAGTAGATATATAATTCTACTTGGGTATGAAATTAATAGGCAGGATCTAGGTTCACCATATCTAGACATGGACATATACGACGTATACATATACATGCAATTGGTACCTTTTATAAATGTCTATCATGATAATATATACGTGCAACAATTCTCCTACGTATACCATATACAGGTAGGTACTTATTACTCCATCTACCCAACCCAAAGAGGGGTCATCATTGAAGAAACAAGTACGAAACGTCAAATACCGTATTGAATGTGCCGGCACGTACTTGCAATTCTTTCATCCCACCTCTCCTCCCTTCACTGCCCCCTTCCCTTATCCTGCTGCGCAATAAATTCATACCGAGCAGCCAATCAAGTGGAATCAACCAATAGAAATCTATTTATAGTGACATGTATCGTTACGTACGTACGGAGTACATATTACTTGACGTTCATTACTCTACCTTGTTCCGCCTATGATTCTGCATGTGCTTGTTAGATATATGCAGGCAATGCAGACAGGTAATAAGAAGCGCAGGCAGGCGTTGAACCATCATGACAGATATAAAGTGGGCGATAATTGTGCAATAGCACAGCTTGGAAAGAAATCCCTAGCCAAGGCGGTAATATGCTGTGCTCTTCAAAGTTTCCTATTTGCCCCTTAATCATAAGAAACATGGGTCGAGCTAGGTATTCCCTCTCCTCTTCCCTCTTCCTCTTCCTCTTCCCTCAAATGCTTCATCGCCCATAAAACGTCTTTCCCAAAACTCCCATCCGCTCCCTGTTTTCGAATTCCAACTTAAACACCTTTACTCCATATAATCGTTCCTTTTGTGGGTACATATATGTACCTCATCGGGTCAGTCGGATTGATAACTGTATAAATCTCACCGAGAGATTTCGAATTCCTGAAATCCTTGAATCTTGTCAGAAGCGAAAGAGATCATTACGAAAAATGTTCCGCGCTTGTGGAAATACATACCTAGGTACTCGTCGTAGTACTGTTGGTATTGTGGATTTGGTGGAGCCATTTCCAACTTGCTCTTGGATGCAACAATAAATTCGTAGATCATGAAATTCGGCTTACAGGGGAAATCCCATATCCGAGATTTGATGCTCACTGAAAAAGATAGGTATCGGAAGATTTTGAAAGATGATGATTTTGTAGATATTTACCACTATCAACATATGAATGCCCAAGTGGTTTTAGATCTCTCGTCTCTCAGACTTCGATAATGGTTATTTCTCGAAATTGCCAATTACTTCTATAAGATATTTTCCGAAATATTTACTCAGAATTTAAGAGTAAGGGGTTGGTTAGTCGTAGCCTCCACATCAAAATCACAGCTCCCAAATTGCTGGACCTTTTCCAAAAAGGAGCTCCTGCATACCGCCTGCATACCGTTGTGGTAGAAGTACATAAGCTCCAAGGTATCCCAAAACTTGCATGTCTTACATCGTATGTATGCTTTCAAAGCCACCACCAGATTGTGCACAGTTCCTATATTTCCTTTCTGCATGTCAAACCTGCCATGCTTATCGTAATAGGAACGTGGATACAGCTGCTTGGTTTCCTTCATGCAATCATTCGTTGTCTTTTTTCTCTTTTCAAAAAGTAATCGAGATGTATTGACTGCTATTCGAATCACAAACGAAGTAAAGTTAAACAATAAACTCAAAGGTTGGAAATTGCAATGTGGTGCTAAAAAGGTCTATCGAATTGATGAAGTCCTTCCGAGAACTCATCTAGTAGGACCAGTACTGATATACCTACTTTCCTCGATCTGCAATCATATATAGAAGAGTAAAGGCTACCTAGTATATATACAAGATCCAGGGGAGTACAGTTCTGGTTGTTTTCACCCACAGCCTTATCAACAAAAGTCATCTTGGCTTCAGATGTGGCTGGCGATTAGGTTCACGATTGGCTAATATTCTCCGCGCGGATAGAAAACTCTCTTCTGTTGAATTAATTCTCCATTCATTATGATTACTCGTATATGGAAAAGAATGATCTTCTTGAGACAGCGTCACTTTACTTTACCTAAACCCGTGATTAGGATCTTGGATGGAAATGATAGTTAGGAATAATCTAGGTACCTCTCTCATAAGACTATAAAAACAATGAATAACTAAAACATAGTTTTTCCAATCCGCAATAGCACTAAAACGATAGACTTTAAATCCTAATTCATTGTGGTGATCTCAATTCATACACTACTTTAAATAGTTATTAGAAGAACTCTTTTTTCATTAATAAAATTCTGAATAGACTTTCAATTTCTCAACTTCCTATCCAAGACCTCGGGAAAATACTATGGTAGAATTGACAAGGCTAATAAGTTACCTAATAGTTTTTCATCCACCGATCGTCATATGGTAGCCTTGCATGCAAGGCTGTGAATTTATACGTCAACTAAATTATTTTGAGGCTAGCTTATTAGCATGTCAACCAACTTAACACGCACATCGACCACCGCATCCTAACATTTTCCCTACAACTACTGACAATTACGATCTCATATTATCTTCGTAATTTGAAAAAACTCTTCCTCCATTTACTTCGTTGCATTCGAGATATCAAGCATCTGAAAGACATCATCATGGACACACTTCCCCCCGAGCTTCTTACTCTGATTCTTGAGAAGAATGTCGACATGTGCCGCTGCGATAAAAATACCGTTCTGAATTTGCGATTAGTCTGCCAAGCGTTTAATAAGATTTTGAAGCCCTCAATCTTCAAGACGATTCAACTGGAGTTCACGCGATTCATTCAATTCCGGGATATTGATGGCTATCCAGATCGATTGGAGACGCTCCAAAATATAACCTCATTGCCATCCTCCATCAATTTAGATATGATGGTAGTAAGAGATCCAGGTACGCGCCAATCGTTTCACTCAGGCATATCATCTTATATCAGCATTGGGCATCGTATATTCCTGATCGCGTCTTGTCGTTTCTCTCAGAAGGCATTCTCCAGCTAACACAGTCACTAGATGAAATCGACCGTCTTAAAGATGCCTTCGATACTATTGTCTCTAGGGTTCCTGAAATGGCGGACATGATTGAGTCTCTTCGAAATTATTGCCTTCACGCAGATACGTTTACAGAGGAGGACTACAGTCGTCTCATTCGCAGGATCTTCCATAGTGGTCCACAGATAACCCGAATTAAGCTCAGCCTACCATTCCAAGTCGTCGGCAGTTCTTCCATGACAACAACAAGATTATTGGCACACACTCTAGCATGTGCGGCAAATCGCCCCGAGGAACACTTAAAAATTGATACAATGGTCTTGGATCACGTCAGTGACAAAACAATCAACAACATATTCAATGTACCTATTGATGTCGAAAATGCCTTCAAGACATTCGAAAATTTGAAAAGTCTAGTGATATCTTTCAAGAGGCAGGAGGATGAAGTAGGGATGCAAGCGATTTTTGCTAGGAATATTTGGTTGTTAATTCGAAAAGCACAGGGTTTGGAAAGCTTATGTTTGATCGGGTCGAATGTTGCGAGGAAGAAGAGTAGAAGAAACTCCAGCCGCTTGGATTTTATGGAATGGTCAATGCAGTTCCCTTTCTATTATCCCAGCGCAGGACCTGTCCTCAATAACTTGAGATTTTTGGAATTAAAGCGGTTGGATATAGACCCTGACCTGTTGTTCATTTTGATCAAGGAGAATTGCCGTTCCTTAACGGAATTATACTTGATCGAGGTCTCGTTGAAAGTCTTTGGTTCGGTTGATAAAGGGAATATTAGTTTATGGGTAGGTCACCCGAATGGCAACCCGCCTAAGCGTGAGAAAGGCATATGGCTTGCTCCAGCTCTACGAGAAATTGAAGATCTCAAACTCAAAATCCTTCGAGTTAGTAGCCTGGGTTACGATGATTACGATCCCGATCCTGATTCGGTAAATCCCAATTACGACCTTGACGATCCTACTGCGCACAATCGATCTCTTGAACAGAGGTTTGTGGAAGCTGTACTTGGTACAAAGGCTCCGCCGACCTTGGAAGCACCTCTTTCAGATACCTCTCTTGACATCAGGGATATCAATGGAAAGGAACTTGATATTAGAGTCGACCCGGATAATTACGATGCTAATACTTATCAAGTGAATCACAACACAACATCAATTTATAAAAGATCCATCGATGGTGTCTTTTACAATCATACTGAAGGGGCATTGAGAGAATTGCAAAAGATAATTGACGTGGCGGATAGAGGAATGTTGTTAATTTCCAGAGGGATCGAAAGAAGCCAAGCCTTGATTGTCGACCATTCTTCTGGCTCCATCATCGACCCCTCAGCTAACACATGAGCACTGCCAAGAGAGAATGGACTCCTCATATGGTTATTTCAGTTCACAGACCGTAATTAGCCGACTATTGATACTACACTTTACTTTTAAAGTACTTGAGTAATTTACGACGTTACTATCGAGGGGCAAAATCTGCTTGCAATCTTTTCTGGACTTATAGCTTCACTCAACGAATGCTGAACACTGAGATTAGACTGATCTTCAGCCTGAGCCATGCTCTCTATGCTGGGTTGTCATCAAGTTAGGTGGTGAAATGGGGGTGCAGGTTAAATTGTCACATTTGACACCTTAAGCGCTCAATTTGTTCCTCCAGCTCACAAAACGATGTTATGCTACGGGAACTTGCGAGGGATATCACAAACGGTAGAAGACTCAAGCACCCACTCTTGTGTTCCATGCGTATGCCTATTAGTTGGTTTCATCCTTTTTACACTATTGGTCAAGTCAAATTTCGATTCAAGCAAATTCACTCGTTGTCCTGCACAAATTCCATCACTTTACCCTCGTGGCAATACGCGGCGATTGTTCAAAAGTATTCTAACATTTGAATAATCCCCCTCAAATATGATATCATTTCCTCCAGTATGGGATGTTGATGTTGATGTTGTCTCGTCGACAAGTGCACTACTTTGCTGGGGTGCTATTGCAATGTAATCCCACCTACCATCACCAGCTTATATTCCTGCTAACATGCTTGGCAGAACGGTTCATTGGCAGAACGGTGCAATGGCTATCGACTAATAGCTCCTCACACGATTTGGCGGAGACGACTTGGTGCTCTAATGCCCAGCTGTTGGAATAGATGAACAAGAGGTTAATATTAGTTAATCGTAGATGGAAACAATCAAATTTGACATAATAATAATAATAACCATTTGATCCATTCATGTTCACTCTAACTCTCATTATTACCTGGAATCTTGTTGGTCCCCTAAGTGAATAGACGAAAGTATTCTTTATTCCTAAATTTCTGTAGAATATACACTTTCCTCTGCCTCGATTTGAGATTAAGTGACTAGTAGTAATATTCTTATCCTGTAGAGACACTTCGGAATAAATTACTTATGTTTTATCTCTTGTTATTTCTTGACTCTCAACTCATGCACAAGAGATCGACGTGTTGTGCCATGTTTATTTAGTTGTGTGTGTTTGTGGGTGAGTAGATGTGATGGATAGATCTGGTGAGTTGGAGGAGAATTGGGGAGATAGGAAGAGGAGAGTTGGGGGAGGGAGAAGGGGAATGGAGATGAAATCTTGGGTGGGGGGTCGCGAGTAATGGCTTTGGGGAAGTATAGAAGGAGTGTTTTTTTTTTGGATGGGAATTTGGGCAGGTGATATGCTTTGAGGTGGGGAGGTTGAAGCGGGGAAGGTGAGGGTGGTGGAGGTGATAGGGTGAGCAAGATGGATGAGGCGTGATTCAGGTTCCTGAAATGGTGGTGGTGGGGAGGATAGGGGTGAAGGGATGAGAGGGGTGAGGTTTGGGTTCCTGGGAAGGTGGTAGTTAGCAGTAAAGGGGATAGGGATAGGGATGGAGATCTGGATCTGAATCTGGATCTAAACGAGGATGGTAGTGGAAAAGGAAAAGCAGATGCGAATACGGGGAAAGATGCGGAGAAATGTAGGAATGATTATTTGACTTTGAATAAAAATCCAATGGAGATATCATGGGTGGTTTAGAGGTATTGCTTAGGGATGAGGATAGGGATGGGGATACGGCTGGGGATGGCTTCGAAACTGGCTTGGATATGGGTACGGGTGTGGGTTTGGGTGTAGAGAAAAATGATAGAGGAGAGTACGGTATCAATAAAGTCGAAGGGGAAAAAGTAATGGGATGAGATAGGATAAGATTGATGAGCTTCTCTTCTCTGTTTCTCTTTTTTTCAAATGATTAGTTTACCATAAGTCTAGTACCCTACTTTTTAGCCACCCCTAATTCCGGCTACCTTTTTACATCAAAAATTGTAATTTTCATCTATTAATAACTTTATGTTACGAGGTTTGCCGTCTATATCACGTGGAAGTGCTCCAGGCTCTCGAGGTAGTTTATAACTAGACGTCAAACAGGGACTTAAAGTAATGACAATAATGCAATTCATAACTAATAGTAGAGTATACTAAATAATTGATTTTGAACATAAAGCTCTATATAAAGGAAATCCATCTTGATTATATAGATCTTTATATTTTAATTAATTAATAAAATTAATATAATTCAATATTGAACTTGTTGATTCTTATTAAATCAATTATATAATATTAATAATATATAAATATCTTCTTATTACTTAGTATAATAGAGATCCAAAACTATTATAACATTTTATAATTAATTAATAGAATTTAATAAAATTTAAATTATAGATTTCTCATAAAGATATTAATAAATTCTGAAACTTTTAGATTTTTTATAATTTTATTAATTGAAATATAAATAATTGAAATTATAATTTTCAATTTATATAGAATTTATATATAAATTTAAAAAATCTTTAAAATTGTTAAAAGGAATGATCTTATATAAGGAATAATAGGAAGTTGATAGAGCAGAACTGAGGTAATATTGGTTTAGTAGTGTCACGATTCATTAATTCACGTGACCTCGAGGACCTTGAGGACCTTTTGGACCTTAGGGTCCCAAGGGTCCTCAAAAGATGATATAGGGTATATAAACATTCATTTAGTCTCGTGGTTAAGGAGCTTCGTGCTCAACTTAGTTATCAATTAGTTTACCTACATTCTACTTGATCTAGTAACGACTTCACTTCCAAGTGAAGACCAGTGATAAAGCCTTAACCCACAACTACCAACCAGACGAAACCTTAGGCAGCCGCTGCCTCCAGTATAGTATCGTTACAAGTAGATCAATCTCTCTTTTAAGTTCTATAGAAGTACGAAGCTCTCTTACAGAGAGCTTCGCACTTTTGTAGAATTTAAAAGAGAGATTGACCTACTAGACCAATATTACCTCAGTTCTGCCCTATCAGTGTTACGACGGATCTCACACACCTAACATCACGTGATTAGCATCATGTGATATGAGGATCCCAGTAGGCTCAGCTGTCCCAGTACAACTGGGACAACTGGGAGCACTGGGACGCATGCCACGATGGTCTATATAATCAAGATGGATTTCCTTTGTATAGAGCTTCGTGCTCAAGATCAATCATTTAGTATACTCTACTATTAGTTACAAATTGCATTATTGTCATTACTTTAAGTCCCTACTTGACGCCTAGTTATAAACCACCTCGAGAGCCTAGAGCACTTCCACGTGATCTAGACGGCAAACCTCGTAACAATCAGCTTCCCACTATTCCCTATATAAGATTATTCCTTTTAACAATTTTAAAGATTTTTTAAATTTATATATAAATCTTATACAAATTGAAAATTATAATTTCAATTAACGTGGTTTATCAGCGAGCGGGCCATATCACCGAGCGGGCCACTTTTACCTCAATTTATATCTTTCAACTTCAATACGCGATTTATCAACAATATATTATGGAATCGAATAATCAAGAAGGTCGAATACTTTTAGCTATCGAAGCTATCAATAAAGACCAAAAATTAAGCATTCGGAAGGCTGCTAAGCTATATAATATCCCGCGTACAAAGATTCAGCGCAGAATAGACGGTATTACCCCTCGTATCGAATCTCGAGCAAATAGTCATAATTTGACCAAATTAGAAGAGGAAGTGCTTATCTAGTATATAATCGATATGGATGAGAGAGGGTTTGCACCTAAATTAAATGATGGAGAAGATATGGCGAATTATATCCTCTTATCTAGAGAGAGCGAAGAAGGTTGGAAAGCTCTGGGCTCAGCGGTGGTGTGAAACGATGTCCAGAATTAAAGACGTGTTTTAATCGCGTTTATGATTTTCAAAGAGCTCTCTGCGAAGATCCCAAGCTTATTGAAGAGTGGTTTAGATTGGTATCGAATATGCGGGCGAAATATGGTATTGTCGATTCCGATTTCTACAATTTCGACGAAACCGGCTTCATGATGGGTATAATATGCCCTGGAATGGTTGTAACTAGTGCTGAACGAAATGGCAGAAGCAAGGCAATACAACCAGGCAATCGAGAGTGGGCTACAGCAATTATATGTGGCAATGGAGAGGGTGAAACTATACCTCCATTTCTGGTAGTTCAAGGACAAGTTCATCTTTCCAATTGGTATACCGAAACCGATTTTCCTGCGGATTGGGCTATTAAACCTACTTCCAATGGATGGACGAATAATGAGACAGGCCTAGAATGGTTAAAGCATTTCGATAAACATACTATTCGTCAAAGAAAGGGCAAATATCGAATGCTAGTATTGGATGGGCACGAAAGCCACGAATCAATACCTTTTCAATCATATTGCAAATCAAATGATATTATATGCCTCAAATTACCACCACATTCAAGTCATTTAACTCAACCACTTAATGTTGGATGTTTCGGTGTACTTAAACGTTCATATAGTTCTCAAATTGAGGAGTTTATCAAGGTATATATCAATCATATCACTAAAGTTGAATTCTTTATAGCTTTCAAAACTACATATCAACAATCATTTACTATTCAGAATATGAAAGCTGGTTTTCGAGGAACAGGTCTAATACCATTCGATCCTCAATCTATACTTTCAAAACTAGATATTAGGATTCGTACTTCTACCCCTCCATCTACCTCCTTGGAACTTACCAACTCCTGGATCTCTCAAACCCCTCATAATCCAACTGAGGCTCTCTTACAATCAACTCTAGTAAAAGCTCGAATAACTCGTCATCAATCAAGCTCTCCTACACCTATATTTGAGACTGTACAAGCTTTAGTTAAAGGTACAGAGAGATTAGCACATGAAGTTACACTTTTGAGTGCTGAGAATCGTATGCTTCGAAAAGCAAATGAGGTATTAAGTAAACGTCGACGCGCTAAAAAAATTCAACTACGTAATAGAGGAGTACTTACTGGACAAGAAGCTGAAGATATATTATCACAACAAAAGGTTGATAATCAGATTCAACGCGACGAGCGTCAAAATGGGGGAAATTTTAATAGGGAATCATCTACTAGTCGATGCTGTAGTAAGTGTGGAAAGACTGGTCATAATTCAAGAACTTGTCAGAATAGTATAATAGATCCTAGATTATTAGATTCTTGATAGTTTCAATCAATTGATTTAATTGTTGTTAAATAATATGGGTTTGAAATGATAAATTGAGGTAAAAGTGGCCCGCTCGGTGATATGGCCCGCTCGCTGATAAACCACGTTATTTATATTTCAATTAATAAAATTATGAAAAATCTAAAAGTTTTAAAATTTATTAATATCTTTATAAGAAATCTATAATTTAAATTTCATTAAATTTTATTAATTAATTATAAAGTGTTATAATAGCTTTGGATCTCTATTATATCAAATAATAATAAAATATTTATATATTATCAATATTATATAATTGATTCTGTTACGTGACGGTTGTTACCCACTAGTGGCTCACGTGCACTAGCCCTTTATATAAAGACCTTCTTACTTAGAATCTTCTTAGTTCTTTAGTTTTAGATTCTAAGTAATTGAATTGACTCCGTTTACGACTTTTCCGTCACAGATTCAATAAAGATTAATAAGTTTAATATTGAATTATATTAATTTTATTGATTAATTAGAATATAAAGATCTATATAATCAAGATAGATTTCTTTTATATAGAACTTTATGTTCAAGATCAATTATTTAGTATACTCTACTATTAGTTACGAATTGCATTATTGTCATTACTTTAAGTCCCTGTTTGACGTCTAGTTATAAACCACCTCGAGAGCCTGGAGCACTTCCACGTGATCTAGACGGCAAACCTCGTAACACTGAGATCCCTTATACTTATACTCATACTCACCCATACTACTGTAACTACCCTAAAGCAGAATGTCTCCAGATGGGATAGTGAGTAGTTATATTCTCACTCGGTATCGGTATGTATTCCCCTCTCATATTTTCAATTTTCATCTAAAAGAGTTTCAAAGATTTGATAGCCTCAAACATTCAACACCAAGTATACGTACTTCAAAGATCAGAAACAAAATTCATCACTCATATAGATAAGTTTGTGGTATATTTAACTCACATAATAAAACCGGTATGCTGTCTCTTACCTTCCCCTCATTCTGCTCCACGTCCTTTTATACCCATATTGCTAACACCTACACACATCAATAGTAAATATAAGATTACATTCCCACCTCTTCAACGCTGTTCTATCCTCACTTCTAACTATTTAGTACTGTTATATATATCACATCCTCATATCAATATCTCACTGCTACAACAAGCAAACTATTTATTTTGGGGTTATTTTCCACCGGCGTAATTAGGAATTTGTTTTGTTTCGCGTTGCGTTGCCTTGAGCTATTTATATAAGTCCTCCCTTTTTTCATTAATATTTCCCACCACAAAAATTATTTCTCCCCCTCCCCTTGCCCCATACTTTTTCTGTTCTATCTACTCTCGTATCTCACATCTTGTGTATCTCACATCTTGTGTATTTCATCTCTCATTGAAATAATCAAGTGATTGACAAGTCGGTATTGGATACCAAACTCTCAATAATCATAATTGCAAAATAGCTTCTTTTTGACTCAAGCTGGATTTTGGGGTTATAGTGCTGCTTATATTGGGGAAGAGGTACGATGGCGATGAGTTATTATAGGTTTATGTTATTTGTGATGGGAACGTTGTTGAGGTGGGTTTATTGGTCTATAATATTTCTTTTTTTCTCTTACTCGTATAAGATTTAACCTCTCATCTAACCCCTTTCTTTTTTCGTTCCTCGTTCTTTCCTCCAATCCCCAATTATCAACACCTCCGCCCTCCCCCACCTCTTCTTCTTTCCACCCTCTCCCACCTTTTCTTCTTTCCACGCTCTCCCACCTCTTCTTCTTTCCACGCTCTCCCTCCTCCTCCTCCTCCTCCTCCTCCTCCTCCTCCTCCTCCTCCTCTCAACGCTCCCCCCCTCTTCCGCATCCCCACGTTCCGTGTCCCGTCCCTATCAAACTCTTATATACGCACATCTCGATCTCTCAGCTCTACTTCCCATCATTCATTCTATTATTCTCTATAATATCTCTATACAATAAACGCTTGAGTTTAGTGTGGATACTTGGGACGGGTGCGGGGTTTGGGGGCGTTGAATTCTTTTTCCCTTTAGGTGTTTCTATAAGTGAGCTTTTGTAGGACTTTGTTTTGAGGGTTTGTTAAGTTTTGAGTTACTTATTAAAGGCTAATATCAATTTTCCATACAAATCCTCAGAAGAATATAAATGTGAGGTGGCCCAATATTGTAAAGGTTGTAAAAGCTGTTGATTCTAACTCTAAAAAGGGTTTTATTCAAAGGGTAAGCTACGTGGATGGCACTTGCTACGTCGCAAGCATAGTGTCCCTGCAACGTCGCTATCTGTAGCGATCGCTACAATAATAGTAATTAAAAGAAATATAAAAAATGAAATCAGAGAGCAAAGAGTCAGATCCACGAAAATTCAACTAGGAAAAAAAATTCAATTAATCAATCAATCAACTAACAAACCAAACAAATACCAGAAAAACACCCCACTCAGGTATCCTTGGCATATACAAATTCTTCATTTATAGTTATAAGTTTACCTATATATTTTGCGGGGTTGTTGAGGGGAATGTGTTGTGCGGTCGGGGAGTTGATAGAGAGCGTAGGAGAGAGAAGGGGATGAATAGGGGAGAGGGAAAAAGATGTGATTGAAAGGGGGAAGATGTATATTATCTATAAGCTTATATACATTCATTTTGTAATGATGTATACCTAATATATATATCTATTGATTATATTCTGATTCCTATATGATACTGTGAAATGTATGCACTATTTTACTAATTAATGTACTAATGTGCTAATAAAAACTACAAGTAAAAACTCATATTCTTCTTTATTTCCTTATTTTAATTCCCTTCCTTCCCCTTCCCTTCCTCCCCTTCCTCTCCTCTCCTTCCTCCTCAAACCAATCAGAACTGCAAATACAAATACAAACCTTATATCTCTCTATGACTGTATCATCATGCAGTGCTGATATTGATGTTGGTGCGCCAGTGTTATTATTCGTAATGGGATATAATACAAAAGTCTTCTCATTCATCGTATCTATTTATATTTTTTTCCTTAGCTTTGTTTCGTTGTTTGAGTTGTGTGGTGTGGTGTGGTGTCTGATATGGTAAGGTGTGTATGGCTTGTTGTGTCTGGTATGAAGGTGGGTAGGTAGGTAGGATATCTTGTCAATAGGGAGTGTTGGAGGTGATGTTTGGTTGTTTGGTTATTTGAGTGATTTTTTATGCGAGGTGGTCAGAGGGTGAAAATTGGGGTAATGAAATAGTTGTTGCTGTTGTATGTATGTATGCGTGGTAGCTGTACGTATGTAATCCTTCAGAGGCACATCGGTACCATATCATACCATATCATACCATATCAAATCTTCGTCTTAATCTTAATCTTAATCTTTACATCGATTCCTGTCGTATATCACGTTAGTAAGTCCTACATCATCCCCATCAGGAAAAACCCCTCCTCCCAGCTCCCACTTCAACCCCCCAAAAAAAACAAGTCAAAGAAAACCACAACTCACCCCCTTCCCAAAACCTCACCACAAACCCCCACCAAAAAATCCCTCATTCCCTCAACCCATCCCTCCATCTCCACCATCTCTCTCTGCACCCCCCTTAAAATCTCCCCAGAAACCATTACACCCCGATAAACCATCCTCTTTTTCTCCTCCACCATCCTATATACCTCCTCTCGAACTTTCTCCGTCTCCTCATCACCTCTCCAGTTTCTATCTTCTTCCCTTGATTTCTTCATGAAAAGAGATTCAAATCCCGAAAGAGTCTCGCTAATCATTTTTAAAACGCCCTCAAAATCTCCTTTCTCCATTTTCTGTTTTGCGATCTTGTGGAATCGAGTTGCTTTTTCTTCTTGATGTAGTGTTCCTGACCAGATATTTTCTCCAGGTTCCATATATTTATTCTGTGGATGATGCTGAGAAGCTTCTTCTCCAGTATTTCCCGTACTAGTAGCAGCCATCCCAACAATCCCTTCAATCCCATAAACCGCGTCAACCATATCCCCCAAAACGCTCCTCAAAAAATCCTTCTTCTCTATAACAAATTCCCGATGATCAGCAATACGACTCCTGATCATTTCCCCAATATTATCCAAATAAATCTCAGTAATCTTATTTCTTTTCCCCGTCATATATATCTCCTCATCCATCATCATCCTAAACGCTTCTCTAACTCTTCCCTTTTCCGCCTTGGATCTATCTCTATCACCAACTCTCTCTCCCTCTCCCTCTCCTACAAAATACCCCCCTTCCCCCTCATTCATCTTAACCATATTATAAAGACTCCCATTAAATCGTTCCTTAACAATAGGTAATACATCTGCAATTCCAGTTCCCATACCAGTATCAATTCCCATACCAGTACCCATACCACTATCAACACCAAAACCCCAACCCACCCCCATACCCCGCAACATAAACCCCCCAATAAAAAATTGAGCCCCAACCATCACGAAAAGAGCGATGATTTCGCAGGTATGGAGACCTCTTTTGGGGATGAATCGGTTGTGCATTTTGGCGAAGATTATCAGATCGATGGTGTAGATTGTGATTTGGTGTTTTGTTGACAGTTTATCTTTCGATCTTCGATCTTAAAATCAAGATCGACGTCGATATCTGCTTTGTCTGTCTGTCTATCGAGTCGAGTATTGAAATAAATACTAAAGAGATTTCCTCAATAAGTTGTGAAGAAAGGAGAATGTGATAAGATGGGATGATTTTGTATCTCAATCTCAATCTGTATCTCAATCTCGTAAACCGTGTCAAAAGTAACAAATTAAAATAACAAAACAAAGCACAGAAATACAAACAAACTAGCAAACAAGCAACCAAGCAACCAAGCAAGCAACCAAGCAACCAGTTTATAAAATACCACGCTTATTATCTAGTGTCTGGTGTATCGTCTCTCGTATCTCGTAATGTACAGTTTGCCTTTGCTTTGATATCATGCGCTGTAGGTACTAGATACCCAGGACGTGGGTAGGTATTGAACGGCTGTGGCAAGGAATACGCATCAAAAAAAATGATGATGATAAAGAGGAAGAGAAAGTAGGAAGAGGAAAGAAAGATCTTTCAAAACCAAGCAGGCGTGCAGGCTGCCGAGAGGCGGAGCTGGTGTGGTGGAGATGAATGGTAAAGGTGAATATTATTTAGTAGCTGGTTAGTGAAGGAATGGAGTTCAGATGATAGTTGGGGAGGTATTATTCTTTTTGTGATAATGGCGTGATACTCCTGTGGTTCCTATATTTGAACAATTTCATCTATCTGTCAGTACTAGTATTAGTATCAGTATCAATATGAACAAAAAACTCAAGAACAGACCAATAAATAGAAAAGAAAACTCCCACATATCAAAAAGCTGAATGAAGTAAAAAGACATTAATATTATATTTACACTACCTATACAGGAAACCTAATAGTGAATTCCCACCATGCACTATCCATCCATCCATCAGATATGATAAACATAAGACTTTTCAACATAAACACCATGCATACCCTGGGTATCATAACAAAAGAAAAATCAAAAGAAAGTAGCCAATTTTATCTCTCTCCATCTCTCTCTCTCAGTATGCCACCACCAATCTCTCTTCTTTCTATCTTTTGACTTGGAGTCTAGATCTATATTCCAACTGCCTGTACAACCATCATTAGATCTCGACTCTACTCCTTTTTCCAAAAGTGTTTCAATAGTCATGATTGATTCATCGCTGCCTTCAAAATCTGGCTTTAGGTTGTATACCACTCTACTTTCCACTTTTCCGATGAATGTTCCTAGCTTGAACCTCTCAACGAATTGTCCTTCATCGTCCCAAACTATGATATCGAATTGTGGTATTGTTGCATTATCGATTCGAAGTTGAGCAAGTTGACGAGCATTTAATAGACTCATCATTTCATGTCTACCACTTCCATCTATAGCAGATTCATACGGGAGAGATAGTGAAGATGAATTGGAAGATTTTCCTGTCATCACACTATCACGACGCTCGCTTTGTCGGGAGAATACCGACTGTCGGTTGGAAGGAGGCATGATAGGTATAGCAGCAGGCATACTTGATGATCGGTTTGGAGTACCGCTAAGTCCCATGTTTCGATATTTGTCTCCAGGTAGTTCAATTTTTGCCCTTGGTTTACATAACTTTTGGATTACACCATTGAAGTCAGTTGGGGCACGGATAGACCTAAGACTGGGAAAGCCAGAAAAGGTGATGGATTTTGCAAGGATTTCAGTGGCTTTATCGTCATCCGGATTTGTAATTTCCCAGTGAAGATGTTCGAGAGTGGATGATGCAAGATAAGGATGTAAGAAGATGTCATTCTGATCGTTGAGCATAGGAGAAGGACCCTGTGATAAAGAGAAGGATTTGAGGTTCTTCAAATGAGTGAAAAGTCGAGCCAGTACGGCTAGTGATCGAAGTGGCAATGATATTAGAGAAAGCGAGGTCAAACCAGCAGAACTAGGCAATGAAGCATAGGCTGATAATCCATTCGGGGTTATACCTGGAAGTGAATCGAGTCGAAGATTTTTGAGGGCTGGTAAACAAACTAAATTCTCGTCATTAAAAGATGTACGTGGGAAGTTCGAAATGTATAAATCCTGAAGCGATGGAAGACGTTGAAAAATATCGGTGAATAGAGGTGAATCAATCATGCCACCTGGGCTACAATGAAGTACGAGCGTTTGTAAATGGGGCCAGTTCGAGTTGAGGCCCAAAAAATCCAGATACTGTTCGGAGCGTAAGGGACCTGGTACAATCACAGGGTTTTCGGCTTTTTCAGAGGCATTATAAAGACGTCGTATGGGACTTGGTTCAATGACCCAGACTTTCTCAATGAGTTTTGACCGTGTCGACAATGCGTGAAAGAATCTTGTAAATTCATGATCGTATGGCTGATAAATTCCTGGTACACGTTCTAAGTTTGGGCATGCCATTATTACAGAGGCCACTAAATCCATATATTCATCCTGTTCTTGTTTCGTTTTGACCGATTCTGGTAGCGAAGGGACCTTCAATGATTTGACATATTTGGCGAGTTCTGGTTGACTTCGAAGGGTTCGACGAAGGAGTCTTAATCTCGTTCCATATTTTGACTTGTACTTCTTTTTTGTATGTAAAGTCGAATCACTTCCAACAAGTTGTATGTCTTCATATAAAATGACTCTTGCAGCACTCCACCATTTTTTGTTGCTCAATGCAAGACTATGCAAATCTCTCATCCAACATGTTGCACAACTTAGACTTCCCGCTTTCAGATGTGATTTCTTGAGCTCTCTCAGAATAACCAAAAGTATTTCTTCGGGAAGTTTAAGTAAACCATCTCCTGAAGATGGCTGCGAAACAAATTTCGTCCAAGATACAGGTTCTTGCATCAATCTTTGAGGCTCGAGAAGAGGTGTTTGAACCGGTGGTCTGGGCTCAAATTCGTAACGATTGGAGATTATTGGATCTGTCTGAGACCTAGTGGGTCCATTTATTGAACTTCTTGATACTGATCTAATGGAGAAATTGTTGGATACTGAAGAGATATCACTGACTAGGCTGGATATATCGTCAATTGAGGAACTAGTGCTCAAAGGGCTTCGAGGTTTTGAATCAAAGGTACTCGCACTGCCAGCGGATGCCGGTCGAGAATTTCGTGGCGGAGATTGCATTTCCCACGTAATTCCTTCCCAGATGATCAAATCGTGTTTAGAAAGTATTGGTCGAATATATGCAGGATAAGAGATCGAAGTTATATGTTTTGTGTGAGGTCGTGAAGATTGAGTGAAATTGTTTCCAAACTCGTGTTGGCTAGATTTACGCCTCTTTCTCAAGATCTTTCGATCCTTTCGGTTGTTTCTAACCTTGAAGTCAGACTCCCGATCCTTCCGTAGACAATTGAATGAATGTGTAAATGTCGTATGGGATGTGTAGCAAGAGGAAGAGAAAGTAGCGGGACAAGTGGTTCTAAAGAAGAAAACATAGTGTTAGCTAACATGTCATTTCACATCATGTTAAATGATAAATCCGAAGAGCATGACCCCGATTTACCGCTTTTGTACATGCTACCCCATTTCGACGCCGTAAAGAGTACTGATCGCGCGCCTAGGTAGTAGAAGATGCGAATTAAGATTAGGGTGGAGCGTTTCGTACAGGGAGCTCATCCCAGAAGACGGCTAAAGCGCAGAAACAGTGAGGGACCGACACAAGACGTGCCCCGTAAGATGCAAACGAGCCACTGATAAGGAATACGGGAGTAGAGGAATAATACTATTTTAAGGCACAGCCTCTATTGCTTTCCACTGCCATCTGTTCCATACTTTTGGAGTCTTGTGGCGGCACGAATGCAACAATGGAAGTCGGAAAGTTTGAGCCTTTTCAAGTATAGGAGGAACGGTGTAGACTTGAGACGGTTTTTGGGGAAATTGCGATAGATTGATGAGATGATGGAAGCAGAATAGTGAAAGTAAGAGAGTGAGAGTAAGATAGATACCATGGATCTATTTAGCCGAAGCGCAAAGAAATGGAGTAGGATTAGGTACATAAGGTTAACTGAATGAATGAATGAATGATATCTTTTTGTCTTCATACAGAACAGAGTCAGGTTCTCTTACCTAGGATCTGACTTCATCTTCACAAAGTTAGGGGTCGATGGATGAATTGATTCGTTATCTTCGTCTAAATTACAGGCTTCAATAGGTGGGGATCGGAAACGTAGATGCATGTTTGGGCCCTCTCGAGACCTTGCAACTGTCTCAAACATCATAAATCCATCAATAGCTGCAAGGGACCATATATTGGTCTGTTGAATGAAGTAATATAAAATCCGGGGATGTAACTTTTTAACTTTTACCCCATAACAGCAGCAGCTTTATCAGCTCGACTTCTCAGCAGCTTCTTATATACATATACATTTACTTCAATACCAAATACCTAGGTAATTAATCACAACCTTCACATCAGCAAAACAGGCCGCGTGGTCAATCAATCTCTTGGATTCACTTCATTTAGAATTATGTCTTATAAATTGAAGGATTCCCATTGTGTGGATGTATCTCTCAATTGATTGGAGAGAAATTTTCATATGGGCTATAACCACCATAAGAAACATCAATTCCCCACGAGTTCCAGGACATCAACTACTCCAATGAAAAACAAGATCTGCTGCTATGAACTGCTGTGTCGCCGCGGGTGTGCGGTGTCAACACATGTCAAAACACCACATTATTTGGCTAAAGTGCTGCCAATAATGAAGGCGGTTCAGACGGCATGAGTCAACGCCACAGCCTACACAACAGGCGGTTTGAAGATCAAACTGACGATCTTTTCCCCGTCATTAAAGTTTCATGTCTTTAATTTCTCATATATGTCCCGAAGATTTGCATATATTCATTTGCGGTGTGCTTTCGGTTAGTAGGCTGACTTGAGTGTGGACTGACGAGAAAACTCAGCCCCGAATGCTCTACCATCGTTCAGCTCAGCAACATAAGAGTTTAAATGCGAGCACCAATATCACGTGTCGGTAATGAGATTTCGAGTTGTTCTGAATCTTGGGCTATTTTCGGGAAATTTCATAAAAGGAAACTTGGGGAAATTCCGGTCAGTTTTCGGACCTCAAGCGTGATCATCCTCGAGCATGATGGTACGAATGATTTTGCCGTGTAGTTGCGTGGCATATTTTACAAAAATCAATTTAAAATTGAAGACTCCATGTTTACTGGCTCTTTTCCCGCCGAGAAAGAATGATATTACTTTTACTGCTAATTCTGCAGTTGTTTTTCCCGTTTGAGGTGGTGGAAGTAAGAATGTGTCCTTTCGTTCTTTTCTGATCAAAGCTCTCAATTAGGTGAGATTTAAGGACGATCGTGATGCAGGGCTATACGTGAAGACGATAAACCACAAAACCGTTTGAGCCCCCTATATGAGAGCGATTCGTTAATTTCCTTCCTCCTTGCTGTTACCTTTCGAACTCCTCTAGTTCTTTTACTCCCTCATCGTCTGCATCATTGTATTAAATATATTCAGATGCCATTGTTGCAAGAGCGTCACAGGCTTGTCGAGATTTGCATCGCGAACAAATTCCATCGAATATTGCAGTGGTTTCAATCCTTCCCTTGTTTCCTAGTAATATTGATAATGTAGTGATAGGCTCAGATGCGAATCCTGTGTTAAAGTCCCAAAATGGAATACTGGTCAATTCAAGTTGTCAATGATCGAGGAGTCCTATGATTCTAATACTAATAAAGTAAATGGAATTACTTTATGTTGGAGCATAAATGTTGCAAACAAATCAATCCATTCGGCATTACGAACATCGAGTTTTGCCCCATCCCGAGGGCTTTGGATGGTAAAAGTGGTGAATGAATGGTTGCAATAACATTGGTCAAAAACACGCGCATTAGGAAGCAGTAGATGCTCAGACCTGAGGACGTAAATGACTTATCTACGTACCAACCAACCAAACAAACAAATAACGGCTTTACCCATCTTGCGATGATCAAACCATCGGAAATCACCTTATTCTTTCGGCGCCTATGCAAGCTAGAAATTATCAAATATGGCGAAAGGAAATAATTCCCCGAGAACTTGCCCAGAAAACGAGAGAGAAAACGCGAAAAGACTACATCATTTACACTATTCCCACGCCTTCCCCGGAGCTTCGACGAAAAATATGCAAGTGAACAAGCCTCAACGACCTTCGGAATGTCAGTGTCATGGAGTATTCCTCATTATGAGAGGCTTAGTGACGACTATGGATACAAGTGCGAAAGCATTGTACCCGCTGTTCAGCAGACATGCAGCGACTCTCGGGCTAAAAGCTTGAATCTTTTCAAGGTAATGGAATGAGTTCTAGAATGAAAAAGTGTAAGTTAAGATGAGAAAGAAGCTTTACTAATGGATTCGATGCTGAGTAACAATTATTAAGAGGTTGCTTTTTGAGAGTGAGTTGCTTTGACATGTGGATGAGAAGGGAGAACAGAGGAATTTTAGGAAGATGGATAATAAGAAGAGTCAGAGGTCCAGGAGTACCGGGGGAACAATGAGAGGTGCAATCATGGGATGTTTATCTCCTCCCAGATTTTATTAATTACTATGTATTCCGTGCAACAACATACCAAACTAGAAGCACAAGTCATAGGTCAAGCAAGGTATGCCTCATCAGTTTTAGAAACTGCTGTATCTAACACACAAAGCACATCAGCTGACCAACGTTGCACCTTCCCTATTTGCAACAAATTCAAACATCTTCACTTGTCTTAAGACAAACGTCTCTCCAAAACAAATTGCAAATTTTCATTCACAATGTAAGATGATTTTCCAAAATACTGGGTGTTCTGTTCTACACTTGCCACATTCAGCCAACTGCTACTTTTAAGCATGTTCCATGGATATTCACCAATATATCTCCAAGCTTGATATCTTTTATCATTACAAGTTCCAAGATGAGTATTTCCACGGTTATTGTTATTGTTTCAATTGCTTCATCATTGACATACTATCTGAATGCTCGCTTCGAGAGCCAATAGAGAATACTGGTAATTTCCTCTGTGTTTCGAGTTAGGTATTATTAAGATATCATGGAATCTTCCCGATCTACCTACTCTCCTCACATCACCACTTCTCATAGTCAGCTCCAAGAGCTGCAATATACTCACAACTCTCAATACATCCCTTTTACAATCCAGAGATCTGCACTTTGCATTCTCATCAAAAGCTCAACACCTTTCAAGGCTCAATATGCAATTCGAGGCTTTCCATAATCTTGATCGCAAAACTCTCTACTTTCGAATTTCAATGCTCACTCTGTCAACCATAAATGCCATTTTATTTATTTACATCATCTTTGCTCTCAGCAGGGAGTAGGAGGACTAGGGTGAGTTCATTTATAATTCATTACATATTGGAATTCAGGAACTGACTAGGACTCAGAAGACAAAATCCATGAAAGTGTATGTGATTTCATGACTTCACTTCACTTTCAACACCACTCCGAATGATTTTCTCACAATACAATTTATCAAGAAATAGAGGAAGATTCTACTGATTCAATGAATTTTAGATATGCCTTTTCGTCAATTGAAAGAGAAAACTGTGCGGCCATTAGAATTGGAAAGATTAGCCACGTGGAAATTCACAACTACCATTATATACGGCACAATCACTTGCATTGCATTTGCTTTTACTATAAAGGTTGTTTATTCCATCATGATACTCAATCCATCATTATTGCTTTCTTCAATTTGAAACACTTAGTGACTGATTTATTCAATACTGAGCAGAATTAACTTATTTCTAATCACAATCATCGGAATCCAAACACCAAATTACCCACCGACTTGCATATTCACTATGGGGTCGAGCGACAACTCTGACAAGACCAATTCAACAGAGATGCTTCGAATTGATAACACTGAAGAGTTCCCTGCACTCTCGCCAAATCCTAAACCTCCAGGAAAGAAGACTGTCACCACATCTAATTGGGGCTCATTATTTCCATCCAAAGTGCCGAAACCACTCCATTCCATTCGTCATTCTTCTCTTCCACACAGTCCTTCTCTCCCACCTCTTCCGACTCTTCCTGTTACGCCTCGAAAAGAAATGTCTTCTCCCAGAATTCATTCAATTGGGGAAAAGGAGGATGTACTTCTATCACCCACTAATGCAGAATGTACAAGTATTATGTCTGACGAAACTGCGGCTGACGTAGAGGAGGCAAATACACCTTGGAATTCTCCGACTGAAAATAAAAATAATGATATTTCTGTTGCCAAAGATGAAGATTTTGAAAGCGAGGCTACGGCGGAATTTCCGAATTTCATTACAATAGAGACAACAAATCCCCCACAAAAAGAGCTTCTTCCTCCATTCGAATTCCCAGACACTACAACAATGCTAAAAATTGATCATTACAATGCTCCGCCGAAACTCGGGAGAGCAAAGGGTATGGAGGTTGAAGAACTATGCGAAGCAGAACGTCATGAAACCCCTTCTTATATCGAAGGAGCCTTACCTTTATTGGATGTGGTGACAAATGATCCACATAGAGTGATACATGCTATCAAGCATATGATGCAGGGTATTGTTTTCATGAAAAGTGCTTTGGGTGCTCCCCAGGATGAACTCGATCGCCTTATGAATGTTCATTCAAGTGAGTTGGATCTGATTGATGATCTTTTTGAGAAGGAGAGGCTTGCGAGGTTATCCATTGGGATAAAAAAAGCAGCAATTGAAGGGGCACAATTAGTCACTAAAAACGAACATGCCATTGCTTTCAAAGAGATGGAACATTCAAAGTCTGCTACCAGGTTCAATCCCGACGCCGTAAGTCTCGATGTGTCAGAAACTGTCGAATAGAAATTGCTAACCTAATTTTGCAGAAACCTTTTTCCCCGTCCTCGTTTATGTCATCCGAGTTTACGAGTCCCACACCATTTGCACCAGTACCTACTATACAGGCACTATCTCCGTTGAAATATTCGATTCTCGAACCAGGATTTATGGTAGAACAAAGCCGCAGTTTCCCCACACAAGTAAAATTTCATCCTCTTCTTAATAGATCCAGAACATGGTGTGCGCAAAGCGGTCAGCGCACTTCATTTGGTCCATATATTCATTTCAGCTCATACAGCCAAAGGCCGATGACGCCCATTTTTCTCCACCCGGTACCATCCCCACTGCCTATGGTTTCTTCACAGTTGCCATGGAATTCTCTTTCGAAATCTGTTGATTCTTTCCAACATCAAACCACTATTGTTCAGTCTCCACCCAAGTCGCCAATGCCAGTTCCATCACAGGTCAATATTTCGCAGGTAGACAAGTCAATGTTGCGGACACCGATGTCTGGAAAGACAAATCATATGTCTACTCCTACTTCACCAACCAAACAACTGTCGGCACATTCCTCATACAAAGCTAGTAGTACAAACACTAGCCCACAGGGAAGCATATCTATCAATAAAACGGTCTACCCACCGCATCTCTATAAATCAAAGCCATCCTCATCCAAGAACCTCGTTCCCCCGACAACCACCGCTGACGATATTCAAAGAGCTGTGTTACTACTCCCACGAAGCTACCGCCACATATGTCCTTCTTCCTTCACGACACCCAACTTTAAGTGTTCAGTACCAAATTGTATGCTCCAGCAGATCTGCCCAGATTTCACAAGTGAGAATGGGTGTTCATTTCGGCCACCTCCTCTCAGCGACTGGCCCTGGAAATATCCACCTAGAGGTCCTCTTATCAACCAATCTCAACAGTGTAAATACGCGCATATCCCAGGTACCTGTCTTCACACTCTCTCTTTTTACCGTGGCTCTGGATCGTCGGAACAAACACTTGAAAACTCTTATCCCGCAACATCAAGTCATTACTGCCCGATATCCAACTGCGCAGCAACCCGGTTTCACCCTTGGGGATGTGCCAAGGATTGGAAAACTGGATTTACAGTCAATGGTCTTACACCATGTGTTCCAAGCTACAACAATACAAACCAGTCACAACCGTATAACGAAAATTCTCCAGAATGGCGATGGAGACTTGTGATGGAAGGTTTAAAATTTGCGCATGAGAGAGGAGAATATGGGTGTCAAGGTGGAAGTTTGCCAACTAAAGCATCATTCCCAAAAGGACATAAGGGGGCAGATTTGGGGAATTGGGGTCCAGATATTTGTACTCGGAAGTCTAAGTCGAGTAACAGGAAAGCGCATGCAAAAGAGGAGAGAGGTCGTTTGGGAGGTGTTAGTGGAATGGGAAGTATTAGAGAACGTGGAAGTGGAGGAGGTTCTTCTGATACAAGAAGAAAGTTGACGAGGGAGAATTCAACAAAACCAGCTTGATCGTTCAAGAATATCGGTTCCGATAATGATTTGAAGACAAATCTGTGGTTTCTGGAATATGGATAATGTGGAAAGATCTCGACCCTTGGTCATAGGCGAAACCATTAATTACTTAGGATGGAGTTGGATGAAGATACTCTTTGATACGATATGGTTTTGTAGAGATAGGATACCCAGAGCGTACGAACTTTATTTTCTTGCTTATGTCTGTCACTTTTGACTTATTTTCGGATGTTTTGTATCTATGTAGTAGACTGTCAGTCAGAGATTAGAGAGGATAAGTTAATGTTTAGTAACAAATATCCTTTGGGGATATAAGACTTAGAATATAATGAATATAATAAATTTCTATTTAATTGATAAAATATCTTACCCTTGTCCATTCCATCCAACTTCAAGAATTAATCTAAAATCTATAATTCAAAATTTACAATCTCCCCACCCCACCAACACCGCTCCTAACCCCATCCATAAAATCAATCACCTCAATCATATCCCTACACTCCATCAATCTCATTCTTTCTTCTTTATTCAATAAAGATTTTCCCGCATTTCCCCCGTCACCAACACTCCCACACATCTCACTCAAATGATGCACAACAAGTTTAAAAGGAATCGGCTGCCTAACAACACAATTCAGAAATACATCAACACATTCCCAGGGGGTGGAGACGTAGCCGGCGAAGAGAGCGGGGTTGGAGAGGAGTCCGCGGGCGGACATTACGCCCGACACGGAGGTTTGTTGCGTGTGTTCGTGGGCAGAGCGGAGGCTGGTTATGTCGCCGTTGGATACTAGGGGGGTTAGTTGGGGGGTTGAGAGTGGGTTGGATAGGTGGAAGGGTAGGGGTAGGGGTAGGGGGAGATTGGGGGAAAGAAGGGGGATGGAGGTTGGGGAGTAAAGGATATGGGTATGGGGAAATAGGTAAGTGGGGTTTCAGAGCGGGAATAGGATGAGATATGTAGTAAGAATCAAAGGATTTAGTGAATAGATTCTACTTACCAGTAGGAACTGTGGTATGCGTATTTAAAAGCTTTATAGCCTCGAGATTAACTGGATGAGAGGAAGGAGTCGAACGCATACGTCCATGAATAGTAATAAAATCCACCCCGGCATCCTGGACTGTTTTGATAAAATCTACAGTATCCCTATTTCCCATTAGCTATACTCTCTTTCCCCCCAACTTTCTCCCCTTCCTCCTTCTACAAATTCAAACCCGAAATCAGAAAATAAAAACACACCTCAAATCCCGATGAATCCTAATCTTCACACTAACAGTTTTTTTGCCCTCATACCCCTCTCGCTTTAAAGCACTTTTCGCCTCTTTAACCATTTCAGCGACAAGTTCACGTTTGTGCATTAGTGCTGCGCCGATGGAACAGGCGCAGGCCCATGATTGGGGACACCCGCAGTTTATGTCGATGCCGTTTATATAGGGGGCGATGAGGGTGGTTGAGCGGGAGATTTCGAGGGGGGAACACACGCCAAATTGGGCGATTGTGGGAGTGCTTGTTGGGGAGGTGGTGAAATCTATGGGGTGCGTTAGTGGGGGTTTGGTAGGGGTTTTGGATGAGAGGTGTTAGGAGGGAGTGGAAGATGGATTGGGAATAGTGTGTAATAGAAGTGGAGAAAATGGTGTGAGAGAGGCTGTGGAAAAGGAGTGAAAAGAGAAGTGTGAGGAAAGGTGTGAGAAGATATCGATATGAAAAGTGTAGAAAAAGGTAATAAGCGGTCATGGGTAAGGTTGGGATATATGCATCCGTACCACCAGAAATTACAAAACTCACGGCACTTGCATGTTCAATAATATGGCGTGAGATAGTGAACTACACGGCTTCTCCGTATGTTACTCACATTCATGCGGATGGTATAATTCCTGCGTGAAGTCGTGCAGTAGGTAAATATTCCTCTGCTGTTGGCACTACCAACTTACTATACAAACACGACCAAGCAGATAAAACAAGTCCCATTCGAAGTAGAAATTACAATCCTCTCCTCAAAATAGTAGCCACTCGACTCCGACCCAAAAATGATCTCTCAAAGGAAAGATAAAAGACAGCAGAAAAAACCACGTGCTTACCAGAATCACGTGCAAACACACTACGATTAAACTCTTTTGCCAAAATCTATCTCCATCAGTACTCTTTCCATGTCTCTCATTCACACAACCCATAACCCTTGCCGATGAAATAAACATACCATAGGAGTCCAACAAAGATCAACACCATACTGCGCAACAGTTTCTCGAAATGCAAGCTTTGTATCTCATCAGCAAAGATGCGGTAATCAATCACTGAGGGAAATCATACCTTACTATACCGTACCATAGGCGCACAGGTATATAGAGGTCTTCCTTCTTGTTTTGCTATATCGAAGAGGGTAAGAGGACTAGGTTGGGTGTTAGTTCATATAGTCTGGGGGAGTAGTGAAAAATTTGGGAATGAGATGATTGCTTTACGGACTTTATATCTAAGGCGGGGTTTGATGGGGCGTTGCCGTTATGCTCCATGGTGTTCATCTTTCTTCCTTTCTATTTTATTGTTTGAATTGATGGTGCATTTTATTTTAATAATGTTATAATAGGACGATATCGCGATATATTGGGTTTTGCTATCATAAAGTCGTTAGTCAGGTATGGTATGAAGGTGGCGGTGGTGATTTAGTGCGTTCGGTAAAAGTTTTTTAGGGTGTTTTGGGCTTTTTTATGATTTTGTGATTGTGGTTTGAGTAAATTTATGATATTAATATCAATCAATTAATGGATTTAAATGTCATGTTATTCTGATCAAGCATCACGGCAAAGCTCACGTTTACATCTCTAGCGGAAATGTAATCTCACCTTTTTTTTTTTTCTTTTTTTTTTTTCTTTTTTTTTTTTCTGTTCAAGCTATCAACTATGTCTAAGCATTCTTCTCCTGGACGGGTTCGTTGATCTCATGTTGATCTTATGAAGCAGGCTCACGGAGTCGTCAATGTTGTCCGAGTGGCCAAATGAACATAAATTCAGGGACTTATTAGAAAGTAATGCATCTATTTGCGCTTTACGAATCTCGTATCTCCTCAGCAGGGTCACCATCGTTGTTCCTGATGTATCCTTCTCTTATATATTTCTGCAACCAACACGGTCTTTAACATATCTTTTCAGGTATTGACCTCAACGACAGAGGGGAAATCAAAAGTTTGACAGTCGACGTATCTTCTTATTGCATATGTTCGATGGAGCCATGGTAAATCCCTGCCAATAGTATTTTGGTCTCTGTTGATGGAGCTTGTTAAAGTAATGGGTTTTCAAATACGTCCCGTGGCAAATTTGAAGCTTTTCTTCTACTGCTCAAGATCCTCTCCTAATAATGGTTCAAGCCGAAGAAAGTAAGTTCTTGTAAGATTACCTGAACTTCTCAAGGATATACATTTTTCAAAATGTTCCGCAATCGAAGGAACGTCATTAACACCAAGATGTATGGCCGAAAACTATACGTTGTTTTGCAGGACGTGTTCCATCAGAAAATGGTTGACACTTCGATCCCCATGGGGAAAGGTCGGTCTGCGCAGTGCCTATATCGTCTTTGATACTAAATAATTCAAGGTTAGTTACCACAACCCCTATCTACAGCCCAATTGATATATGCTCTAGCTATTGTGCTGGTTGTGTATCTCTTTGTCTATACATCAATCAAATTCAAACACCGCAAAATGTTTGAAATCTTCATGATGAGCCTCTTGCTAATGTAGAGAAGCGCAAGACGGTAACTTGGCATTTAATATGAAGGTTTGAGGATATACTGTGCGAATACTACATATGACAATGTTGCAAGTAGTATGAAATCACAAAACCCTTCGATTTCGATTGGAAGCGATAAAACAGCTCTAGCTCGTCATTTTCCAATGTATCTATGATTGTACTCTCTCGCATTCTCCCCTCAATTAGAAATCTCGCCCATATTATTACCAAGTAACCAACTGGCGGGAAGTGGTGACTAAAGATATCAAATCAAATCAAAGCAAGTAAGAAAGCAGGAGTAATCATTGGTTAATACCTGATTATAGAAACCGAAAATTAGTCTCTTTCATTTTCAGTATCCTGCCACATCTATTGCCGGTTTCTCAAACCCCTTAAGTATCTCGAAAGGTAAAGTCAAGTTTATCCCTTATGCCTATAGAATTGCATTCACCAATGCAAACTACTAGTATATAGAAAATATACTTAATCCATAGATGAAGTTGTTTTTTCTTGTGGCATGTGATTTTCATGATCAGATTCTGGACGTAATCATGTCAACATAGGAGGAAACACATTTCATTGGAATTAGTTAGTTGAATTCTAAATCACCCCTTTTCAACATCTCACATTAAATCATATTTCCAAACTTAATGTTTTATCAATTGAGGGTTGACTACTACAATAATTTCATTGTTACTCCGCAGTTCCGTATACAGTAAATGGTTACCAGTCATTACATATCCAGCAATCCATTTATTCATTTTCATTTCATTCAACCTCAGTATTGCCTCATAGCTTCCAAGTAGCCGAACTTCTTTTTCTCGCCCCTCAATCCTCCCTGCTAGAAATCAACCCCTCACATATAAAGTGTTCCGCATCAGACATCTCAAGCTTTACATCACATCCTCAAATTTTACTCCTCGAACTACCTAGCACTCATTACATCTTCCGAGTCTATTATATACACCGTCCTCGTGTTAGTTCTTTTTTACTTTCTCTGATGTTCAAAATATATATTCCTTGTTTGTAAGATCTTATATTTGCATTACAGCTTTCGGGATGATACTACAAAGGGTTTGGAGAATTTATTGGTTGCATGGATTTATCTTATTTAATCCATGCATATGTAATCTTGGAAGTAATTCTGTTGTTTTACATGGATATTTCATTTAGCCTGTCTTCTCCTGGACTCGAATCAGATTTTCTGATTGTCTGTTTCTTGTTAGTGATGATAAAAATATAACAGAGTTAGAGGTGGTTCATACCAGTCCTTCTCCAACTCAGTACTATTGGGTTTATATCAAAATTTGTTGCAGTGAACAATTCAATGTTGAGGAAATATGTCTACATATTAGTTTCCCTGCTCGTTATACGCTCACATCTTGCTTCTTTACGACAACAGCACGCACACCATCCTCGCCGTCCAATTTCCAATCTTCAATTAAACATATAAAACATAAGCAAGCCTCAAATTTCACCATATAATATAAATGTCAGCATCCTTCTGGCCTTTTCTTTTTTGGCTCAAAAAGTCAATTACATAGCGATGCAAGGCTTCTATATCTCACCAAACCATATATTCCAGACCTTCCACAATATTTCGATCATGCGATCTTATAGCTGCCCACAATAATAAGGCCTAGAGATCTTAACACCCATCAGCCAGCACTAGGTTATCTCACCAGCTGTCCCATCCTATCTATTATCTTCAAATCTGGACTCAAAATCTATCCCCCCCATTTCCACCATGCTCGCATCTTTCATCTCTCATCTGCCATCACCTCTTCCTCCTTACCTCTTCATCCCCCAGATCCTTTACCCTAATCCAACAATCCAACAACCAGTTCCCAAAACCTCCACACGGAAAAAATCCATCCCATTTACCTACCCCTAACAGCAAACTCTCTTCCCACCCCATCAATCTTTTGCATAGACATTAACACATACAACTCCCAAGCTATTCACCACCGCCCAACCACTCATCCAGCACCCATTCATCTCATACCTCTTCAAAACCGCATGATCCAACCCCGATTCTAATTCGAATGGTCTATCTATACCTATCATTTTATATCTTTCTTTTTCTTTTTCTTCTACTTCATTTCTTCCATTTCTTCCATTTCTTCTATCTCTTCCCTCTTTCAATCTTAGTATTACAGCTCTTTTTCCTTTTTCTTTCATAATCATTACCTACTATCTCAAGCTCTTTATCGTCGAGTTTGGTTTTTCGGGGGAGTAGTTTTTTTAGTAGAGAGGACGAAAGTATTGAATAGGAAACATGCGAGTCGGAGTATGATGAGGGGGATAATGATTGTGTGTTAATATTAATGTTGATATTGATATTGATATTGATATTGATATTGAGGCTGATTGTGGGGGATGAAATGTGGGGGTTTGGAGTGGATCGTAGAGGTGAGGATGGGTCTGGATGGTAGGGAGGAAGGGTAGGAGGAATAGGAGAATGAAGAGGTCGATGATCTCGCTAAGGGTAGTAATGTTGAAATTGAAGTAGAATTTCGATATTGTGTAAAGATACAAGAAGTAGGAATAAGAGAAAACGAGCTTGAAATACTGTCGAGGTAGATAAATGAGAATTCACTAGTTATATAGGATGAGCTAGTTGTAAAATGGTAGCAATAGTTGAGAGAGTTGAAAACCTCTAATTTGAAGGATTATGAGCTGAACTTGTGGAAGCCGAGACAAACGCAGATGCAGTGGTTGTGAAAGGAGCAATAAGTCTAGCACCCCACTTCTCGGCCACCTCTAATATCGGCCATCCTTTTACACCAAAAATCGTTATTTTCAACTATTAATAACTTTATAATTAATTAATATAATTTAATAAAATTTGAACTATAGATTAATTATATAATTATTGATAAATCCTGAAAATTTCAGATTTTTGATACTTGATTTCATTGAAATTTGAAAGATTAAACTTATGAATTTTTAATTTGTATAGGATTTTGTCACGAATCACAATTATCCTAGGATCAGAATCGTCCCAGGATTAGTGTCCTGAGGCCTTTTAAGGATCACGTGATGGATAGACTGGATAGCCTAGTCTATCCAGTCTAGGGGATAGCCCAGGTAGACCAGTCTATCCAGGCTATCCAATAACATTCAGAAGTATATAGTTAAGATAGTTTCACAGTCTAAGAGCTTCGTGCTCAACTTAGTTATCAATTAGTTTACCTACATTCTACTTGATCTAGTAACGACTTCACTTCCAAGTGAAGACCAGTGTGACCAACAGGGTGTTTATAGACCAGCAATTGTATTTAACTTAGAATCTACAGGTGAAGAGCACCTGTAGATGGGGATAGCTACTCTATATATACACAAATGAATGGCCTAGCCGCAATGGCTAGGCAAAAAGAAGTCGTATTTATTCCTCCAATGATCTTACTTTACCGATAACCATTGATACCTAGTACTTGTCCGGATCTGATCCTCAGGTCACCTAAATCGCATACTAATCTCGAGTAATCGTATCATGTGTGGACATGGTTAATGTACCTGAGGTTTCTTATATAATAAAGGTGGGAGGAAAGCAGGGATTTCCGTCACAACCAGTGATAAAGCCTTAACCCACAACTACCAACCAGACGAAACCTTAGGCAGCCGCTGCCTCCAGTACAGTATCGCTACAGATTTATATATAAATTTAAAAAATCTCTTAACATCCTATATACCCTCTCAAAAAAAAAAAGCAAAAGAAAATAAAATTATAAATCTTCTTCAAATTTGTGCATCAATATCTATAATATAGATCAAATCTCTGTCAACAATAATTCACAAATACTCAACTAATGTTACGAGGTTTGCCGTCTAGATCACGTGGAAGTGCTCTAGGCTCTCGAGGTAGTTGTTACGACGGGCTACACAACTACCAAGACACGTGATCACAAATGATCAATAGTGATCATTAAGGATCACTAAGGATCACGGTATAGGTGATCACTGGTGATCATTAAGGATCACTAAGGATCACGATATAGATGATCACTAATGATCATGAAGGATCACTAGTAATCATGGAAGCATGAAGGACTATATAATCAAGATGGATTTCCTTTGTATAGAGCTTCGTGCTCAAGATCAATCATTTAGTATACTCTACTATTAGTTACGAATTGCATTATTGTCATTACTTTAAGTCCCTGCTTGACGCCTAGTTATAAACCACCTCGAGAGCCTAGAGCACTTCCACGTGATCTAGACGGCAAACCTCGTAACAGTAGTTTATAACTAGGCGTCAAGCAGGGACTTAAAGTAATGACAATAATGATATGCAATTCGTAACTAATAGTAGAGTATACTAAATGATTGATCTTGAGCACGAAGCTCTATACAAAGGGAATCCATCTTGGTTATATAGATATTCATGCTCTCTTGGATCCTTTTGGATCCTCAAGCTCCAAAAGCTCCAAGTCACGTGCTTTCTGACAGTGCGTGCACATACGATCTTAAGGTGGCAGCCACTGACTACATGGAGAACGGATTATGCGTTGTCTAAGCTACTAGAATAGAATAAATACTAATTTTATGTCAATATTTCCCAAACTAAAAACTTAAAACCAAGCATGTACTTGTTTAGCGGGGGGGAACATAAATGCTAACGCCCCATGTAGCACCGTTCCCACCATCCGAAGTACATTTTCCCGAGCAGTTAAATAAGTTCAGTAGAGTGGGAGGAACCAACGACGCTGACGTCGTATATTTCTCCATCCTCATGAGACAAAAGAGATCACTTGAGAAGAACCATAAAGTCCTAAATTTTACTTTCAAGCTCTCCGCTGAATCCAGCAGCAGTATCAACTATCCTCGTACTTCTACGAGAAAAAAGGTATAACGATCAACTAATATTAAAGGGAATATTCAAAATACTGGATACTTCTCTAATTAAAAAAAATTTAGAGGAAGGAAAAAAGAAATCGAAATTTAAGACATATTACGAAGGAATAAATCATCATACCATGATAATTAACATGAACACGAATATCTATTATAGATACCTTTCCACATATCCCGTAAATTGGCTCTACTCCAGACCTATATAAACGGTCGACTCATTCTACATATGCCTAGCACCTCTAGTCCTCATACGCAAGCAAACAAATAAGCAAGCGGCACCTCTCCAAAACTACAGTACTCCCCATATCCAAAACCAAAAACACAAGAAGTTCACCACCATCACACTTCCCCAGTATGTACCACAAGATAGAATCACAATAGTGCTAATACTAAATACTAAATACTAAATACTAAATACTAAATACTAAATACTAAATACTAAATACTAAATACTAAATACTAAATACTAAATACTAAATACTAAATACTAAATACTAAATACTAAATTGTGACCAAAAGGGTGTTTATAGACCAGCAATTGTATTTAACTTAGAATCTACAGGTGAAGAGCACCTGTAGATGGGGATAGCTACTCTATATATACACAAATGAATGGCCTAGCCGCAATGGCTAGGCAAAAAGAAGTCGTATTTATTCCTCCAATGATCTTACTTTACCGATAACCATTGATACCTAGTACTTGTCCGGATCTGATCCTCAGGTCACCTAAATCGCATACTAATCTCGAGTAATCGTATCATGTGTGGACATGGTTAATGTACCTGAGGTTTCTTATATAATAAAGGTGGGAGGAAAGCAGGGATTTCCGTCACAACCAGTGATAAAGCCTTAACCCACAACTACCAACCAGACGAAACCTTAGGCAGCCGCTGCCTCCAGTACAGTATCGTTACAGATTTATATATAAAATTAAAAAATTATTAAAATCTTATATAACCTTTCAAAAAAAAAAAGAAAAGAAAATAAATTATAAATTTTCTTCAAATTTTTGAATCAAAATCTATTAAATAGATCAAATTATTTTAAAAAATAATTTATAAAAATCCAATTAATGTTACGAGGTTTGCCGTCTAGATCACGTGGAAGTGCTCTAGGCTCTCGAGGTAGTTGTTACGACGGGCTACACAACTACCAAGACACGTGATCACAAATGATCAATAGTGATCATTAAGGATCACTAAGGATCACGGTATAGGTGATCACTGGTGATCATTAAGGATCACTAAGGATCACGATATAGATGATCACTAATGATCATGAAGGATCACTAGTAATCATGGAAGCATGAAGGACTATATAATCAAGATGGATTTCCTTTGTATAGAGCTTCGTGCTCAAGATCAATCATTTAGTATACTCTACTATTAGTTACGAATTGCATTAGTGGCATTACTTTAAATCCCTGCTTGACGCCTAGTTATAGACCACCCCGAGAGCCTAGAGCTCTTCGACGTGATCTAGACGGCGAACCTCGCAACGTCCTCTGGGTCTAGTCGCGACGTCTTGACAGAAATCTATGCCGCCACTGCATGCGGATCGGAAGTATGATGGAAAATGGTATTCGAGTTGTAGTTTCTGCCTAATCTGAAGCATAGAAATAGTTTTGGAATTGTAGACTTCCTTGAACATATCGATCC